GACCCCGAGGGTATCACCAGCATGGTAGCTAGTTAAAAATTTCGAATTTGTTTGAAATTAAGGAATGCATCTCCCACATAGCTCGGATTCCTTATCCGTGGTTGGCTTTACTTCTGGTCCTTTTTGGTTGATCCGCTCTTTGACGTTTATATCAGTTTCGGACTTTCAAATATTTTTGACTCGAGCATTACTGAAGAGAACTTAATTGTCGAAACTATGATCGTAAGATAGGATCTACAAATAACTTAATTTATGGATGGACTTTATTTAGGAGTTACTGCCCCATAGTGTTCAATGTTATGTTTATTTGTTATTATCTTGAAAACTATAATAGAAAGAGAAAAGCTGTGAACAATACCATGATCAGCAAGACAAGATCTACAAAAATATAAAGTGATAAAAATCTTCAGCTCAGTAGTCAATATTGCGGTAATGTCATGATCTATAAAAAAAAAATTGAATTCCCGTTGATAAACTAGAAATTATTAAGAAACTAAGGTTCCAACTCACTCAGGCAAAGTTGACCTCAGGAGAATTTGGCTTTTTTTTAGGGCTCTTTTGGTCAAACATGTCAACGTTTTTATACATCCCTGGCTTTCAAATGTGTAGGTAAGCGCATTCCGAAGGAAGGTAAAACCAGAATTAGAGCTACGGATGCACGAAAGTTATTAAGGTTATTTTCATTTCATATTATTTCGACTAGTATGTGATAAAATTCCTTTAATATCTTGAACATGTTTTGCAAAATTATTCTCCAAATGGATCTGCATCCTGGTCAAAATCATAATTAGCTCACGAAAGATGGCCGCTACTGGTGCTTATGATTTGAATGTTGTATATTTTGGCAAGGTGAACGATTCGTGCTCCTGGGAACGTCGAGTTAATTAACCTTGATACAAGTTAATATATACCTGCTCCAATGGCAGGAACCGGGTCAGTGATTCTCTGTTTTTGAAGGTGTTTTTATTTCTATTTTGTGGTTAACAATTCTTGTGTTTATGTCAGACCAAGGATTTATATAGTAAAATCTTACAAGTATATAAATCCTTGGTTAGACCATTAATTTGGTTGCATGTTTAACCCACCTGGAATCAGAGCGAATAAGAGCTTGACCAATAATGTAAACTCTTGTCGATTATTTGTTACCGTATGATGATATATAGATATTCAGGTTACTGTGGGCATTCTGATTGTTCTCTCATTGACTAGTACATCAAAACTCCTCCTTTTAATCATTAACATAAAATTGAAAGCATTGTCTTTGATCGTAATGTATATTATACGTGTAAAGACATTTTTACCAATAATAAAGAAGTTATTTTATTTTTTCTTCCGTAGGAAGGACCTACACAATGTGAACATTTATGTTGTGACGATAGAAATGGAGAATGGAGATACACCAGATCAGAACCTGCAGTAGATGGAACAACGTGTGGAGCATCCAGAGTACGTTTACTATTGAATAGCTTTCTTAAAAAGAAGAGCTTACTTGACTGAAAACGGTAGTCAATACACAAAGATACGTTGCTAATTTGATGTACCATTTGTACATCACAAATATTGATATCTCAAAGCAAATATAAGAAATCCAAAAGTATCAATCGTTGAAGAGCAATTTGCATCGGGGGATTGCGGGCTTTATAAACAACATCATAAAAAATTAGGATGTGATATCCCGGTTTTAATAAGAATTCTATAGGCACAGCCGAACTCCTGACCAAATGTATGCAGCCACGAAAGAATTTAGAAAAATGTTAAGTCACTTTGTGCTTACGAAATCCCTGACTTAATAATATACCAGTTATGCATACATTATGTTCATTAAAACGTGACTACAGACACGGACATAACGAACAAGTTGTAAAATATACACACCATAAGAAGGGACCAAAGGAACATCCAGCAGATGTTTAATACTACCCAGTACAAAAAATACCATCCCAGTACACGATAAATACCACCCCAGTACACGATAAATACCATCTCAGTACACGATAAATACCATCCCAGTACACGATAAATGCCATCCCAGTACACGATAAATACCACCCAGTACCAAAGTAATGTAATTCCATTACAAATGTTAACACCATGCCAGTATAAAAGTAATACCATCCCAGTACTTAACCTTTAACTAAATTCTTTCGTGGATGGAAAAATTTGGTTAGGAGTTTGGCTGTGTCTGTAGAATTCTTATTAAAACCGGGATATCACATCCACATACCATCCCAGTACAAAAATAATGCAATCGCAGAACAAAAAATCGTTGTTTATGATACCCACATGATTAAGCTGCTGTCCACCAGTAAACAGAATACCAAAAAAAAAACCATGTCCAGTATGATGCATGTGTATTTTGAAATTTTATTTCTCGTCAGAGATACTCCAGTGGTAATGACATTTTATTTCTCGTCAGAGATACTCCAGTGGTAATGACATTTTTTTTTAGAAATCCACTAACAAGAATTCAAAAACATTTTTTTCTTGGAAAATCTCGCAGATTGATTTAAAAAATGTCAAAAGTAATTTTATAATATAAACACGTTATTTCATTAATCATGTATTTAAGTAAAAAGTTCGTTTCTCTTGAACAATCCATTATTGTGATACATTCTTGATTGATCATTTCGTTTTACAGGTGTGTCTAAACGGGCAATGCGTTCCACTTTCCACAATAGGACGAAAATAAAAGTAAGTACTGACTAATTTGATAAATTGCATTGAAATCGCTCATTATTTCACATAAATAAGGGTTTTCCTACATTTTGTAAGGAAAGTTTTTGCATAAATATATCACAACAAGAATGACATTTTCATGCAATCAATTATCTCGAGAAATTTAAAGTACTTTTTACTTAACATAATTTCTATAAAAATCTTTAAATAATTAAATCGTTTCCAGATTGGTAAGGGAAGTTCCTCTCAGAACAACGTTTTTACTTCAAAGCATTGAGAAATGGTATACTTATATGGAAATTAAGTACAGAATTAAGAACAGAAATATGACATACAAACATTGGTACAGAAATTGGTATACAAAAAGTAAAACTAATTATAACATTAAACAGTATACTGTATTGTATTCTTTAAATAAACTATTTCCTATTAATTTTACAGTTTTAGCCAGCTGCGGATATTCGACAATCATCTGTCTCACATTTAGACAAGCAATCGATCTGGAAGAATATGCCTTGTGACCCGTTTCTGAGTTATGTATCATGTGAGACGAGTCGTGAAGATCTCACAACTATTGATAGTGAAAGTGAAATCCAATTGTGACTTTTGTGATTAAAACAGACTTTAGTTCTAATGTGACTCAATTAATTGACTATATGTTTTGTTCCTTTATGCCATATGATGGCAATACCTACCCAAACTGTACAATACCATACTGTATTCAAAATCCGATGAAATGCTTAATGAGCAGGTTCTTTGTATGTTGTCTCACTGATTATCTTTCCTTTTTTAATCTTTACAAAAACTACATGGAATTATTTGAAGTGACCAAATGATATTATTGGAAGTCATAGATTTATTATCGTTAGATCCTGCATGCATTTCATCCGCCTCTTTCTTTACTACGACCAACCTCAATTTGACCAATGCAGTCGAGAACACAAAGACAATCTTCCTGGTCTGTAAAGCCAATGTCTACTCTTGTAATGGAAAATTACTGGAAAACGTTTTGTTTCCTGTAATGATTCTGAAGTGTAAATGTGTGCATTGTTAACTTTTTTACCTCCCGAGTTTTCTATCAAGGAAAAAGGGCCTAAAAGATTGACATGTCAATTTAAGGCAATGAAATGATACTCAGAAAGACTTTTTCATACATATTTTTGATTTTTCGTGGAGGGGTTGAGCAACTCTAAAACAATTGAGCATACAAATGTATTTTGTATGGACATGAATGTCTAACTAAATAACGTTGCAATACAACAAAATAATTTCCTATTTTGAAGTACACATCTATGAAAATGATTTTCTCTTAAAAAAATAGCATATATAGATCCTTCCTTCATAATGACAAGTTATTTCAATCATATTATCTGAGTTAAAACTTTAATGCATATGTTGTCGTATAAATGTACAAGTTGTTATTTTTAATAAATGTTTGATTGCAGTTTACTTTCTATTTATTTATTTTTCACTTAATGTCTTACCAAGAAGATACACTGCGATATATATTTTAATATGGATTAATTTTAAAGGTGCCAAAATTCTGACTTGACTGTTGAACTTTAGATCACATGTTAATCACAATATGGTTATAAAATAGAATATTTATTGTTAATGTCATCATTACTAGGATGTACATTTTCAGCTCTTTCAGCACTATTCCATAAAGTTAATTATCTTATTGTAATCCTGCAAAAAGCAATTCCTAAAAAAGGGACATGGAAGAACATAAGAAAATACAAAGGACACATTAAAAATAACAAGTGAAGAAGATTAACTTGTAGTGTTTTGTAGACTATGGTTTCGTCTTTCGGTTGTTTCCGTATTTTTTTTTATTCCATGGCGTTTTCAATGTGTCTTCGACTGACGAGTTTGAATATCCCTTTGGTATACCCCAAAAATAAGCAATAGACTACAAAACCACAAAACATAAAAAATTGAGGAACACATACAGACATAACTAAAATAAATCAGCGTTGAAATTGAAGTCAATTGTTTGGACTATAAATTTAATTACTTCATCCTTTACTAAAGATTTTAATTGAAATTTCCAAAATCATCACATCAATTGTTTTTAAAAACAAATTCCAAAGAAAATTAGTTAATTGCTTATCCTAAATAGAAACGAGGAGATTTCAAACGAAAGATGAAAAACAGGCATGTTTAATTAAAGTATATTTGATGACTTCCGTTACAAAAGACCACAGAAATGATAATTTTTTCCTTCAACAGACTATCTAGCTGATGATGTTTTGTGAAATCGAGTACTATTAACAAAAACACTGGGAAAAAAACTCTGTGTAAGGAAACATTATGTATACCATACACAGTTTCAATCAAACAAATTATATAATATATTTCAGAATTACAAAACTTAACAACATATAACAATATACAGTATGTATTACAAAAAAAGGTTTGTGAAAAGTTATTTGTACAATCAGACATTTGCTAAATCTATCCCTTCCTTTTTGTTTGTCTTTGTCTGTTCATCTTTAGCTATCATCTTGTTACTATCATTAAGATATTTCTGAAAATTAGGAAAACCATATACTGAATAAGTAATTATACACTAATTTGGGGATTCTAAAATATAACAAAAATCTGCAGTGATTGTCAAATACTCTATGATTTGAAGGACAATTCAAACAATGAAATTATTAACATCAGTATAAAACAGCTTCAATACATGTACTGACAATGCAAATGTAGGATATCGATTTCAGTAACCACGATACGTGTTTTAGAGACAAAACTGTATGATTGAAAAGTATTAGATTGAAAACTAATCGTGCAATTATATATTTAATATTAACTCACAATTAACAAGGTATAAATTTGGTCATAAGTAACCATTTAATTATTTTCTAATAAGACCAAGGTTGAGAAGGAAAACTGTGGGTTGAATACAGTTGGATCACGTACATTCTTCAGTGTGAAACGTAGAGCAACGACAGGGTTTCTAAACTGAAATTTCAATTACAAGAGCCATAAGTAGTACATATAAACTAAATTGGATCTAAACTCAGACGGATTAAAATAAACACGTACCATCTATGACAGGTAAAATATGATTCCTGTTATATGAGACAGTGAGTTACGATAATGATCTGTCGTATCAGTTCGTGATGGCGACCGCAAGCTTGTTTTGAATTTCAGTTGTCATTTTACCACCTTGGATTTTGTGAAATCCTGATTTCAGCTCCTCCATATAACCTTTTGTAGTAATTTTTAGTCACAAATAAGAAGACTTGGAATATCCAAGCCGCTTGTCCTCCACCAGTCATTCCAAATCAGGGTTTTGGATTAATCATTGTCTGTTTTCTTTCGGCACGCCCTTGATTGCATTCATTTTCCTGTGACACTGAGAAATTTAATATTTTTCTTCAACTTTGTGTTTGCATAAAAAGTTTACCCACACATTTCTTTTCATTCTTCGAGATTTTACGAGATCTAACCAACATACTATACATACCATCAAGTCTTTACTCATATAATATGGCTTTGAAACTCCATCATTTCTTTCACAATCTTCACAAAAACACAAAAATATTGTGTCTATGGCAACCTTAAAGCAAAACTTACACTTAAACAGCTTATAATTGACATTACTTCATTTTTTAAATTTCAAAAATGTAATTTATTTAACTTTATTGTATTTAAATATCGTTTAACCTCATTCTTGATTTAGACCTCCAACTGTGTAATTCGAAAGCCACTGTTTAGCTTAAAGTAGCAAAACGCACGTCTGGTGTAGTAAATTTTTCTTCACATTATTCTTAATGATAACACTTCTAGGAAATTTAATCTTCCACATGTTTATAAATAATAGTATTTAAAATTAAATGACGCACGAAGGAGAAGGCTGAGCTACATATTCTGCTAAAACAGAAGTGCACGCATGCTATGGTAATAACATACAATATATCAAATTCTCATTGTGTATACTTCGAATGAAAGGTAACATCTGCTTACATTATCGGGGCTCCTAGTATTACACTAGATTTGTTAGAGATGTATTACCAACAGTTTAGAATGTTGATTTTAACATAGTTTGGGGTTTACGATTTTCCACGTGGAAATTTTTCGTTTTACTTACATTCACCGTTTAAATGCAACTATTTTTCGCAGTCATACGTTTTTTTGCATAATTATACACGTACCTAATTTGCTTTTCAGTATGAAAAAAAGGTGAATGTAACTTGATTATACAGGGAATGGCGCCTTATTTCTAAATCGATTCATGAGGTTCGAACATCAGTATCGGTAAACTACTGTTGCCCAAATTAAATTTACAGTCTAGATGAAAAGTAATTAGGAAATGAAACAACAAATCATCAATCGATGGGCTATTATGATTACATCCAAAGCCATGTGCAACACTTAATCAGAAAACTAAACGTGCACGGTACATTGTCAAATTCTATATATAATCACTTGAACATGCCAGATGAGACATAACCTGATATTCCCTTAAAGAATTAATCATGCTCAAAGAAAGATGTGTTGGTAATATAAAAAGTCTATTCTCAATTGATAATCACTCTCTCAACAAAAATTCCATGATATGAAAATTTAAACATTATTGATGACGACGACGGAACAGTTGTATCTGTTTTCGCTTTACTTGACATTCGATACAGGTGGGACAAAACACCAATGGTTCACTTCAAACGCACCTAATTTGGTATGTTAAATTTCGTTTTCACAAAGTTTTGAATCATCATCATGGTCTTTTAGTATGTACTATGCCGTGTATTAATGTGTCTACACATTGAGAACACTTTTGTAACATTATCATTTTCTGAAATTCATTTCAGAATGCCTAGATTTCATTCTAGAACTGTAATCTGATATGAGTTATTTTTCTTCCGGAAAGTTGGTGCGTGGGTTCGTGGTGTAGTGGTTAAGATCGATTACTACAGTGCTGAAGGTCCCGAGTTCGATTCTGACTCGGGGCGCTGGAAATTTCAATACATCAGAGAGGTGATTTCACCCTCCCACACACATCTCTGGTACCCAGACCAGAGTTTAAAGTAGAATTGGTACTTTGGGGGCCTAGGTAGGTCAAAGTTGCCCCCTACTTTGACCTTGAGATCAATCTTCTGATATCTCTTTTGTTTGTCTACTCCCGTCGAGTAGCCCGGTTTTTCTCTACGAATACTTCGGCTCCCTCCACCTTAATAACAGACTACCCGATGTCCTAGCACTCCTTTTGTGTAGCTATGGGGACTGTCCTGGAAAATATTGTGACACATCTCCACTCATCCCGATTTGGAGTATACACGGATTCCACTGTACCCTCGCAGCTCTCGAGGAGTGCCCTGAATAACGGAGGGATCTTCGTACATACATACTAGTTTGCTGCAATGACAAACAATGATGCGCAGTAGCAATATAACATCGGTTTTACTGTAATACTATAAATATTTTCAGTTATATTTTCCCTTTTAGAAAGAAGTATTTTGCAGATGCGGAATTTATTGGACCAAAGATAACTTAAATTCAATACGTAATAGACGCTTCTCAATCTCCACTACAGCTATTTACGATGAAACTTACCTCATACACCAGTAGAAAACAATGTGACACTGCAAACCCAAAAGCCGCTGCAACTGTTATTGGTGCCCACATAAAGTTAATGTCGTCCCTATGCTGAAGTATATATCGTTGCCATGAATATATAGAAAATAGTGTATCGTGGTTTCATCTTTAGTAGGTATGTACAATGTAAGCTTGTCAGTTTGAAAAGGATATTCCCGAAAATAGAAACTTGTGACAGAAACATATGTACGAGAGGAAAGAGGGGGCATCGAAAATTGACAATGCATTATTGACGTGGTTCAAATCGAATCACGTTTAAGATAGGAACTATTTTTTAACACCAATAAGGTATTCCTTTATTTCAATCAATTGATTCTTACACTTCCTTCATCAATTCAAATATCCTTGTGAAGTACAAATATAATTTACAACTCTATTGTAAAAATTAATTACAAAGCATAAATCTAATAAAGGTTTCTTTACATTAACCATTAATTTTGACCTCTTCCAGTTTTTTATTATAACGCATTTTTTGTTAACTGTCTAATGTATAACAAAATATATTTAGAAAGGAAATATAAGAATTTCTGTCTTTAGATTTACAAGTACGAAAACGCAAAATCATCTTCAATAATTCATTTCACCATCATGATATTGTGACATGATTTAACTAAAAAAACATATTGCATTCTAAAAGATAGGTAATAATAATTTTATGCAGAGATACACATTCACCTTTAATAATATTTCTTAATTCTTTTTAAATATGAAGGATAATTTCGTGTGACTTATTATGATCAATCAAGGTGCAAAACATCATTTTTACATGACTGAAAGGTCTGTTTAGGCTTCTCAGTATTAGAATGTATAATAATTTAAAAAGTAAACCCATTACATTTAACTTTTTCAGTAAAATTAATTTTCATTTTAATAACCATTTAATATCATGGTTCAGATCTTTGACTTGGACGTCATTCATATCTGTACTTCTTTTTGATGGAAGTCTTTTAGCTGACTGTTTAAGGTGTTTTAACAAATAAGTGAAGTAAGTTAGATGACATATACACTAGTATTAGAATTTTCAATGGGCTGTCTGTTAGAAAAGTTAATCTGTTAAAATAACCTTAAGAAACGATTGAAAATTGAATGTTGGCAAAGACAATATTACATTACCTTGAGAAATTCATGACCAATGACTAACACGATTGCCATTGTACTTATTTTACCAAGAAATAGTACAAAATCACCAATGGAGTTTATAGCTGCAACTCTCAAAGCATTTGAAACAATGAGCAGAAACGCCTTTTGTGCTCCTCTACAGAAACTGTACCCATAAATAGCTGCAAAAAGATGAATTATGAGAAAATAAAGCATTTATATCTGAAACCACATTTAATATCCTACTATGAGTTACATTATACTCACAGAATATTTCGTGGAATGCTTTCATTATAAACAACATACATAACAGTATTTTGAAAATGTCATTTGGTTTTCATCCAAATAAAATGTTAAACTTGCATGGAATTCAACCGGAGGTTTTTTATAGGTTCGTTTTTCTCAATCGATTACTGATTGTCGTTTGAACGTCCATTGGTTGTCATGCCTACCCCTAAAATTAATCTCCAGATTGTCTACAATTTGTACACACAAACACACAACGATTATAAGGTCTACATACGTACCTATTTCAATATATGCGTTTCTATTTAGATAAGCTAGAAACTTTTCAAAACACCAAAGACAACATTGCAACATTTTGAGAAGGAAATCTGTCACCTTCCCTACTTTTCCACGAAGCCTAAAATATTGAAAACATAAGATAAAAGTAATGATTTACTGTTGAAATTGAAAAATAAATAAACAATTGATACTTAATTAATAACATTAAGTTCAATTTCAAGTGCGACATGTATAACACAACCCTTTATGTTATATTATATAGGCAGAGTAGCACACAGCAGTGTTATTTTATATTGACCAAACAAAACACTTTCAAACCCTTAACGCGGTAAATTGTAAAGGTATTAATATGGTATAGAAGTAATAATATTTGACCAAACACCAAAACTGAACATCTATGGGCGCTATATTTGATATGTTGCTTGTTTATAAGTCGGTATCGTATCTTTTTAAAATTTGCGAACTTTAAAATGGAACTGAAACATTTTCTGGAAATCAGGAACACTCAAACCCAAGGTAGTATAATAACTTGAATACATCATGAGCTTTAAATAATTGTCACTTTGCCTGAGGGAATTGGAAATTTTAATTACACATTTGATAGGTTTTTGTTTTATTAAAAAAAGAATGATTTTACACTACATATTTTCTATATAAAATTGTAGAATTTTGCAACCTATTTTTTTATATACAAATATATTGCTGTTTATACGGTGACCTTAATTTCTAAACTTAATTTAATGTATTGATATTTAATTCAATAGGAATATCTTGAAATACATGTCTCGGAATCTATCACAAAAGTTATTTTGTACATCAATGTAAGTGTCTATCCAATTTCTTCTACACAAACTATCAAATCCCATGTTTAGTGTTCACCTACGGTATTTCGTGTTGCCTAATCTATGTTGTCTTTGTTGTACTTTGTGAACTGTTAATTGTCTGGTTGCAACACTACTGTCTTTCTGCTACTCATAGTTTTTGATTGCCACTTGATATCTTCTCTCCATTTCCACAGGTTTTTATAGAGCTCAGAAATTGTTTGTGTCCAATTTATTTGGGGTATATTTGATTGGGAAGGTGTAAGTCTTTGCTTGTGCAGTGTTTATTCTGTCTTAATTGTTTTATATTCCGCACTTGCAGGAGACTATTCAGATTTGCAAAAATTCCTATAGCAAAATTATAGGTTAAGGATTAATTAATTGATTAATTAAGTTGATGTTGTTTACTAAACTCCAATGGGAAAACTTTCATGCATTAAATATTATAACAATAGTCAAAACCAATATTGTCCTGTCAGTACTTACTTGTTCTGAATATATCCAAGAACCATCCTGGCCAGACGGACAAGAGCAATTATAAACGATCCAAATGCAACAGATCCAAGATGGTATCTGCCAACAGATAATAATCATTTATCATTATTTTGAAAATTTTCTTTTAAGTTACGGTCTTATATATTGATATATCTTAGTTTAGTTTGTCAGATAAATTATGTGTTCTTTAATTACTGAGACGTTTAAATTTGATAATATCAACAAACTATCTATAAAGTATAATAGAAGAACCCTTATATTGAGCATTTATTATTATTGGGTTTTTAATCAAATTTATATTATGATTTTATTTTTTTTGTTTGTACACTCAATTTGTACAAATATGTAAAAAAAATTAAAAAAGAATATGTCATAAGTGCTATCCAATCCATCAAAAATGATGGAAAACCGTATTTCATATAAGGAATAGAAGTAATTTACAAATACTTCAAAATGTCTACCTTTTTTGAAAGTTATTTACTTGTACTTTTCGTTATTTCACTGATCGAGATTAAAAGGCACAGGGTCGAGATATCGAAACATTAATCAACATCACCAAATGTTTATGTGTTTTCAAACGCCAACAATCTTGTAAGTTTTTGTTTGTTTGTTATATCTTCATGTTTAGGAACTTTTTAAACGGTTGAATATTCGAACTTTTCTAGACTCAGGGTGGTTAACAACTGTTCATATTGTACGTAGACATATGTCACTTTTCGATGACCGCATGTTTACCTCTATGTCATTTGAGATTTGTTGTGCCCTCTTGGCGCTGTCTAATTGGTGTTATTCATAACTTGCAAATCTATTATAGATGACTAATCAAACAGACATATAATCTGATGAATCTTTGGATTATCTAATATTTATTTGAATGCAGTCGGTTGAAAACAAAATTTTACGACAAAAGAGATGATTTCAACTTCACATTTCTATGTAGCAACATCCCAGCAGCGCCTGCATATAGAGTATATATCTCCCAGTTGTTACGATATTTCAGGGCTAGTATTTCCTGTCATGATTTCCATGGTAGAGGGTTGCTGCTCACAAGGAAGCTATTAAACCAGTTCCTAGTGGTGAAGTTGAAATCGTCCCTTCGAAAATTTTAAGGATGCCATCACGAGTTGGTTGACCGTTATGGAATATCCGTTCCACAGATGACAACGGATATGTTCCAATTGTCGTAACTTCAATCCCGTCCCCTTTTCCCCAATGTGACCTACCGAATTAGAATTATCACCGGGTTTGTACTTACATGAACAACATGACGGGTGTCAAATGTGGAGAAGGATCGGCTTACCCTTCCGGAGCACCCGAGATCACCCCACTTTTTGGTGGGATTCGCGTTGCTCAGTCTTTGGTTTTCTATGTTGTGTTTTATGTACTGTTGTTTGTCTGTTTGTCTTCTCTTTTTAAGCCAGTGCATTGTCAGTTTATTTTCAACTCATGTGTTTGAATTTACCTTTGGTATCCTTCGCCTCTCTTTTTATAATATTCAGACTTATCTAATTGATTTAAAATGGACCGAAAAGCCAAATAATTTCGTTATAATTTGTTTTCAATTATAAACAACTGTTTCTATCTAAATAACGGTAATTGTATTTCAAACTACTAATATTTCTTTGTCTTTTGCATAACAGGAAAATATTACCTTACCTGATGAGTCTTTTGATAGATGCAAGGACTGGCCATCCAAGTTGGCTCTTATCCCTAAAATTATGGAGAATTGATATAATTCATCTCTATGTTAATTATGATTTTAAAAGTTGACATGATTATAAATAATTATGTTAAGGCTTGTAATTAGCTGTGTATTGTTTAATTTGTCTACATCAAATTTATGTAACTCATAGGGAATTGCCTACATGTTTCCCAAATTAGAACTGCGACTACTTTAAAACATAGGAGTCTCAGATTAGAAGCCATAAACATCTACATTATCATTCAGGTATGCATAGAGTAATGAGAGAAAACAAGGTACACAAATTAGTTTATGACTTTATTATGCTTATTTTTTTCACACTAATCATCATGTTACCAACAACCACCACCCCCCTTTTCCCCCTTTATCCATTTAGTCTTCAATACTACAAATAAAATAGATAGTTTTATAAAAAACAAAAATAAAAAAAAATAGTAGATCGCAATGTCGTGTTCTCCCAAATCGTAATTCAAAATATTGGAAATCAAGAAGTATGTGTCTGACAGATCTGGAAAGTGGTTATGGTAGAGTCATCACTGTCATATTGCATACTATTTATGAAGTCATTCTATTCAGTAGAACTGAAAAAATGTGTGACAAAATATTTGTGAGACAAAATGACGAACGAACGGGTGGATAAAGGTTATTGCAATATTATGTATATTACCTTTTGAAAAACCACGTTGCGATTGCACCAGCAATAACCATATCTTGACAGGCCACAATGAATGCTGATACCCAAAGGATTCCAAATATATGGTACCACCGTAGATACTATATATAATACATAAATGTTATACGTGAATTTCGTTTACACTTCCGAATGATGTGTAGAATATATATTAAAGAAAATATCTGAAATTAACTTCTGTGAAATATAGTTTTAAAAGGTAAAACCGTTTTAGTATTTCAGTTTTGAAATTTAAAACCTCTTTAGTATTTCAGTTTTGAAATATAAAACCTTTTTAGTATTTCAGTTTTGAAATATAAAACCTTTTTAGTATTTCAGTTTTGAAATATTTAGTATTTCAGTTTTTAAATATTTAGAATTTCAGTTATGAAATATAAAACCTTTTTTAGTATTTAAGATTTAAAATATAATTTTCAGTTTTGAAATATGAACCCTTTTTTTTGTATTTCAGTTTTAAAATATAAAACCCTTTTATTATTTTTACTTTTTTACCATTTCTCAGGCTTCATAAAAAAATCTATCACTTTCTTTAAAAGAAAAGCTCCGCATTTCCAGGTATTATAAAAGGTATGAATTGATAAGCTTTCAAGTCTTACCCTCATAGTATCATCCATAGCATATTTGACAATTCCTGTTGAATTATTCACCTCCGGAATTTCTAAAACATATATATCAGAAAATGAGACAGCCTAAAATATAGCATATACAACCTCTAATATCACTGTTCACCTTTAGAACAGGAGTAATCGGTATCCAATTATAACTTTAGATTCATTACAACGACAATGTTGCCTAGAATTAGTCACTTAATGCTCAAAATTAACCTCTTTGTGATGTTTTCGGTACTAGTATTATAAAGCATATTGTTAAACAGAATAAGATTTTAAATTTTTAGTAAACTTCGACTTTAATAGTATATGTTATGAAAACAATAGTATTTTACATACCAGATGTTTCAATATATGCTGCTATAGCAGCAAGCCCAGCCAATACTCCACCAAGTATAATTAATGTCTAAAAGATTAAAGTTAACGTCAATGTAGTGTCAATAGTAAAGATCATTACATGCTTTTTAAATTATTGATTGAAAAAAGCAGATGGGTTCTAAGTTCAATAAACTCCTTTTCAGTTTACAGCCGTACTCATGATCGCGGAATATCGATATGTACCCCTTTTGAGTCTTTTGTAGACAAAACGCGCGTCTGGCGCAAATACAAAATTTCAATCCTGTTATCTATGATGAGTTTATTTGTAATCACAATCCCATCATCCTATATCTATTTATAACCATGATTTTAACTTGTCATTAGAAATACAACATGTGCAAGTAGATGAGCAGGAACTGTTTACCCTTTCAGACTACCGGTTCGCAGTAGGTATAAATAGGATACTGCTGCTCCATAGTAAGCTTATTGTAAACTTTGTGTGGCATTTCGTCTTTCTTTTTTTGTCTTTTTCGTTTTGAAAATGGTGTTGCCTGTTCAAAGACAGGATTTTTTTATCTTATTTTTATCTTTAAATTTTTCATGACTTGTCCATACATTCAACTGTTCTCAATCCAATAAAAATGACCAACCATTGATGGTGAATCAATATTATGCTTAAATAAAAGTAATCAATGTTTTGCACCAATATTAAAACGCTCGACTTCTGGATTTTTTGCTCTACAAGACTATTTCTCTGTCTAACTTGAGGGATCGTCTACATCGTTTCAAAAGGGTGTATTCTAAAAAAAAAAAAGAGAGAGAGAGAAAAAAAGAACGATAATCGAAGATACCGGTTTCTTGTTTTAGTTCAAGAAATATATTCTTTAAAACATCCTGATTCAAAATAACAAAAACACCGAAGAAGAAATCAATAAAATGCTTGGTTTTCTATCAACAACAAAAAATTTTGTCTGACAACCTCTTTTCAAAGTTACATCTCAGTAAAATATTGTTTATAGATTGTTACCTTTTCCGAATAAGTTAACCACTTATATTTAATTGCTTGCGTTGAGGAGTTTATCGCCACTTCATATTTTGTTCCAACGTTAACTGCATTAAAATCTTTACACGTACTGTAACAAGTCTGAGTCAAGAATGCTTAAGGTTCATCAAAAGGAATTGTAAAATATGGCCGTGTTTACACAACAAAATCTACTATGAGTACAGACAAACTGATGCATCCAGGAAAGTTTCAGGGTATGGCAGGAACTAAATATATAAAAGTTATATGTAGTCTATGTTTCAGAAAATTAAAAATTTACCTGGATTTTGATGTGCATTTTTTTCCAGTCTGCAGAAGATAGCAAAATAAACAAACACATGAGTTTCATTTGATACGGTCCACTCAGTTACACAGTTTAAATCACCTATTGTTTGCAGATGTCTATTGTCCATCTATTGTCCATTTAAATCAATACTACTCACAACATTTATTATATGAGGGGAGCTTCTCAAACCTCTTTCCCAACTTAGTTTATTTTTGGCACCTTCTGCAGGAATGAAAAAAAATGAATAGCAAAATCCAGAAAAGTTTATAATTTTCTGAAACATAAAATGCATTTGAAATCTAATTATCTAGTTCATGCCATGCCTTAAAGCTTTTCCAGGTGTACAGGTTTGTCTGTACTCAGAGTAAAATTTGTGGTGTAAATATGGCCATATTAGCCAAAAGACGGAACCTTAAAGACAATTCCAGTATTCATGTATAGTTATGATGTTCTCAGTGTCACGTCACTCGATATATTATTCTAAAACCATGTATCTCCTGCCAAACATCTTATCGAGGTGCTGTACAATTAATTGCTGTAAAGTTTTCCATGCGTTTTCATGGCCCCACAAGACGTTGTTATCCTTTATTTGACCTCAGATTTGATCGTCCTTTTGTCGGTGATAAGCGCTATTCCCTACAAAAAGTCAGTTGATTCTGCATGCTGGCCGCTATTACGTAATAGTCGCTAAGGTCTGTAAATCCGTGGTAACCTGCTACTATATGGGTGTAGAGTGATACATATATTATTCCTATCCAATTGTGCTTCTATTTTTGCCGCAATCGAGGAAAAGAAGGTCTCCAACTGTACCATTTGGAAACGTTGTTTCAATAGCTTCCTTGTAAGCAACAAACCTCCATAAAGGAAATCATTATAGGAAACACAAGCACTGGATTATCGTAACAACTGGAAGATATATATTTCATATGCAGGCCCTTATGAATTGTTGCTTCACAAAAATGGAAATTGATCACTGGAAAATTAAAATCACCTCTTTAGTGCAAGTTAAATTCTTAACCAACCCTCATTATCTTTCCTGATTTTTTTTTGTGTGATCATTTTTCATATCGTGCTACTCGTTTGAAATGGAAAATTGTCGCTAGTATCCCGTTAGCAACAGCGTATTTTTTCTCAGCCGAGAGGAAGAGAATGTATTATATAAGAAAGAGGCGAAAGATACCAAAGGGACATTCAAACTCATGAGTCAAAAATAAACTGACAACATCATGATATTAAACATAAGTCATGGTATGAGAGACAACTCTCCACCACAGATCAAATGGCGTAGAAGTTAACAATTATAAATCAACGTACGGCCTTCAACAATGAGCAAAACTCATACCGCATAGTAAGCTATAAAAGTCCACGAAATGACAAATGTAAAACAATTCATACAAGAAAACTAACGGACTGATTTATGTACAAAACAATAAACGAAAAACAAATATGATAAAATAAACGTCACAAAAAATACGTCACTTTTTGTGGCGTTGATACATTCGTGTGACGCACAGTTTATAATTCTATTGTGGTGTCCTGGTGTACTGTAGTAAATTTATGGGAGGTGTCCGTTGTTATTCTGTGGTTTACATGTTGTGATGTACTATTATATTATTTTTTATGTATTTCTCTGTCCTAATGTTCTTGCGTTTATTTGTACTGTATTCCTGTCAGGTAATATTATAATTTTAGCGGTATTTTTAACATTGTCATATAAGCGGGAGGTTTAGCTAGCCATAAAACCAGGTTCAACCCACCATTTTTTTCTTAAAATGTCCTGTACCAAGTCAGGAATATGGCAGTTGTTATCAAATAATCCGTTTCTATGTATGTTGGCATTTGTTTTTGTTGCAGTTCAGTGTTTCTGTTGTTCCGTTGTTTTCCTCTTATAGTTGATGTGTTTCCCTCGGTTTTAGTTTGTGACCCGGATTTGTTTTCGCTTAATCGATTTATGACTATTGAACAGCGGTATACTACTGTTGCCTTTATATACAGCCACAAACGACAACCACTGAATTACAGGCTCCTGAGTTGGGACAGGAACATACAGAATGTGGCGGCACTAAACCCTCCCCTTAACTGAGCGTACGTCATTGACGTTGCCTAGGAAAACAGCGATAAACAGATTATCAATGTCCTTTCAAACTCGAGGTTGTATCTTGGCTACATCTCATCTTAGGGCTATCGCCCTTCCATGAAATAGTAGCTGAGAAACATCCTCTCGCTTGGGAAACCGTCGATAATCTATAATTATTAATTTCTAGATGTAATTCAAGACATGAAGCAGACTTAACAGAATCTATTTTATTATTATAAATATTATATCGGAAGCAAGTTTATAAAGTGTTATTTTCGTTTACCAGCACTGAGTATGTACCACTGCTGGTGGACTGCAAGTCACCGAGGATATCATCAGCTCAGTAGGCAGTGCTTCGGTACTGACATAATTTATAACAAACATTATTCTTAAATTCTCCGATGACAAAGTACGAAAAAAAGAGGGACGAAAGATACCAGAGGGACAGTCAAACTCATAGATCGAAAACAAACTGACAACGCCATGGCCAAAAATAAAAATACAAACAGACAAATAATAGTACAGATGACACAACATAGAAAACTAAAGACTAAGAATTTAGTTTAGAAACTAAGGTTCCAACTCTCTCGGGTGAAGTTAAATAAATTTGACTATTCTCTTTATGTCCCTTTTTGTTATTTAGCTCCTCGTGGTTTTAGGTATTTACTAGAAATCACCCGCGACATCTCGGGTCCATGACTGAATTAAAGTACGTATCCTCGATTTTTAGTATACGTATTGTCATCTGATAAAGTCATGCTGATTGTAAGGTGCACAGTTTTCTCTGCTTTCAAAATCTTTCTGTTTGAACCCGTCCTGGTTTTCTTACTACAGTAAACTTACTAAAACTAAATTGAATTGTTTAACTAATTAATCAAAATTAATAGTGGTATTGATGTGGAAGAAAACAGACTTGTTAAATAGTTTACTTTAGTTTAACATAGATATAAAACAACCACTGGAAGAATTCCTGGTTCTCCTAATACAGGAGGGATTTACAGAAGATAACAGGTGAAACCGGAAATCACATATTACATATACTATTGGTATCGGTATCGGATTCGACCCGGAACGTGTTAATTATTGGTAATATTAATTAATGGAAAACAAAAGATCCTGGAATGGTGTAATTTTTAAACAACACCATTGTCCTATATAAGCTATAAAGTTGAATTCTTTGATTCGTCGTTTTTACGTCATGCTGGCTAACAAATTGAACCTCGTTATTTTAGTAGTTTAGATACCAAGGTTTATGAAAAAGTTGACGTCACATGGATGTTAAACTTTATTCTAGTTTCAATTTCGGTTTTGGGATCAACGTTGATAAATATTAATGTCTTAGGATCGCATATATATTTTGGTTATCAAGTGATAAGTCATTTCATTTATGTTCACACAAACGAATATGCGAAATGCGCATCTGGTGCAGAAAAATTGGTACCGTTTATGTTAATACAACTCTGGTAATTGATAATGCCGATATTGTCATTGGAATCTTGCTGCTATGTTGCAGTAAATTATAAAATAATTTTACCACAAGGCTTGTATTTCAGTAGGTGTAATTTGCTTGTATTGGTGTTCAATCCACAAAACGACTGTCAAAATATCTTCACAGTTCTTTACAGTAAAAAATACACCCAAAAAGACATTTAATAGACATGCAGAGATATTATTTAGGTCATGGTTTTTTGCAAGATAATATTTGTGTTCGATTTGGACATAATGGAACTTTGTCAATATACTGCAATTCTTGCTGACAGCCTACTTGGTTATTGGCATAACCAACAAGATTTATGATAAAATTATATGAACCCTCTTTGTCAGTGTATATTGTGAACCTATACTAATCGGTATCTATAACTCGACACACATATCTGAACTTATTACACTTACCCATAGAGGTTGAAGCAACAAGAAAGGAATGCATCTGATTGCTTTTCCAGCCTCTTTGAATAACTGGACAACCTAAATATCAAATCAATCTTTAATCTATGAATAAATACATATACCATTATTTCAGCACAGGGTCAACACAGATAAACCCAAAATTACTTTCATTTTTCAGTAGGATGGCAATGTTATATAGTAAATTTAATTCGATTAAAGACCAAAATGGGCATATTATTTTTATATTAAATTATTGGTGTAAATACAACAACTACATCTACCCATTTTTATAATATGTCTACATTTTATATAATCTGTTTTTATTTAGCTAAAACATTTGCCGCATAATGTTGTTGTTTACAATTTCGATGTACGTGCCTCGATCGTTTCATGATGATAAACAAAAAATGAATCAATATTATTCCAAATACAACGGCTTAACATTTTGGGGTTTGAGCCTTCCTTATGAATGTTAATCCAGAAAAGTGATTCGCACCCACGAAATTAATATTAAATGTTATTCTCATTAGATCAAATCCTATAAAAAAAATACTATGAATATGAGAATTAAACTCGTCTCTTTTTAAATTTCTAAATAAATGTGATGTAGCACATATTTAACGAAGAAGCATTTTATGTCAATTTTTATTTAAGGATTTATTCTTCTGACGTTTCAGTCTCGTTGAAATCTCGTTCTAGAATTATTTTCAAAACATGTGATACAAGTGGAAAATATCAATGAATTTAAAAAATATTATAATGAAACTAAACTCTGTGAAAAAATTGTGTATTTACAATGAGTAGTTTTTGAGTATTCAATTTTTCAAATTTTATTACCAATGAAGTCAGTCTTTTTAGCCAAAATTTTGAGAAAATGGGTTAGGGGTACAAGAAATGATTTTACCAGAAACATGTACATCCCATATCACTTTTTTCTTTTCAAATTTCTTAGATATGTATTTTTACAATCATTTATAACAAAGAAGTTGAAATAATATGCATTTTGTTCTTAAAACAATGAAAAATCACAAATTTACAAAATTGACAGCATGGTAAATTTGACACAAAAACGCATCAAAATATGATAAAACTTTCTTATATTAACACCTACCTAAATTTTTTTTAAGTTAAATTTATTCAGATTGGTCCAACTCATCTTTATTGAAAGTATGAAAAAAAGTTTAATTGTGGAACTGTGATATTTTTCACGATAATAGCCCAAAAACACGTAAAAATTGATGAAAAATGGGAAAATCATTAAAATTGGGTACCTTCAAAGGGCCGTAGCAAAAAAAGAAGTGCACCACCGTATGATTTTTTTCTTCACCAATTATTTTTTTACAGTCAAATAAACCCAAAAATCAGGTTAAGAAAAAAAGTTTAATTCTAGAAAATTTTGGCTCCTCAGAGGTGTACATCCTTAACACTAAAATTATGACAAAATCTTCATTCTTTATCAACATTATATATATAATTATATCGAAGATGCAAAGAAATAAGCTGATTGATAATTGCACATTTTTTCACGATCAATACATGTAAAATATGCATGTTTATTAAATCATAATGTATGACTTTTTTGATTTATCATATGAACGCAGCAAATTCGGCAAGAAAGATTCGCTAAATATATAAATGCTTCCTATCTTCAGAAATACTAAGCGCATTTTCTACCTTTGATATGTAGAAGAAGAAAAATGTTAAAGCGTCAAAGAATTTACTACAAATCACATTTGTTTGTGTATGCCCTGCATCGTAAATCTGGACTTTAAATCATAACTCAACGGATAAAAACATGTTTTTTAAATTTTTGCTTCTTGTTTTAAATAAACCTCCATGCGCATTTATAGTCAAAATATTTGTATATAGTATGTTGAGACTGGATGAATACTGAAGTGACTATTTTATCCGATGAAATGCATATCAAAAAAGCTTTTGGTTTGATTATGTTGTGTTGATTTTAGAGGAAAAACTAAATTTCAGATTATTTCAGGACGAATTTAGTTCCCTAATTTTTTGGTTTGTTACCTTGATTTGTCTTTCCAAATCATTTAAATTTGAACATCGGTAAACTGCTGTCTCCTTAATTTATGAAGAAGAACAACTGAAATCGACACTAAATAAGTTGTATGGTCACCACCACGAATTAGTTGACCTATACGACGTGTCGTTGTCTCAAGTGACTATGTTTTTGCGGTCTTAATTCTCAAGATACCACTATAGTTTGATCTATGATTTTAATGATTAATGTTTTATTGATTATTCTTTATATCTATTTTTGATAAATATCAAAATAATATGCAATACCTTTTTTTTTTACTTTAATTGATTTATAACTCAGGAGAATTCAATGATATTTATAACAAATCTATATCTTCAAATACTTACGAGTGCAATTCTTTTAAACATCATCAACAAAAGAAGCAGTATAATAATCTAAAAAAAAAAAAAAAAATATATTAAAAAACTCGTTTTGCTATTTCGATTATTTTTCACACCATTTGACCATAGATTGCTTTATATGTCTTTGATATGACATTTACCAGACCATACCAGTAAAACCCAATTAACATATTTCTAATATTATAACTGGGACTATCTCTTGACATAAAACTTTATTTAGGGAACTCAAAGGAATTAAAAAAAGGGCGGTACGTAGAATAAAGTAAAAATATATCAATAAAATTGAGAACGGAAATGGGGAATGTGTCAAAGAGACAACAACCCAAACCGCAGAAAACAGCCGACGGCCACCAATGGGTCTTCAACACAGCGAGAAAATCCAGCACTCGGAGGCGGGCTTCAGCTGGCCCCTAAACAAAATGTGTACTAGTTCAATGAAAATGGACGTCACACTAAACTCCAAAACATATAAATGAACTAAAATTAAAAAACATACAAGACTAACAAAGGCCAGAGGCTCCTGACATGGGACAGGCACAAAAATGCGGCGGGGTTAAACATGTTTTGTGAGATCTCAACCCTCCCCTATACCTCTAGCCAATGTAGAATAAACAAACACACAGTAATACGCACATTAAAACTCAGTTTAAAAGAAGTCCGAGTCCGATATCAGAATAGGTAACTTAAGAAACTAAACAAAATAACAATGATACATAAATTAACAAGATACTACTAGCAGTTACTGACATACCAGCTCCATACCTCGATTAAACTGATTGAAAGATTATGTCTGCATCCTATGAAAATCAAGCACACTCCCTCCCGTTAGGTGTTTAGTATCATACCATCATAAAATATATGAGAAGAATACATTGCATGTATTTCATTGACACGTGATGATGTTTGCCTCAACACTGTAACTTCTTCTTCAGTACATTTGTAGCACAAGCACTGAGATATAGGTAAAATTAATTATGTTTTTCGACAGAATAATATACACAATAATAGAAAACAGCAGAGCTATTTAGATGACAACTTATAAATTATAAATTGTCTTCATTGTCGAAAATTTAGCTATCTTAATTGAGTTGAAAAGTATCGGAACCTAATCACAACGGAAATACAAATCGAAATAATGTATTCAGCGACAAGGTTGCAGGACAAGAAATGACACCTGCTTTCAAATTTTAGTAAGTTCATTTCAAAATTGTAGTAAAACGTTAGCAGGCATCTAGATGCCAAACAGAAAATCAACTGCATGATTTACATAAATCAACAAATTGTCCGTTGAAAAATTAAGAAATTATCAAGAAACTATGATTCAAACTTCAACAGGAAAAGTAACGTTACGCTTGCGCTTGTTCACACTATACTGACTTCATTAAATAGGGGTATGCTCCTGACACAAAAACTGCTTCAACAGAGCTATGAGGACAAACGACTGACACTACATAAGTTTTACGGTCACCATCACGAATTGGCTGACCGATACGATGTGTCTGTGTCTGATTTGATAAGCGACATTTTTCGCGGTCTTAGATCTTTAGTTATCTGTCGTCTGTGCTGTAAATTTACCGATTGTGTCTTATTCCCGATTATGACATTTTGTCTGAGTGGCATGGCGGGTGATGAATGCACAACAGGGAACGTTTACCTTGTCGACGCACTAGGTCACGCTCCTTTTGGAGATCACGCGATTTTCTGTTTTTTTTTTACATTATTTTGTATCTTCTTTATAAGATTTGAACATTGGTAATCTACTATTGCCTCAAATTTGGGACAGACACATGAAGAATGTGGCGGGATTAAACATGTTTGTGGGGCGCAACCCTCCCCTAACGTGGGACAATAGTGTAACAAAACAACATAAAAGCAAATTGTAAAAAGCAGTTGAAAAGGGCTCGACTCATCAGACCGGCACTATGCACAAAGCCTTTTTAATGAAATACCATGTATGACGGGCTGAATATGCTCCCAATACTAGTGTTTTGATATCACCGTGCTTATATTTTCAATATACTAACGGTAATCCCACTGGCTATACAAGCATAAATTAACCAGGTTTCAACAGCATCACTCCTGTCAGCTGTCTGTTGTGATGCAGCGAGACTATCATATGCCATTTTCAGGTTATACCATGAATACCTCAAAAGAATAAAATAGAAAATCGTTATACAGTACAGGAATGCCCTTATAATAGATTGATTAAAGTTATTTATGCTGATTACCCAAATTCCATATTTGTTCAAGTACTACTGGATACAATTCTGGAATGTTTTGACGGATAATGCATGCTTAGAAGGTGGACGCATGTGGTCCGTTTGTAATGCTTCTTTCCAATTGCTTGACCTTATTACCTATGCGTATGATATATTAATTGAACATTGATAAAAAAATCTTGCATTCAGCTTTGAGCAATATTTTTTATACTTGACTTGTTTATTTGCAGACAATATTTTAAAACGCGTCATCAGTCATTGATAGACTGTTCTTTCCGTTTTAATTTTCCTTGAAGTTCGGTATTTTTGTTATTTTACTTTTTTTGGTTACTTCTAAAATGTGTTCATGTTCAACCTCTCATGCAGTCATACCACTTCTTCTAATTTCTATATTCGTTACAATAATTTGATAAATCATCTAAAAAGATGAGAGATTTAATGGTAACAGCCCTTAAATTATTCAGATCCATACCCATATTTTTATTTTCTAATTTCAGAGCTTACACATGCAAAACATCAAACACATATGCTTACCAGCAGTACGCTGTTGCTCCAAGACAAAAAGCAATAACAGCTATCACTATGAACCAGATTATAAAGGCCGCCAAAAATCCAAAGCATGCCACAATAATTATGGAAACACCTAGTGAATATCAGTAATTGTAATATTAATATTATTATAGAATTATTTTTGACAGAGTTTGACTACGATATTCTTGTAAAATCTTCTCCAAAATTACAGCAATTTCGGACCTATTCATTGAACTGCATTATTTAACTGACAAACCAAATAGATAGTACATTGCCATTGTAAGTAACATTTACTTTTTCAATAGACAAAACAAACAGATCAGGATGGATAAATTACATTCACTTAAATTTCCAACAGGGAAAAACATATAGATAGTGCATAAGTATGGGTTATACTAAGGATATGCTTAACCCGTGACATTGAATAAACAGGATGTTCACATATCATCACGTGTTTTTTTTTTTTTTTTTTTTTTGGCAAATCAAAAAAATACTCATCCATCACTCCACAAAAAATACAACACAGATTATAATTTAAATATTTTATCATATTAAAACGCCTTCTAACTACACATGTTTATACATGTATAGCTATGTTAATTAAATGGTTTTAGAATCTTTTTGAAAAGATCTTAAAAATTGCATTTATTTTTACTACAAATTCAAATTGAATACTTTGATATATGAAGTGATTTTTTTTAATATTACGGTTTATAATGTTTTAATTGCATTGCAATTAACAGATCAATACGTACACATGCTATTTTTTTTAAAAAGAATATACGATTTCAATCAAATAAAGCAAACTAATAACGAAATCACGGACATATGTGAATTCCGAATATAAAACGTAGAATTATAAAGAACAAGAATACCCCGCTCACACAATCATATGTCCTAGTTCAGTGAACCACAAAATATGGGTAATAACCCTAAGAGGAAGGGCAAACTTCCGCTGTATTTTTTTTACTCAGAGGGTCAAAATCATAAATTTGTTAAATCTTACTAGAAATTGAATATCAAAAAGTCAACACTATATACATTAGATAATGTTTCACAATTTTACAAATGTCCATAAAATTCAAATGCTATTACGTTGCTGTTGGAGGCATTTTGATATCAAACTGCAAATAGTTCATTTTTTTTGTCAAATTTTGAAATCGAATGACATCTCTTACAAAAAAGAACTAATCTGTATCCGAAAGGCAATACATAGCTTTACTTCCAACAGGTTTCTGTTTTTGGTAAAAAAAAAATCTGTCAATTGCCGTTTTGGGTTATATATTCAGGCGTTTCATGAATTGGTTGTATATTCAAAAATCAGCCATAATACCGGTATTGTAGTAAAGTATATTTTCAGTAAAGATTGAAAAACTTTTTAAAAATGGCACTAGTCATTAAGTAAAATCAGATGAAATTGGTTCTACGTGAAATGTGGCATTTATTTAAGTTGATGTGATCACAACTTCATGGTAAACTACCTTAAACCGAAACTTCAATCTGATACGGGACGGAAAGACGAACGGGCTAAAAGACGGACACACAGAACGAACACATGATTCCCCTACTATCGTAGTTGGGGCATAAAAACTCTGTAAATTTAGGAAATATGATTTTAAATATCATTACCAACGGATAGTGCACATAAATATAAAATTTCCATCCATGTATTTTTCAGATCAGATACAATTTTCTGAAATATAGGTATATATAATAAGTATTAGATCAATGACAGCATAAATAAAGCATACTTAGTTGTCATCAATTTTCATTTCAATCTCAACATTTATAGGAATATATATCATAAAAGGTAAAACATCGAAAAGAAATATTCATTTCTAAGAATTTAATCAATACGTGGTTTGTACAATATGAATAAAATGGATACGTAAACATTTTGGAGCATGACAGGTTATTTTTGCAACACTAGGATAAATATAATTGCACTTAAAAACGACTGGTATAGTCCAATGACAAAAAAGACCAATATGTTGTGTAGATCTAATATTGTATTTGTTCCTTTACCTTGCTTATGTCTCCCCCTACGGTAACGCTACTTAACACTGATGTAAAAGATCGTGCCATCGTTGCTGCCAGATTGACTAGTGCTTCTGGTATACATCTATTGAATACACTCATACTAAAAGAAAAAAAAAGAAAAAAAAGAACTTCATGGAAAAAGAGAACATTATAATCCTTCCCAATGTGAGACTATTTACTTTTTACTCTTTTTAAATTTTCTAGTCTGACGTCATACAAAATTACAAAATACCGACGCTTATTTTGATGATGCTCAAACACAAACGTCGGAAATCCAAAAGCATTGATAAACAATCCCCCCCCCCCCCCCCCAAAAAAAAAACAACCAAAAATATAAACCAACACAAAACACAATCGTATGCGTTAAAAAGAAATAATTCAAATCAAGTTTTTAAATCGAGAAAGGAATCCAAATGAAATACAATACCGAAAGCTTGTTTTTATTGGAAACTAAAGACAACCACTGACGAGATTCATCTAGTTTTGTAGCACTCATCTGTCCACCTTTTAACTCTCTCCAATGGAATAACAAAAGATACATAGAAGAAAATGCAATCAAACTCAGTCGAGACGTGCAATACCAATTCCAGTTTTCTGAAATTACTTCATTATGTATATGATCAAGAAAATGTCTGGAAACAAAAATCAAGAAATGTTTGAGAGCATCAAAGCAAAGAGAAGAAAAAGTGGCCGAAAAGGAACAGCTAAAACTGTCTAAGAGCAATTTTACCCAAGAGTGTTCAACATAAGTTTCAGTACGATTAAATACTGCATCATTTATATGATGCTTGTGCAAGCACTGGCTTCTTGTACCCTCTAGGACTTAAGGTCCACCAACAGCGATCTAGTGGTTATAACATAAATGTATTACACCGATTTCAGTGCGTAACAGTATGTATGGCATGTGTTCCTATGATTACCTAACAAGTCATCAAAACAACAAAGACATTACATTTTTGTGAAAATCGAAACCAAGAGGAACTTTGCCAGAGGAGTTGCTTTATTCAGTACTCAAAATTATCTGATTGAATAACATTAATGATGTTTAGTTTTTCTGCACCAGATGCGCATTTCGACAACAAATGTCTCTTTAGTGATGCTCGAGGCCAAAATATTTGAAAATCCAAAGCTTATTAAAAAGGTGAAGAGTTATAATCTAAAAAGGACAAGAAGGTAAAGCCAAATATCCAATTCCATATGATTAGAATTGTCATAAAAGGACATAATAAATATCTGAAAGGCTGACTAAGACTGAATGTACTGATTATTAACGCATAAAACATTCCGAACAAGCAGCGTTAAAATAAACAAACAAGTTGCAACTTTTCATTAGGTAAATTTATGTGTTTCTTGAATAATCTTAAATGGTAATATATTTAATCTCTTTATTTTTCATTATCTTCTATAAGATGTATAAAGGTATGAAAAAATCGTGTTGGTCGCAGTACAAGATTCGAAAATCAATATTATTTAGATAAAGCAAACGTAATTCATGACCAAAAATAGATGGATTACGTGTGTTGTGTCCGAGTACATAGTTGTGACGTTATAGAGAAAATATTAACAACTTTATAAATAGTTTTTGAATAGTATGGGATTCGTGTAATAAGCTTACTGCTTAGTTATAGGTGGAGTAGGGCATAATTGGTTGTCTGACACATAAGACATGGTATCATATCTACAGAGGTTGATTCCAGAAGTGTTCCGAAATTCATCAATTGCTGAACGATCTAGCAACGTATCATTTGGGCATCCTGACACACATGTGGAAATGTAGATACTTTCATCTAATACTGGTAGTCCTGTATTTATCTGGGACGTAAAATACGTCTGGTCGAAGTAAAATTTCTTTCTGAAACATAAAAGAAATCAGGCAATGAAACAAATAAATAACATCTGCTAAAAGAATAATTGCATTGATTTAAAAAACCACTACAAAAAGAAAAAGACAAAAAACCCACACAAAATAAAAAAAGAAATAAACAAAAACGCAGTGTCATATTGTATGGATCTGTTATTGGATACTAACCGTTTAGTTCATTTTAAGTCTATCACTACTATACCTCTAGTATAAAACAACTCTACGAGCTATTGGGCGATATAATTATTTACCATTAACCGAACGGTGATGTTATTCCGATTTCGAGTTCAAATTAAAAAAAAACAACTTAGGAACCATACCAGGCTAGTCGTTTAGTATGCCGTCTGCATGGGATTCGTCAGTAGGGGTAAAAGATTAATAACAATCGTAAGTTTTTGTAATTGATGTTTTGTTGGTATCAACTATTGCTTTTATCGATGTGTTTGTAAGGACTACATTGTTTAAGTCTGTTTATTTGGCTTTGTTTTACGAACATTTAAACTGGCATAATCCATTTATTTAACTCAAAATCAAATATACCAACTTTTATGCTTTCGGTGCGCATTAGACGATAATCTTCAACAGAAGATGTGATTACCAAACACAAGATGAATATATACATTAACGATATCACAAAAGTGTACCATGGAGGAAGAAGTTAGAACAAAATCTTCAGTGAAGATTACAAAATTTATTTACTAAGAATTTATTTAAAAGACCTACCAATGAATTTGGAGGATACATCAGATAGTAAGCACTATATTTTGATAAACATTATTTTATCTATGTAGTATTTGCATGCAACCGCAAATGACTGCTCAAAGCTGACTTCCTTTAATTTATATATTTTAAGAGTAGACGTTGAAAATTCATTATGATTATTGTATGGCATATGATAATATTTTCGCATATTAAAATATCCTGTATACCTTTTAAAGATTGTAAGTTCTGCCAAACATGACAAAGTAATTATATTAGAAATAATTGTTTTTTATATGCCCCTGTTTATTGAGTTCTCATTTGCGCCTGTTTTGCACCTTTAAATTGTTTCTCCTTTTGTCCCTGTTAACTGTTTGTCCTACTTGCCCCCGACTACTGATATTGATTTTTCAACTGCCAACTTGTACTGAAATCGGTAGCGGGGCGGTCTAAATGAAGATCTTGTAATCAGACTGTGATCGTTGTTACTTGTGTCTTCCCAGAGGAACCGTCGATGCTTTCTTTACTCTTAGAAGTCGGTTTGATACGATGTTTTAATAAAATTATGCCATTTAAAGGGGTTCTCATTTGGAGGGGGTCTGAACCTGGATCCCGCTTATTGTTTTGTCAGAATCCCGTATCCCGCTTATCATTTGTAATAATAGCGCTTGTAATTTCACGTGTCCCCATCGACTTCGTTTCACGTTTTCATGCAAATAAATTTGACCTTCACCGAATCACGTGTCACGCTTACAAAAAATCGGCCAATCCCGCATCACGCTTACAAAAATCGGCCAATCCCGCATCACGCTTACAAAAAATCGGCCAATCCCGCATCACGCTTAGACCCCAATGAGACCCACTTTAAAGACTCAGACTTTTCAGCACACACGCTGACTGGACGAATCAAAAATGAAGAGCGATAACCATACAATCATCTCTTAAACTATCACCCCACCAATGGTCGACAAAAACATTCACCTCGAATTCAAGATGTCTATCAACTGTACATTTCTAATAAAAGTGAACTATTTGACTTACACTTTCCCAATCATGTTTCGCCCAGACATTGGCGCCCCTGGAATCGGCTCATTCTTTCGGTTACAAATATTGCCCCAGCTATCTACACCGTAAATCATTTTATAAGGGTCACCTTTACTAATGCCTATGTATGCTACATAAACCTGAAAAAATATTGTGAATATAAAATCAAGTCTATCAAAATTACATAATCAAAATTCAGGAAAACATAGATATATTGTCTATATGTATATTATTTGCAAAACAATACTCTTTACAGGATTAAGCTTAACGTGTTTAGTAAATAATAGCGATCGAATAAAGTCTGCAAGATCAATCAATGGTAGCAGTATCCCCAAATAGCGGAGTACTAGGAGTTGTTTGTTTTTTCTCAAGGATTTGCAATTTTGATATCGATCGCAAAATCACAGGTGAAAGAAAAAATTTCGGCTCGTACCTGTGCGCAAAATAGGTAACACCTTCTACTTGTTAATCTTAAGAATGCTACTAGTCTTTAAATTTCGCACCTAAAAGGAATCCATTTGCGCCAACGCTACTTCTGCGCCAGTTCATTTTGAATCTATAGGTTTCATTTGCGCCAATAGAATAATCATACAATTGCGCCAATGTTATCAATTTATTTATTTTTACTTATGTATTATATCTTCGATAAATAGCCTAGCACAACACGATTTCGCTGTACATCTCCATCTAATTTCTCCATTTTCTTAATAAATTCCTGACAGAATTTGTGATCTTCTAAAACGATTTAAGGTTTCCCTCTATCAGACTCTTCTTTTTTAACAATATATCAGACATCTTTACATGTGAAAAACTATTTTATTACTGAACAATTTATCTATTGGTAAGTTTTGATTAGTTTTGATGAGTAATCAGTTTAATTTAAAGTCGAAAGGATAGTTATAGTACATGTTACATGTATCATATAGGTAAATAAAAGAAGAATGTGTCTGAGGACACGAATGCCCCGCTCAAGTTTTGGAATTTTCAAGTTAAAAAGGGGCATAACTCTAGAACGGTAAATAACTCGCAACCAAAATTCGAACTCTGTCTGCGTGTTGTGGTTCTTAGCATTGTGTATGAATCACATAAAATTTGGATGACTAAACTTAAGTGAGAGTGCGGAAACGAAAACAAATTGCAATTTTCCAAGTTATAAAGGGCATAACTCTAGAACGGTAAGTGACTTACTGCCTAAATTCGAACTCTATCTGCTAGCCTTGGTTCTTAGCATTTTGTATGAATTTCATAAAAGTTGGAAGAGGGAAAGTTAAGTTAGAGTGCGGAAACGAAAAAAAATCAATTTTCCAAGTTATAAAGGGGCATAACTCTAGAAATGTAAGTGACCCACTGCCCAAATTCGTACTGTGGTTGCGAGGTTTGCAGGGTTCTTAGCATTGTGTAAGAGTTTCGCAAAGTTTGGATGAAGAAAACTTAAGTTAGAGTGAGAAAACAAAAAACAAATCAATTTTTCAAGTTATAAAGGGTATAACTCTAGAACTCTAAGTGACTCATTGCCCAAATTCAAACTCGAGTTTCGGTTCTTAGTATTGTGAATGAGTTTCATAAAATTTGCATGAGGCAAACTTAAGTTAGAGTGTGCGGAAACAAAATTGGGACGGACGGTCACTGGTAACACTTAATGCCCCGTTGCCTACGGCGGGGGCATAAAAAATATACAGGTAAATTGGCGTAATGAATCACGACATCATAAAAATAGGGAGTGGCGCAATTGATCATGTTGATACCTTTTCAAAACTGTAATTGGTGCAAATTGATTCTTACCTTTTTTTCACTCAAACGAGGAACATACCCGTGGTCATATTTGACATCATCGATTACGTCATGATGGTGTCCTAACTATCGAACGAGTACATTACCATTAAAAACATTGGTTCATTATCTGCTTTGCATGTAGCAACCCTCTTATTATCAAGGAAATCCTGATAAGAAACACAACCTCTGGAATATTGTGCCAGCTGTTAGATAACATAACTCTATTATGCATATGCAGGTGCTGTTTGAAAGTTTTATATAAATATGGAACTTGTGCAACGGGAAAAGAAAAATTAAGTTTCAGCTGGCCAATTTGTGTATTTTTTTAGGTAAAGGATAAGATATCTGGTTATGACTCATAAATTGATCTCCAACCGCCCTTGCAAAGTCCATGAATAGCGGATTTGCAATTGCCGTCATAATTGACCACATATTTTAGAGCAGCAAAGCCTATTCGAACCTCTTTATGTTTTCTCAACAAAGGCTATTTTGCAAACGATTCTGGTATGCAACAGAGGAATTTACACAAGCAAAGCAACAAATGAAATTATACAATATATTTCGGTGCCGTTAATCAAGTTATGGGAATACAGGGAAAACAAATAAAAACATGTACTTAAAAAACGAAATGAAAATAGGTCAATATAACACCAAACACTGAAACCAGATAAATATATTAATTATTCCATGAAGCATTACTTTATACTTGTATTACCATTCCAGCTAAATAGAGCACCAATATTATAAGGAAAATTACATCAGTACAACGACGATCTGTCAGTGGGCCATCATCTAGCGATGTATCCTCTTCTTCACCTCTCTTCTAACATAAAAAAAATGTATAATATATAATTCTAAATTTCAATAAAAGATTCACAAATCTTTAAGTTTTAACATTAATAAGAATGGTCTTATCAGTTGTACATGTGATAAGTTTATAAGTAAGATTGACGGAAGAATATAAATCGGCAAGCCTGCATATATATATATATACATAAACAAGTCTAAATTGAAAACAACGTTCAAACCTATGATTGCGTTGGATAACAACCGCAATTTTTATACGTGTGCATGCAAAACAAATTTCTTGGTAGAGGGGTATAAATACAGCACAAACAACATTTTCCAAAAGACCAAAAAAGTGAAAAAGTATATTTTAACAAAACGTATTTGACTAGCAGGTCGAACAACAGATGTTCTTAAACCCTGCTGACTGCCATTGGCGATTGCCAAATAAACGGATCACCAGATGTAACAAAATGGATCTTAATTATTAATTTAATAAAAAAAAAACAGAAAACAATAAACTTGCGGAAAAGATGGTATACCGCAAACAAAAGGTGCAAAAATTAGTACACCATATCCGGATATATATATACATATATATCTCTGTTTTCAGCTATAAAGCAGACATTGTACACATACAATGTATATAAATAAAAATAAGAAGATTTGCTTTGATTCCTGATGAGGCAATATCCTCAAGAGGCCAATTGACGTAGTTTTAAGCAAATATGACCATTCCTCTTTTGAAGTTCGAGAGGCACAGAAGAAAGTTGCCTTCGTCGATTTTATGTCTCAAATCTTTAAAAATAAAAAAAAAATAAATCCCCTTCGTCTTTAACTTTATTGTCGGATAGTCTGTAAATTTCACAATAAATACTATGATCGACCGAGCCGCTAGGGAGAACAAATAAAATTATGTTTAAGAAAGACATTTGATTGCAGTCGTTTAAGAGATGATTTGATATAAGAAATGTCTTCCCCTTTTCGCTTTGTATTATTTTAGAAATGTATTATTTCTGGAAATAATTTTGAATTCTAAAAAACTGATAAGAAATGTATGATGAAAACTAACCCAATATTAGCGCATGGCTAAGGTTCAAGTAACTTTCACTGATATTTCTGTATGAACTAACCCCCTCTTTTTTTTAGCCGTATATGCATGGCTAACCCTTCTTAATTATGTTAGTTTTTATCATTCATTTCTAAGCAATTTCCCAGAATTCAAAATTATTCCAGATTTAAATAATTTCTTGTTTTTTACATTAAAAAGTGTTGCAACCCCTTTGCATTTACATGAAAGAAACCCATGACCACCAGTTTTTAAAAGCTTTTCAACTGCTTCACGTAGCGAAAGCTTATGAACCATTGCCACAATTAAACATGTGTCTTTAACAGCTTCAATTTGATTTCTAGTCAAATATCATGTTAAAATTCACACAGCTGTTCCAATGCGGGACCAAAAATCCTTGGTGAAGACATGATTGTGCTTTCATGTATTATTATCTGCTAGGTTCAGAATTTCTTGGACAAATTTATCCTGCTGATAAACAATGCTTGCCATGTTTACACTATTACATCAAATGAGTAAACGACCAAAAGAGTGTTCACTAACACCGGATATATATCTTTGACAACTTTTTAAAACAATTGACCTCAAATTAATGAACAGTCCAAAAGGATTCAAGAATAGTTGAATGCAAAAACGTTTTCATCAAGGCAATTAAAATGTATAACTGTTAAAAATATATAAAAGGCCATCTTTTCTATCATGTTAAATTCTCATATATCTTTTGTCAAAATAAAAGTGAATTTTAGTCAAATTTTGTACAAATTGTAATTTGTACAAACATTTTTTGGACAAACTATAATTTGTACATTTTTTTTTGTACGAATTATAATTTGTGCAAAATGATAACTTTTACACAACATATACACGATGTATATTCAGAATGCTTGCTTTCCGATTTATTCGACGGTAACTCTTAGTTTACGATACGATTAACGCTTGCTTTCGGATTTGGTATTACCAAGAAGCAAGAGACACGTGACGATGATGGATAATGCTTCAATTGGGTGGTATGTGGTGCTCTCTCTTGCATCTCACGGAACACTAGAGATATTTTACTTGATAAAAATGTAATGCATGTCATTATAAAATTGTTTCATCGGGTCGTAAACGGTACCACAAACGCAACACTGTATACTATTAAACACAAGAATGCATTTCTTTTATATGAAACTTTTTAAAACATTTCATTTTTCATACCAGGCAACTATAGTCAGGAGCCTGTGGTTCATTGGTTGCAGTTGGTTCATGTCTGTCATAATTGTTTTTTGTAAATTATTTTGTTATAGAAAGTAGGCCGTCAGTTTTCTCGTTTGGTTGTTTCACATTTTTCATGTCGAGGCCTTTTATAGCCAACTATATGGTATAGATTTTTCTAAATGTTGAAGCTGTACAGTGGCCTATAATTGCTGACATTTACTTCATTTGAACTTTGGTGGATAGTTGTCTCATTGGCAATCATACCACATCTCCTTATCATTATAAGCATCAATGTATCTATTACTTTGAGAACTTAGCATTAAATTAATGTCAAAAACTGCCAATCGGAATATTTTTGTCCATCTCCCAGATAAAATTATTTGTTTCGTCAAATTTGAGAATCAGAATATATTTTAGGAAAAAAACAACCTACCGTTCAACCCTCTCTGTAATTTTCGGAAAGTAAGCGTTACCGGCGATTGAAACGGAAAGCAAGCGTTTTGAATGTACACCGTGATATAGGAGAACGTAAAGTTAAAAGATAATACTAGCTTCTTTTCGGAGATTTTGAGAAGCAATTGTATGAAGTCTGCCTCACATGACTCGATAGTTATAGTTTAAACCGACTGACTGTCTGTTGAAGAATACGTTCAACAAACGTTACAAATGTCGGATGTCAATCAAAAAGCAAGCATCTTGAAGATGTCAGTTTTAGAGGGCTTTTTATTTGATTCGGCGTGGTTTTTACAAAGTCTGCTCTGTTCCTTGCTAAAACAAGATATTTGTATCTACGTTGGCATTTTTTTAATTTTTATGAAACAAAGTTAGACGACCGCTTTAATGAAGGTGTTATGAAAAAAAATAAGTCGTGAGATGCACTTTTTTGCTATATATATTTCATAAAACTACGTTTTTTTCAATTATTTTGAAGGAATTTATGATTGGATCTCAACAAACCGTAAGTTAAAAGACATAAAAATGCCGGTAGTATATTTGTTTATTTGGTATTTTTTTTTCTTTTAGTTGTTTTTGTTTTCTCCTGATTTGAAAATGTAGAGTATTTTTTTACAATCTAATTTAACAAATACCCAGACAAAAAATAAAACTTGCGCTTATATCATTCGGAAAAGATCTAAAAAAGTAAAATTTACGAAAACATCGCATGCGACGTCCAATAAAAGCCAACTCTTAAAAAATGAGCAATTGAAATATATGTCACAGGCATCCATTTCTTTCAGAATGTATAGTATAAAGCATCGACTATTGTCAAGTTGTTCTAAAAATGTTGAGAAATAAAACAAAACATCAGTTATTAGAATTTTACGGGTATGAAACTAAGCATGTATACAATTTAAGTACTATTCATTACAGACTCTTGGGTCGTCTGGAGGTTGGTTCAAACACATTTTTCTATGATTAAGTATGGATTCAAAATTTGAATTTGTAGAACTATATAGTATCTTAAAACTAAACACAGAATGGAAACTTTTGGCTGTTTTTTTAAAGAATTGTAGGTGAAAAAACTGTCAAAAAGGTGCAATGTGAGTACCATGAAGTAGAGAACTAGATCTAAGTGATAGATATATCAAGAGAATTAGAATAGGAATAATATTGTATAAAGGATATAATTAAGACATACAACACAATGACTAAACTGAGATAAAAAGACGTACTTTGTCTATAAAAAAGACGTACTTTGTCTATACAAAAGAAGTCTTTGTCTTTAAATTTCCATGTTTGACATCTATATAGCGAGTAATTTTACTACAACGGTCTAAGATTTCAACGTTGGCAGACAAATTACCTTGAATAATTTTTGGCTGTTCTTTTTGGCCGACTGACCTTTCGGGTTTGTTTTGTGTTCTCAACTTAATATCATCACGGTTTGACTTTCCACTCAGTTAGACTCAAGCATACCTGCATCTCAGTAACGATCTTTTATAGTGTCACGCCCCTATCCCTTATTGTGCCGTACATCTCACTCATAACGTTGCCTTGCTGATGGGCCACTTTTCAAATTCTGTTTTGTTTACGAGTTGTGCACAGCGTTAAACAGTAGGCTACATTATTTTTTTGTTTATTTACTTAATAAATGGATTTTTTCCAACGTTTAAATCTTGATAGCAAAAGCCCGGTTAAAATATTGTGGAAAAAGGGAAACCGTGACCATCTCTTCGACTAACAAGATCAGTATTTTGTAATCTATGTTGATTGCATAAAAGTATATTTGTTTTGATAGTGTTCACTGTTTTTTAGGGGGGTGTTGTAACATAAAATAATGAAAATGTCGTTTTACATAAGGAAAAATTAAATCCCTCATTTCTTATTTATATGGGGAAACACGCATTCAATATACCTGACCGTCAAATGGTTTCACTTTTCCAACCCCTACCTTTCCACAGCAGGGCATTTTTTACACAAAAAAACGTCAATACAGAATGCGTGGTGACGTCACGATTTTAAAAAGTGTGGAGTTACTTCCCATTTTTCCGATCTTCAGTCATTATCATGTGGCTCATGTAAACAAAGCATGATTGTCGGATTTTCTCAATGGAAATGTACAAACATGGATGTAATTTGAATAATCACTTAGTATGGTTCATAGTTGTTATAATTCTACAATGGCAACCATGTAAACCTCAAGGTAAAGCATGCATAATATCTTTTCAATCACCGACCACTATGAACCTCGGGGGGCCACTTCAAATTATCTTTCTTCTGTAGGAGTGAGCAGCTGAGACATCAAGTACACCACCGTTTTATATATTTTGTTTATCAAAAATATATACCCTGTCATATATCAATTAACAAAATCTCTATAGATATATTTCCCTATTTTAGAATACTTATGAATTTGGCAGGGACTTTGGGTCAAGCTTGGAAATAGGCATCTCAGTCTCAGAAACATCATTATTGGTAAAAAATTTTGGTTCATCCATGGGCCCATCTTGACATATAAAACTATCAGTGTCACCACTTGCTTTTAGACTTGTTATAGAAACTACCGGTAATGAATTTTCTGTGGGTTTAACGTCACCAAATCCACTTGGATATTTTTCATCTTCTTAGTACATTAGTTTAGAAAATTTATTTTGGTCCGGCTTATCATCACCTTCATGTTTAGTAGCAACACAGTCACAATAATCACACCTTGTTTTCCAATAAATTCGTCACATTGGTCACATCTTAAACGCTTTCCTCTATTTAACCCTTTTATGTCTTTCATTATGAAGAAAATTCAATTTCAATAGACAATACTTATAAAATATGTTTGGTCAGATGGAGATTAATTGGTTTGACAAATAGCTGATGCATTTACGGCTGTGGTTTAACCGCATCAAAAATAGATACTGACATCTCTGATTAGTTTCACTCTGATACTGATGCATTTACGGCTGTGGTTTAACCGCATCAAAAATAGATACTGACATCTCTGATTAGTTTCACTCTGATACTTATGATATAATCAAGCAAGTGATAATATCAGCCTAATGATATATTTAATCTGAATTTCTCACCCTTTTCATATATCATGGAGCATGAAATAGTGACCTATTCCAGCAGCTCATTACATAGTAAGTGGCCCCCTAGCTAAGAACACCCCATCACGATAATGTTTTGCCATGCCTTCGCTATAATTTTCCATCTTTTGGCTGCAGGCTTACAAAATTATATGTATACCCGTCCCAATACTTTCATTGGATATAAATATAAAAATCAGAAGATGTGGTATGTTTGCCAATGTCTGAATTAGACAACTCTCCACCCGAGACCAAATGACATACAGATCACTGTACGGCCTCCAGCAATGAGTAAAACCATACCGCATAGTAAGCTATAAATGGCCCTAAAATAGCAAATGTAAAACAATTCAAACGAAAAAACTAATCGCCTGATTTATGTTCAAAACTAAACAAATACATGTACAATGATGTACAGCAACGAACAACAATCACTGAAATACAGGCTCCTGACTTGGGACAGGCAAATACAGAATGTGGCCGTGTTAAACATGTTTGCTGGCGCCAAACCCTCCCCTAGCCTTGGACAACATTATAAGAACACACTATGAAAATCAGTAGAAAATGATTAACTCATCAGATTGATTTAAAGCACAAGAATAAATTTTATTTTAATAGGTATTCAAATGTTTATTTTACAATCTTTAGAAACGCATAATGCATAATACATGTAATACTTTTTATACGCCCGTTTATGGGACGTATTATGGTATACCGTTTTCCGTCTGTCCGTTGTCAACATGTCGGACATTAACTCAAAAATGCTTTAACCAATTTGCATAAAACTTTGGTGAATTGTTTATATCTATTGACGTGAGCTCCCTTTCGTTTTTTATAAAATTTAGATTTTACGTTTCCGTGTTATGGGGTTTTATTCATTAAAAAAAAGGGGAATTTTCCAGTTTTCGGACAATAAGTCAAGAATGCTTTCACCAACTTGCAAGAAATTGTGGTCAATTGTTTATACATGTATCTATTGACATGAGCTCCCTTTCGATTTTTATAAATTTTAAATTTTACTTTTTTTACAGGGTTTTATTCATAAAAAAAGAGGGGATTTTCCAGTTTTCGGACAAAAACTCAAAAATTCTTTCAGCAATTTGTATGAAACTTTGGTGAATTGTTTGTATGTATTGATGTAAGCTCCCTTTAGAATTTTATAAATTTTACATTTCTGAGTTATGGGGTTTTATTCATTAAAAAAAGAGGTGATTTTCCAGTTTTAATTTGTACATGTATAAAACTTTAGAGTAAATCACTCCTTGCCTGCTTAGTTGCAAGTTGAAATACACATTTGTATCTACATTGTAACTAAGGGTTATGTTATTGTTACTACATTTGTCTTAGACCCCTTACTGACAAATTTAACTCATTTAACTATAAAACATTTTGCCTTTCTTGTATTCATTGACATAATACTTTTCATTTGCATTAAGTATCACCATTCTCATAACTGTAATGTGTTACCTTAATATATGTTGGCAAATCACTGTTATAGGTCTTTTAAATAGTTATCCTTTATTAATATTTAAATTCTTACTGTATTATACTCTGCAGAAGCAAGTTAGAAAAGAGGTTTTACTAATGATACAATGTAGGTTAAGTGAGATCATTGTTGTATCCCTCCAGGTCTTTGTTTCTATGCACTGATTACATGGAAAAAAAACATAGGATACACAAATTCTCACTGTCATGACTGTGGATCAAGTGTTTCTTTACATACATATGTAGTGCACAATGCTGAAGTTGACTGAAGAGATTATTTAGATAGATCCGGTGTCTTCTGTCATAATGGATTTATTGAACAGACTGTCCTCTACAGTCATCTAGTGATCTACAGTCATCAGAAATACATGAATGGCATTATTGCTTTATATATTAACCCAACTGATTTTTTATTGCTTTGTGTATAAATCAAACAGATTTTTATAGAATTCCTCTATCAATATAGGTTTAATTTTATAGCATACTCAGCAGAAGTGGAATGGACTACAGCAGTCCGACTCTCAGATTATAAAGGGTATAAGTCAGTCAGTTTAACAAAGTACACCATTCCAGATGGTACCATAGAAGTATTATGGGATATAAGTGCTGACACACTGCCAAAATGTCCAAAGAAGGAAGTCTTTATGTAAGTAGTAACTATAAATTAGATTTAGAAAAGCTTAAAACAATACAAATATACAGTATTTGAATTTAACAGGGGAAATTTCAGTTAACACTCACTTTGCCACTTTCAAAGTGATTTCAATTACTGTAAATTCAGAAATTATTGCGAGGTTTTTATTAATGCGAATAATGCGACTTGGTGACTATCGCAATAATAAGAACTCGCATTCTGATATCTGTTACATATATCTGTATGCAGATTTTCATGAAATCGCAATAATTAATCTAGCATTTTTGTCCATTCTTGAAAAATCGCAATAATAAATGCACGCAATAATTTCTGAATTTACAGTACTTTGATTATCAAGCATTTTATTAGAGCTATCTCCTCATATTTTATGATACCCCAGCTCCGAAGAGGGGGTATATTGTGTTACCCCTGCCTGTCCATCCACATGTCCATTCCCAAGAAATTTCCATCGATTTTTTCACAGGAGCTACAAATCAGAGCTCCTGAAATAAGATGGCAGGCTTTATGTGAGCATGCCATATTGTGTAATGTGTTTTCAGATTCATTCGTTAAGTTTCTGTTTACTGAATGCTTAAAGTGAGGGTATCATTAGAGAGCAATAGCTCAAAGTTCTACTTGTTTCAAAATTCTGTCAATTAGCATGTTCTTTCTAATCACACATTTTTTGTATGTATAATCCTTGTTAAATATATATAACTGTTCACACCCTGTAGCTTGAAAACAAGCTCAATGACTTATAATTTTTCATATACAGTTGTAAATACTCTGTAGTGTTTCTTGCAAAATAATCAAAGTTAATTATACAGCAATCTTTAAGAAAACATAGTTTGAAATTACTAGTACTTAAATGTTGATCCAATCAACATGTGAACTACAAAGGATCCTTTGAGTCTCATGTTTATGCACCATACTAAGTATTGTAGTGTATGAACTTTGATTTAGTTATTTTTTCCTATTCTTGCAATCAAAGAAATTAATGTTTATTGACTATATATATCTTAACAGCTATATAAGACATGGTAGTTATCCACTTGTGACACCATACAATGAATCATATCCAGAAAATTTCCATATTGAAGACAGTCATTACCTGAAACTAACAACAAATAATGTGACATTACCTTATTCCATAAAGATGCCTAAGTCAGGACCATGGTTCTTAGGAGGATTTCTACCAAGAGCACAAAAACAATATTTACAAGCGGTAATGATCAGATTTGTTAAAACTATTGACAATTAAAACAGATGAATAAAATATGTTGGTATATATATTTCAATGAGATAGCAACCGAAGGACTTAAAAAACTAATAGATATCTAGAGGTTAACCATGGTCTTCAACAAAAGAAAAGTGTCTATACAATATTTCAAGCTCTTAATTGGCAAAGCTCAGATAATCTTTACTGTTTACAACAATATTCAACTTTTATGGAAATCAAAATTTCAACACAATGTCAATCTTATGATGTGACAAAGAAAGGCAACATCCAAAGTTTCAAGGAGATATCAGTTTGGTGTAACTTCATGAATTAATATTTCATGGATGCATTTATTTTTAACTTATGTGCAAATGAAACTAAACAGATGTTAAATTATAGTATTTACATGTCATTTTGTGGTCCTTAAAACTAAGCATGTACTACATAAACTGATTAAAAACACTTAAACAGAGACAATTGAAGATTTAAAAAAAACCACTTAAGATTCAATAAATGAACTAAAATAAATCAAAGACAGGTGAATTTTGTGTGACTATCTTAATTTTATTTCATTAGGGTCTGAATAAGAAAAACTGTGTGTATGGTATGGGTATCCGAGTCATATCTAGATATATGGTTGATATTGATGAAGTTTCTACAGGGAAATTGTATAATTTTGTATTGCCTGCCAACAAATCTAAAACCATTAGGTAAGTAAAAATTCTTAATAGAAAGTAGATATTAATTTTTTTTTATTTATGATAGATTTATCATAGACATTTTATTCTAATTGAACATGAAAACATCATAAAGTAGGCAGATAAATGTTAAAAATATATTATATTGATATAAAATTATGGAGAATTGGTATGATTGGTTTAGAGACAACTTTCAACAAAGACAAAAACATCTGGGAAAATGATCATCTACACCTGTACAGGTCACTGTAGGTCTTCAACAATGGACACAGATCCATACTGCTGGGTAAGTTATAAAAGACCTCAGGTAATCAAAATGTGATAAATTAAAATTTAAAGAGAATAAACAAATATAACACAAAGCAATCTACAATAATCAATGCTTGGGACAGACTTAATAAGTAAGTTAGTGGCATGGTTGAAGTTGAAATTCAAATCAGGTTACCGTTTGTTTACTTATCGCACAAAAAGTAAAAAAGATAAACAGACACTTTTTCAACTCATAATAGCAGCAATATCATCAATCAAAGTGTTTGCAATAATTTTTTGGCTAAATATTTTTGATGAAATTAATAATGTAGAATGGCAAAAATCAAACATATGTAACATACTTTTTTAGTTAAAATTATTGATGAAATGTTACTTTTACATAATTTGACCTCATTTTTTTTTAACCAAATCTTTGATTGTTCAATGCCTACTAATTATCCTACAGCAGAAAAAAAAATCTATGCATATTCCGGACCATAACATATTAATGAGATATCCTGTGTCCTGCCTGTAACAGACCAGACCAACATACCTAGTCTGATTTCAAAAGTGTCACTCTGACACATTATTCTTACTCGTCTTTGATCTTACTCCCATTAAATGGCTGTTTGCTTGGCAGAGAAGCAGCAAATACCAATTTCCTATCTTTGGTCTGACCCAGATGGGATCCCTACTTGAGTGAAGCACACTTCAAAAAGACCAGCTAGGATGTCCCAAATTTGGGAAATGATGAGGGAAGGGGTGGCTAGTACTATGTAAATTATATATTGTTACCAAACAAAATGGCCTCAATAGGGAAAAGGAAGCTTTGTTTCATTTTACCAAATGTAAATTGAAAGGGCCATAAACATGTAATAAATCATGACTAAATAAAATTATGTGTGTGTTGTTAGATGTAAAATTCTTTGAAAAGATGCATTATACAGACAAATGGGAAGTGTTGAATAACAATAATAGGAAATGAATACTTAGGTCCCTAGGCTTCTTTACACCATAATTCATTTTCTTTTATTGTCTGCTACTCATTGAAATTGATAGTTTTATTTTTATCCCCAGATTAACAGTTCCAGAAGGAACAACATCATTCTCTGTGTTAGTGGAAAATTGTTCTGTGAACACTACTAATACTACTGCCTGTCCTGTCCTCATAGCAGCAGCATCTGGTCATATTCCTAATGTGTCATTGGATACAAATATCAACTGTACTTCTGACACATGTCAATTGGATTACCAATCACCTTTCATCAAAGAATGGAGTTACATCAGAATTGTGCCTTATCTGCTGGCCAATGATACAGAACTGAATGTCAGTCTTCAAGTTAATACTCAAAGTAAGCATAGACATTGCGTTTTAATTTTAACTATAACTTTCTTTCCAATGGTAGGAAATCACAAGTTTTTCGTATACTTTATAGTGTTATAAAGAAAAGGGTCCTATATTACAATCTATTATTCAAAGACATCATTGTGTAAATCAGTTAATCTTGGTTTAGTCCTGAAGTGCAATTCCTCTGTTAGACTTGTGTTATCGTTCCTTATTTTCCTATGTTGGTCAGCTTGTTGGTTATAGAACTTAAAAAGCAAATGAATTTGATGGAAGATCTGTATTTGTGCAAATTGTGCACGTCCAACATTCAGAGGTGCCTTGTTATTACACAGACTGGCATTCATTCTGTTGTTTAGTTAACACATTGAATGATAAGGATCTTCTTATAAGCATGAAATTAATCATCATTGAAAATACTGTGAAAGGTTTAAAAATAATGATATGATTCAGTTCAAAAGTACGGGAAAAAGACTTTCTAATGATACTTGAGCTTTGTGACATCTCAGACATATTATTTAATTAATGTATGTTTTCCAGATTGCTTAATGGAACAGTATATAGTTGTGGAACCAGTTGATCCAGTTGATGAAGATGATAACAAAACTCAGATTATACACTACAAACCTAAACCAGCCCCACCAGTTACTAACTCATCATGTGTTCAGCTTCAACAGATGGGAAGATTTGACATCATGAATGAAGATTTTCTCTCAATATTCATCTTCCCAGACCAATTCCTTTACCCATGGCCAAACATGAGGTTGTTCTGCCCAGATACACAAGTCCTTCTGACATACTTTGATTTGTTGACAGAGAGAGATGCTGGAGGAACATTAAAAGTTGTTTTCACTACATCACATCTTTATGTGGTAGGTATAATGTTATTGGACTTTTTGCAGCTCACCTGATTCATGGGCCTTGTGAGGATTTGGTATCTCTTTGAATTTATTTATCATCATCTTTAAACTTCTGTTTCTTGGAACAAAAAAAAATGTTTTTATCTTTATTACTTTTGTAAAATAAAATGATAAAACCAGGTTTAATAGGCATGGCATACAACTGTTCATTAAGAGCCCCCAGCACGACCAAATGTGAAACAATTCAAATTAGAAAACTAATAGCCAGATTTATGCTAAAAACAATAACTAATTAAAAACCAATTGTTCAGAGAACAATTGAAGGTCTTTCCACAGCAATTTTAAAATTTATTGAAAAGAAGCTAGTTCTGTTTACTCAAAGTTAAAATTGGCATCTTATCATCAGTTTCTTCATACTGATGCGATAAATAAGTGGTTTCTATATACTTCTGAGTGAAATAAGGGAGATAATTAGCTACTTCCGATGAAGTAAATGTCACTTCTGGTCTCATATAATAGTTTCTTTTACACTGATTCCAAAAATATAGTTTCTATATACTTTTGCTTGTAAACCAGGAGATAATTGGCCACTTCCGGTTTATCGAAAGTCATTTCTAGTCTTCAGTGATAAGTTAATGTATTAAAATTACAAAATATATGGATTCCGAGTACTTTTCCATGAAGAAAGTGCAAAAATGGCTACTTCCGGTATTCTCAAGGTCACTTCCGGTTGTCATTTTTCAAGGTCATATGTCATCCAACCTTTTGTAAAGGATCATATGGCTTTATAATGAACCAAATTGAAGTAATAATCAATTAACCTTATAATTGGACATTTCAGAGGCACTGACTCCTATAAGATGCCATTAGATTGTTTCAGACCAAATGTAACATATCTTCATTACAATAAAGCAAACATTTTGCACTTGTTGTCTCATATATATCTTTAAAAGTGTTTGAGAAATGCAGAAACAAGGAAAAGTCAAAATTGAGAACTTGACCTTGACCTTTGACCTCGACCTTATTTTCTAAGTTAGGACCTAGTGACCTCAGATAAAAAGATTCCAGGGTTATACAGTAAACGGTTTATGAGTTAAAAAATCATACAGACAAATTTATTTGGTAAAGGTAGATAACTCCTTTAAAATTTCATCGAATCGCTTCAATCCAAATTAGTCAAAAATTCCTGAGGATGTAACGAACAATTTAGAAAAAGAATTTTGTCGCTATCTTTTTTGTTACGAAGGAGATGCACACACTTGATAAACAGTGAAAAGGGAGATAACTCTTACAAAGAAAATTGTTCGGCTTAGAATGGGTGAAAATAAAAAGGCGCATAAACTGTATGATACTATATAAGAAATATCTTAGCGACATATTGTGAAACAAAAATTTTACACGATAACAAAATTTGGCGGAAGAAAAAAATAATAATCAGAACAAATACAACAGTAATAAACTATTTAGGCAAATAGTAAAATATGACAACCACTGGATTACATAGTACAAATGTGGAGGGATTAAACATGTTTGTGAGTGTTCAATCTTCTCCCGTACTTGTGAAAGTGCTGTTACAGCACAACATAAGAAAAAACTGTAAAAAATCAGTTTGGAAGGGCTTGACTCGTCAGATCAGTACTAGGCACAAAAACAACCTACAGAAAGACAGAGGACACAAAATACTGATCTGAGATTATTCTCACTTGCTGAAAGCTAGTTCAAAGCACCCACAAAGCATTCAAATACTTGACAATTTTAAGGGAAAAAAAGTCTAAAAAAGTATGTTTCCTAGATAATAGTATTTCCTTAACCTCTTTATATAGGGCACAGTTATTATGATATACCTATGATGAATATCCACTATAGACAGGGTTGACTGTATATCAAATGACATACATTTTTCATCAACATGATTATTGTAATCAAATTGGATATAGATATTGTTTATGTTCCACCTTAACAGCATCCTGTACAAGATGCCGAGATGTACCTGTGTGTTATGAAATCTTCCATTCCTTCACTGACAACCGTTACAGATTGTCCAGGAGGGGTGAGTTTGATTGTAAACACAACATCTGAGACAGCATCAACATCAAAAATTTACATACCATATCCTTCTGGTGGACGATGGTACTTGGGAATGAAAAGTGTTTGTTACAATAAAAACAAGTAAGTAATTTGGCAGTTTTCAATGTAGCTTCAATATTGCAAGATATATAGTCATTCAAATAATTTGAAATGTTCTTCCAGCGTATTAGACTAGGAATTACAGATTAAGTGGGATTAAAAAACTTATATTTATTTTCCATTTGAGGGTTTTGACAATAATAAGAAATGTATGATGGATTGTTAACATAAATGCAGTAGATTTTATTGATGAATACATTTCTTTAATTCTTACCCGATATATCCTTTTCCTGACCTGTTGATTATTTTTATTTAATCAACGTGTGGTTCTTTTGATCCCACCACTGAATCTCGATACAAGATATATTTATCCACTCTCGACAGTAAAATTTTAAATGTTAAACACACTTGGTGAGCCTCACGTTTTAAATTTGAAAATTTAACTGTCTTGAGTGGGTAAATATCGTATCACACTTGATGCAGTGGTAGTATCTATATGTATAAAATACTTTTAAAACTTTACTTATAATCATATTATAGAAAACAAGTTATGTTAAAATATTCCATTTTCAAACTTGTCCAAAGGTTCTTTTAACTTTACTCTCTTGTTGAACAAAAAGATAAGGTATTAACGTGTAGAACTAATTTATGTTTTGACTTGAGAGGCAATTAGAAATTTTCCACTTTCTTATTTTCAATGTGTTTTTTAGGACAGAAGAAAAATGTTTAAAACTACCTGTAGTATTAATACAAGTTTTTGTGACAAGATGTGTAGACAACAAGTGTGGTGGGAAGGGAAATTGTCAGGAGTTTTTTAGCGGGATGTTGTTGTTCAGCTCCTGTGAATGTTTATCAGGTATTATTGTATTCTGGCAAATGTAAATTTCTATTTGGGATAGAGGGTATATAGGTATAACATATCCATCCATCTGTGTGCATGTCTGTCCCCTATTCTATGTCTGCTTTAACTTTGTATTGACAGCTTGAATCTAAGTCAAGCATGCACACAGGGCATATCTTGAGGGTCACATCAGATGTATTGAAACAATATCCAGGCTTCATAATTAAATTGCCTTCTTATCTTCAACCTTTACAAGCTCATCTTAAGATTTGTATTTAGTTCCAATAGACCAGTTTCACATAAGCGACTTATCAACACTGATCTCGAAATCCTATGCGCGTTTTAGTTTAAATCCCGTGATAATTAACGATATCATACGTGACAGGGGGCTATCCGATTGACCCTCATATTTAGCAACACAATAATAAATGAACCGATAATACACATCTCTCTCTCTCTCGTGGTGTATGCTGGAGGCAGCTAAACAGATGATACCAGTACACAGTATTTTTGTCACGGCGAATGTAGCTATTTGAGAAGTTGTTGCTGACATCATAGATATAATAGCTACTATATCTTTGGCAATTGCTGACATTAAACAATTGTATATTAACAAATGTAACTGCATTATGATTGGGACGAATAAATTTATATATTGGTCCAAGATTATTTAATTTTAAGATATTAATAATCGTTTTTTTTATATATTCAAACTAAATAGTATGACCGTATATACAGAGAATAACATAAATTTTGAACAAAGATGGCAAACGAGACAACTATCCACCAGCGACCAAATGACAGATGAAACGCGGCAACCATAGGTCACCATACGGCCCTCAACAATTAGAAAATGCATACCGAATAGTAAGCTATAACAGGTACTGACATAAAACAATTCAAACAAGAAAATAAGTCTTCTTGTTGACGTAAATGGTTCATAACTGTTGTATTTATGAATAAAATGGTTTAAAAAAATATATACCTTGCAGTTGCTATCTTTTGCTTACTGCGCTACAGTGCTGTATGTAAGTATAATTTTTCGTGAAAAGAGAAAAATATTTTGTTAAAAAGAAAACAACATAAACATCAGAAATACATTAAATATCAGTTCCTTTCCAGTATCAATTCGTTCGGTGTGAGTTACCGTAAACAATTCTCAGTTTTTCTCAAATATTTTTTTTACATCTTCTTGTAACATGTAAAGGGTAACGGCCTACAATAAGGTTTAGTACCTTAGACTCAACTTTTAATTTTCTTTTAAACAAAAGCCGTCTACTGTTATAGTGACTTTTGCGTGAAATTTTATGGGTACAAGGACCAGTTAAGGATGTCGCTACTAAATAATCGAAATTTCCACTAATGGTATAGCATGGAAGTATAAACGAAAATTGATAGAATTTTTCATTATATCCTTTGCCAAAGATGTAGTGTACATGTATATTGTGATATAATAAAAATATAAAAAAACACAATGATAGGTCACCGAGTTTGTTTTCAATATACCACGGCTGTGAAAATAGGAAACATTTTGTATGGATCATACAAAGAAAAGGCATCATTATATGAATATTTGAAGGTAAACTGAATGATAGTATTTTAAAATAAAATGTGAGAAGATAGCTCTTATAAAATGCTTTCAGAATACAAAAAGAAATAAATGGGGTCATCATGCGTTTTATCCTGCTACAGCATACATGGCATAAAACATAAAATAGAACACTTTCCTGTTAATTCGTCTCCTACCGACGAAGTCGAAGGGGACTTTAGGTTTGCACTCCGTCTGTCTGTCTGTCTGTCTGTCTGTCTGTCTGTCCTTCTGTCAGTCCGGCAAATCAGCTTTCCACACTTTTTTTCTTCGTTCTTGAAGATATTGATTTGATATTTGGTATATAGTTTTATCATGACAAGTTATAGATCAAGTTCAAAATTTGTTCCGGTCTGATGATTTAATCTAGAGTTATGGACTATAACTCTGGACCATATCTAATAGTGTTAGAGTACTATGTTAAACCATATTTCTGTACAAAGGGAGATAACTAATTTTTTAAAAGACATTCTTTGTTCAATTATTTGAAGAATTTTTTGGCAGGTTTGTTAGTTATTTAGTATAAACTAATTTTCTGAATGCTATATATATAAAAAAAATTATGAAGAGAAATCCTTCAATTAGATAATAATGTATTTTTATTATGTATATATTTCAATACATTACATTGTGTAGATAAAAGTTGTTGACATTTTATAGATAAGTTACAAATCTATATTAGTTTGTGACAAATGAAAGAAAAAATATTTGGAACTATTAATTATATTTGATTATTATTGAAAATAGATATACACTGTATTACATCATATTTAATTTTAGAGAACTATTAATCATATCTAATGTTTTTTTCATACGATATTGATTGATAATTGGTATATAGTTTTATCATGACAAGTTACAGATCAAGATCAAATTTTTGTTTCTGTCTAATAATTTTGTGCAGAGTTATGGTCCTTGGACTTGAAAAATTCACTCATATAATCAGTTTTCCACACTGTTTTTAGTCATGCTTGAAGATATTGACATGATATTTACTTTTTGTTTACACCATGGCAAGTTATATAACAAGTTAGCATTTTGTTCCAGTATAATGAATTTTTACCCGGTAGGGGACTATGTATTGCCATGCAATACTCTCAGAATGCTTGTTGTAATAGACATGTACATTTGTTTCAAATAGTTCTGCTTCATTGATGTTTTTATACGGTCATGATAATGAAGTGAGATATAGTTAATGCAGTTTTAAAATACTTATCTGAAATACAGGTTTATCTTCAATTTCCAAACATCAGACTTTTAAACAATGCATTCAATACCATTTAAATTTCTAGGCTATGTTCATGATCGACATAGTCTAAGCAGTTGTTCAGTGCCAACGGCCAGAGTAATTTTCTACATATTTTCAACTTTTGCAAATTCTATATATTGCATATCTAAGCATACTTTGTGTCCAAAATTTTCAATATTTTATAAAAAAAAAAAAGGATAGATGTAATGACATTTCAAATTGATTTTTAAATTTACAAGATATCATTAAACGTAATTGAATATCCTGTATTTACCACGCTTAACCATAAAATGAGATCAAATTGCTGAATGACCCCCTCCTAAATTATTAAAAAAAAATGATATTGCATTAACCGTACTGGCCATGATATCTCAGAGTAAATTAGGTACCAAGGTTAACATTTTTAACATCTATATTAGGAGATGACCATTTGATTTTTGCGAGGTGGGTTAAAAAATGAATATCCTGGTCAAGTAAGAGCTGAAAATAAATAATTTTGCCCAAGGCAGGATGAAAAAGAATAATCTGCAACACAAAATGAAGGAAATAATTGTGTACAAAATATGAATAAATTTCCTTCCAGCTTCCATCAGAATATCAAATGGTCGTCCCCTTTTCGGTAACTGTATGTAGAAAAGGGTACGTTTTTATCAATTGTCACCAGGTGAGATTGTACAAGGTAAAATGAGGATTCCACATGGCTAAGGTGTTAATTGACTTCTTAATTTATGACCTTATACTATGGATATGAAGTGAGCCCCGCTGATTTATCTAATTTATTCTACCCGCTAAGTGAAAAGTAAAATCACAAAAATACTGAACGACCTCAGCGTGAATCCATGCACTTCTTCGTGGCAATTAAAGGTGCAAAGTCAGGCGGATATCAGATCGTCTATTATTGCAACCAACACCACAACAGTAGTCTGTTTTTAAATATTTTAATGTGCCATTGTTAATAAAGTTATCTCGTCAATATAATTTTTATATTTTGATTCAAATGATGCTCGTGTTGTATGCACATGTAAACGCAGACACTTAATCAGATGATTGTTTTTCCAAGTCTGCATGGTCTGCTTATGAACCGTAAGCCCCAGTTGATGAATTCTCGGGAATTATCGCGTGATTTCATAGTTTGGCTAATTAGGTTAGACATGCGCAGTTAAATGTGAAACTGGTGTATTGCAGCTTTTTCATTTATTAATTCAAGGGGATTACCTGTTTCTAGTAAACACATCTCATAGATTTTGTTTTTATTTTATCATTGATCAATAAGCATTTGATGTCCGATGTCTTAGAATTGAGATTTGTTGGCAACAAACCTTTTATCCAACCATACTTTTATAATTTCTTTGGTTTCCTTTTTTTTACAAATTACATAGTTATTCCCAATTTATCTGTTCTATTTATAGATTGGAGAGGTTATGGCTGTACTGATGGATCTATGGCAGAATCAGATGGGACAATTCTAAGTACAATGTTGTTATTAACTCTCAGTAATGCATTCTTTATCCCAGGAATATTTCTGTCGTTAAGACGTAGAATGTTTGTAGAGGCACTTGTTTATGTCTTTACTATGTTCTTTTCTACAGTGAGTACCATTTTTTATACGACCGAAAAAAAAATTTTGTGATTGTATATTGGTATGACGTTGGCGTCATCGTCGTCTTCGTCGTCGTCCAGCGTCGTCCGAAGACACATTGGTTTTCGCACTCTAACTTTAGTTTAAGTGAATGGATCTCTATGAAATTTTACCACAAGGTTCAATACCACAAAAGGACGGTTGGGATTGATTTTGGGGGTTATGGTACCAACAGTAAAGGAATTAGGGGCCAAAAATAAGCATTTTTGTAACTTCCAGACATAACTTGTGTGTTAGTGTATGGATCTCTCTGACATTGTACCACAAGGTTCCATATCACAAAAGGAATGCTGGGATTGATTTTGGGGGTAATTGCCTCAAAATTTAAGGAATTACGGGGCCAAAAAAAGGGGCAAAAAACAAGCATTTTTCTAGTTTCATGACAATAACTTGTGTGTAAGTGTATGGATCTTTCTGAAATTGTACTACAAGGTTCCATATCACAAAGGGAAAGCTGGAATTGAGTTTGGGGGTAATTGCCGAAACGTTTAGGAATTGGGGGCCAAAAAGGGGCCAAAAATAAGCATTTTTCTAGTTTCCAGACATTAACTTGTGTTCAAGTGTATGGATCTCTCTGAAATTGTACTGCAAGGTACCATACCACAAAGGGAAGGCTGGGATTGATGATGGGGGTAATTGCCTCAATATTTTAGGAATTAGGGGCCAAAAACAAGCATTTTTCTAGTTTCAGGACAATAACTTGTGTGTAAGTGTATGGATCTTTCTGAAATTGTACTACAAGGTTTTATATCACAAAGGGAAAGCTGGGTTTGAGTTTGGGGGTAATTGCCCTAAACGTTTAGGAATTTGAGGCCGAAAAGGGGCCAAAAATAAGCATTTTTCTAGTTTCCAGACAATAACTTGTGTTCAAGTGTATGGATCTCTCTGAAATTGTGCTGCAAGATACCATACCACAAAGGGAAGGCTGGGATTGAGTTTGGGGGTGATGAATCATAAGGGGGTTCAAAACATTGGGGGGGGGGGGGGGGATTTTTTTTATTTTTTCCTTTTTTTTTTCTTTTAAAATTTTCCATTTTAAGTTGGTTTTTTCTGATTTATATTTAAAAGCAAATAATAATGATATGGTAGGAGAACAAACAGGATGTGTAAATTATTATATAATAAGTATTATGCAATAGCAAGAAATTTTCAATTGCACAGTATTGCACAATAGCAAGAAATCTTCAATTGCACACTATTGCGCAATAGCAAGAAATTTTCAATTGCACAGTATTGCGCAATAGCAAGAAATATCCAATAGCACAATATTGCGCAATAACAAGAAATTGTCAATTGTACAGTATTGCGCAATAGCAAGAAATATTTAATTGCACAGTCTTGTGCAAAAGAAGATACTTCGTATAAATTGCTTATTTCTTGACCAATTTCAATGGGGTTTTATTCTTGAATTCTTGGGGTTCTTTAATATGCTGAATCTAACCGTGTATTTAGTTTTTGGATTTTGGGCCCTGTTTTTAAATTGGTCCACATTGAGGTCCAAAGGGTCCAAAATTAAACTTTGTTTGATTTCATCAAAAATTGAATTATTGGGGTTCGTTGATATGCCGAATCTAACCATGTATTTAGATTCTTAATTTTTGGTTCCGTTTTCAAATTGGTCTACATTAAGGTCCAAAGGGTCCAAAATTAAACTTAGTTTGATTTTAACAAAAATTGAATTCTTAGGGTTCTTTGATATGCTGAATCTAAACATGTATTTAGATTTTTAATTATGGGCCCAGTTTTCAAGTTGGTCCAAATCGGGGTCCAAAATTAAACTTTGTTTGATTTCAACAAAAATTGAATATATGGGGTTCTTTGATATGCTGAATCTAACCATGTATTTAGATTTTTGATTTTTGGGCCACGTTATCAAATTTGTCCACATTGAGGTCAAAAGGGTCCAAAATTAAACTTTGTTTGATTTCATCAAAAATTGAATTCTTGGGGTTCTTTGATATGCTGAATCTAACCATGTATTTAGATTTTGGATATTGGACCATAATAGGTGAATGTCCAATTTAAATTTTTAAGTTCTTAGACCACATTCATTCTGTGTCAGAAACCTATGCTGTGTCAAATATTTAATCACAATCCAAATGCAAAGCTGTATCAAGCTTGAATGTTGTGTCCATACTTGCCCCAACTGTTCAGGGTTCGACCTCTGCGGTCGTATCAAGCTGCGCCCTGCGGAGCATTTTATTATTGTTTGTATATGATAAGATCTATTATTTTGCCATTGAAGTTGTAAAAAAAATATATATATAAACAAAAACTTGTTATTTAATTCTAAACTCAGGACATATCTTATCAGTCTTAATTAGTATTCAAAAATCTGAATATGAATACAGTCAGAATGCAAATTTTTCTGCATGTAAGGTCATGAAGAAATTGTTGAATGTAGAAAAAAAAATGTAGAACCCTTGATAGAATAAAACGCTGATGAAAGCAGTTTACCAAAACATATGTAAATAAAAAGATAATAAAAAGTGGATTGTTATTATTCAACATAGACTACACACTTCCTTTTTCGAAAATAATTTTTGAATTGATTCTATTAATCTTCCTAATTTGAAGAGTATGTATCTATTCAATTATTAGTTATGTTTAGGAAAAAATATAAATAAATCTTACAATATAGCTCTCAGAAAAGCTCAGTGATGATCTGTAGCAAGAAAATGAATAAGGATATTTTCACTAAGTACAACCACTGCAAAAATGAAGCTCAATTCAAATTTTAAAAAGGAAATAAATTCAATTGGGATAAAAAAAAAAACAATCTTGTTAATATGGAAAGTTATTGGAAGTTTTATTATTAGTGTTTTCACAGCAATAGCTCAATTGTAAAAATGTATTGTGTAAAAGTGTTTTGTAAAGAAATCTTAAAATATGAAAACCACAAAAATAAGGATGTATATAGAAGTAAATCTAAAATTCCTTATATTAATAGTACGCAAACACTTTGTAGTAATTTCAACCATGGAAAAGCTAAGACACCTATATTAAACTCATTGTAAGCATCAAGAATAGTTTATGGTTGTGTATTTTGTAGTTTTACCATGCCTGTGATGTCAACAATGTGAAGTATACATGGTGTATGATGGATTATGGAGTGCTCAGTTTCTGTGATTTTTATGGATCTATCATGTCCTTCTGGGTGACCTTGCTGGCAATGTCACAATTAAATGATACAGTTCGATCAGTTTTCCACATGCTTGGTGCTCTATGTCTAGCCCTAGGTGTGGAATATAACAAACATGGACTGTGGGTGTTTGTAGCTCCAGCTCTTACTGGTGTCGTCATTATGTCAATTTCTTGGGTAAGTTCAAGGTCAACTTATGACTGATTTTTTAACACACAAATAGTTACAATTTCATTGTCTAGTTTTGTTGTTAATTCCATCTCAAATTGCCTCACTTCTGAAATGATATCAGTTTAATTTATAAAAAAAGATATTTCTTTATCTAAGAATCAAAGAGTAAGTTAACATGTTAGAACCACCACTATATATCTATTCTTTATATCTAAGAAAAAAGGATTTGTGGTTGGATTACCATTGAAATAACAATGACATTGCTTTATTACTGTTCACTAAAAATTAATGTGAAGAATTCATATAATGGTGAGTAACTTATTGTTAAAGTACTTTATTAATGCCCAATAGTAACAGGGAAGCTGTTGATTGATGGGCTTTTGACTTTTTACATATAAAATCAGTGGATTTATTATCATACATTTGGAATTTAAATTGATGGTTTTGAAAATAACAAATTTCATAGCAAATTAGTATCCCCCACATATGTACAGTTTTATGTGTCCTAAGATTTTTGGAAAACTTCTATTCTAACAATAAACTACCTTTGAATTTCTCCAAGTCATAGATATTTATGATGTCAGGCATATCATAAAACTGTGTCCAGTGATTTTCAAACACAATATTTCACTCTCAGCATGTAAGTTTTGTTGAGTATTTTAACTTGTCTGAGACCAATTTGCAAATGTGAGAAATAGATATACTATTTATATTTATATCAGGTCATTAGAAGTACACATGCTTTTTAATTTCATGAAAATTTTCAACCCTTGAATCTTGATATGGGCTAGAGGCACTACGGTCCTCCAATTTCATGTAACCATGGGTAGAACACTGAGCAGTCGATATTAAGTTCTACTTAGTTGCCTTAAGCTGAACCAAGGATTTATATAACTGAAATATACGTCCTTGTACTGAGCACATCACAATGACTCATCGAAATTGAATCCAATCTGATAAATGATTGAGATATTAATTCCAGGTACATTGTGAGGTAATTACCTAGAAATTAACACCATGCAAGTGTAATCAATAATATTGAACCTTAGGGCACACAAGTGACACAACATATGTCAGAATTAAGGTTTTAAAGGCAGGAGGGCTAGACAAAGGGTGCAGTCCCTTCTAAATTGGGCTAACAAGACCACTGGGTCACTATTACACACTGATTTTCCCGCCATCTCTTACAAGTATTTAAATTGATGTTCTATGAAACCGAAATGTTTGGTGTATGTCAATGAGACAGCAACCCAATGAACCCTAAAAAAACAAAAAAACATCTAGAGATAAACATATGGCTTTCAACGGTAGACAGATGTCTAGCTCTTAATTACTGCAAGTCCAGAAAAGTTGTGAATAAATTTAACAGAGGCTGTCAAAGATCAGTCAGCAATACCAGATTCCCTAAAAAAAAAAAAAAAATTTGTACTTCTGTGCACTAGAATGTACTCAGATTACACCTACATTTGCTACATATTTTTCTGTCTTCTTATTTACTTACAGGTAGTAAGTAATATTTGTATTCCTATTTGTAAAAGGTGATGGAACATATTTTACAAATTGAATTATTCTTTAGTTGAGATTTATATATACATATATATTTCCAGTCATCTTTATTTATATTACAGATAGTGCAATGTCGTAAACGTAAAAACTGTTATCCATCAAAATGGAGATATTTGAAATTCATTCTACCTGGTGTCTTACTAGCAGGGACGGGACTTATCATATTTGCTTTCTTGGAGACAGACCAGAATTACAAATACACACACAGTGCCTGGCATGTGGTCATAGCACTGAGTATCGTCTTTCTGTTGCCATCACGTAAAACATCCAAAGGTAGTGATATCCAATCAGATGATGCTATTTTATCAGGTAGTGGCCATGTTCAGGTGGTGGACACAGGCAATGGCAATATCCATTTGATTAGTGGCCCTACTTACTGTAATAGTTAATGACTAACATTTCATAGCTTATTTTATTTCTTTATTTATCAGAGCTAATTCAAACACACTGAATATTTGGACAGTCATATTTTATATTGGTTCTGGTTTACATTCATTGGTATGTTTTAATGAATATGTAATAAAAGTCAGAAGTTTGAACTGTCAGAAAACAAAATCATTTTTTTGTATTTTCTATGAATGTACATTTCTTGTATTAAATACATTAAATCATTTGATTTTTAGGTGAAAGAGTTATTGTTTAAAGCAAGATGATATTGATTTTATTTCATGCATAGCATGTCATTTTATATTATCTGTTTTGTTTTGGAAAAATCTGTGTTCTTTAAATTCAACTTGCCACCATTTTATCTTTAGGTCAACTTTATATTGTAAACTTTACTAGAAATATTTTTGAAGCTTGATACATTCATGTTATGTTGTGGTTTAATTTTTGGCATTTTGACAGTGTGATTTTTTGAGTTAGCTCTTCTAAATATCTGTATTACTTTTCTTTATTTGCTCTTTATATTAATATCACAATATGACAGTGTTTATTTTATTTATTTTTTATTCATCTAACTTACATCACATTTTTTATTCATTTAGCTTTTTTTTTAACTAAAGTGAGTTCTGTGATTTTTTTAGTTAGCTTTCACATATTAGTTATTCTATGAATATACATACCATTCACCTGGACCTAATTTAAGAATGTACAAATCTCTGACCCTGACCTAATTCTATCAAGCAAAATCTGATAGTTGTTGTCATTACCTCAAAATTTTCTCCTCTTTGTGTGTCATTTTTTAGGAAGAAAATATTTTTTGTTTTTCAGAGCATTTTTCAGGTTTTATTTTACAGAAGATAATCATTAGTATTTATTAGTTGAGGACCCTTAGGAAGATTAGTTGTTAGTAATGAGGTTATCCTCTGTAAATAAAGATTATTGATTGATTGATTGATTGATTGATTATTTTATTGATTGATTGATATATTCTGCTTTATCAACATAGCATGTCCGGTCATAAACAGATTTTTATGAAAGATATTGACAACTGTGAATTCAACAGTTCTCTCATAGTAACATAATTTTATTTGTATTGCATTGTCATTTTGTTTTATAAAGGTAAAAAAAAAATTCATTGTAAGTGAGTTTAGAATTTTTAATCTTCACAGCTACGGTTAATTACTCATAACTAAAAGAGAACATCCCTACAACTAAAATAATGAATTAAGGCCCCTGGATGACAAAAGCCTTCATCCTTTTAATCATCAATTTGTTGTCTGAAATTTTGTTATGTTTTCAAAAAGGTTGTTTTTGGTATAAAGTCAATTAATGAGGAATTACAGATCAATTTTGATTTAAGGGCAGATTAGAAATGAACTCTATATGCATGCACACTGCTTTGATATTCTGAATGTTATATATTTATATATATATTTATATTGCATGGTTTGATATCTGTTTTGCATGCTTTTCAGGAAGGAAATGTAAGCAGTTTTACAATTAAATGTGTTTCCTGTACATTGAAATTTGTTGTATGAAATGAAAAGGTTTGATTTCAGTTAAGACATCAATAACGTAATAGATAGTGTGATTCTTAAGAAGATTTGGATGTAAGTACAAAATTAATTCCATACCCGAAATCAACTAAGGAAACAGAATTTGTTGAAAATTGAAACATATGAATTTAATTTGTTATATCATATTTGAATATTTACTCCCAGCTATGAATATAAGCAGGAAATATAATCATTATACCTTCATGAGATGAGATAATTTGGCCCTCGCCCCTCAGTAATGGTGTTTGAAACTTTAGTTTACATGTTCAAGTAGGTCATTGATATTTGATATGTAGATGCATTAGCATTGGCACATTTCATTTTCTTGGATATTAGGTCAGTTTAAGATGAACCACTTATTTTAAGTTGATGATATTTGGTATGCAGTTGTTATAGCATTTGAAAGTCTCATTTTAATGGATATGTTAAGGCCACACTCCCTCATCATGGTTCATTGACTTTGATACCATAGTTTACATGTTTAAGTTTGTGTTTAGGTTTGTTTTGAAAGGAATGAGTTATGATATGTCCATGATGCTTGGTGTGCAGTTTTATATGCATTGGCATTTCTCATTTGAATGGAGGTTATTTGGCCCTGCACCTTCAATTATGGTTTATTGACTTTGAATGTGTTGCATAGTTTGCATGTTTAAATATTGTCATTGTAATTACAACATTTGCATTATACCAACAATGTCATAAAGGTGAGACATATCTCTGTGTCAACAATTTATTATTTTTCTATCAATAATCGCAACACTTTTAGACTACCTGGCCTGAACTATCAACGGCTCAATGTAACATGGTTTAAACTCAGGGTTCCTCGTTGCAGGAATGAAATGTGTGTTCAAATTTGTAACAGCATTTGAAAATTTTAAGGCTTGGTGCCCTTTTATTTGAATAACGAGGGAAAATTTCATTATATTAGGTGAAATATTATCACAAATATAAATCATGATAGTCTGATAGTGAGTTTGTATATTTGATGAGTGATATTCAGTTATAAACAGAGTGGTAGTATTTATTAGAAAGCAAATTAAGTTGTATGTATTCTGTCTAATAAAACACTGGAATATTTATATTTACATTTTCCAAAACAATTGTATTATAAATTTTTATGAAATCTAAAGTTTATTTCACCTATGATCTTGGAGGTGGCATGTTGTTATTATGAGTTGACAGTAAAGTAGGAAGATATGTATTTCAGTGTAATGAGTGCATGTTAAAAAATAAACACAATAAGATAACAAATTAAAGAAGAATTTTTACTGCTTAATGGAAAGGAAGCAGTTTTCTTATAAACCCTTCAAAATAAGAGTTGATATTTATGACCTATATCCTTTCTGATAGGAAAAATATGGGTTAAAATGTCAATCTGTGAGACCAGAAATTAAGTGATTTTTTTGTCCTTTAATATCCAAAATAGAGAATAAGAAGATCCCAATATGATATTCCAACAAGTCACTTACAGTAAATGGTATCAATATTACCATATGGTTAAGTCTATATATATCTTTAAATAATTGTCAAAATGAAAAACAGCAATAAAATCCCTTTTCTTTTGATATATTGCTACTCCTTTAAGTATATGATGGCATTGTAATCTTATTCTGGTTGTCTTTCATTTTAATGTAGATATAAACAAGTTGCCACCTTCCAAGTTTCTTAGTGTAGATTTACTAGAGGTTCATAATTTTGATGTAGTGAATATGTAGTGTATACTTTTATAATGACCATTCTTGAGTTATTAAATATTTAATCAGATTCTATGTTCATTTATAATTATCCTATCAACTTAGTGAAAATGATTTTTTCTGTCATAATAATATTATGGGTCTGTTCAAGACAAAAATGTTGATTCAGCTGTGTTTCTTCTAATGTATATTTTGACACACACATATACAGGTAGCATAAATTATGGGATGTAGTATTAACAAATACATGACAATGGTATACTGTTTTTATACGACCGCAAAAAAATTTTGTGGTCGTATATTGGTATGACATTGGCGTCGTCGTCGTCCGGCGTCGTCGTCCGAATACATATTGGTTTTCGCACTCTAACTTTAGTTTAAGTGAATGGATCTTTTTGAAATTTGACCATAAGGTTAAATACCACAAAAGGAAGGCTGGGATTGATTTTGGGGGTTATGGTACCAACAGTTAAGGAATTAGGGGCCAAAAAGGGGCCAAAAATGAGCATTTTCTAGTTTCCAGACAATAACTGTGGAACGGTGTATGGATCTCTCTGAAATTATACTACAAGTTTCCATACCACAAAGGGATGGTTAGGATTTGCTTTGGGGGGTTATGGCTCAAACCGTTTAGGAATTAGGGGCAAAAAAGGGGGAAAAACAAGGTTGTCCTGGTTAATGGACAAATACTTTAGTACAAAACATAATTTAAAGCAGTGTAAGGGAGATAAATCAAATACATCATTGAAATTATCTCCCTTACACTGCTTTTAAATTATGTATAAAGTAATGGTTAATGAACAATAAAGATAATCTAAAACAGTGTAAGGGAGGTAATCCAAATACTACGTTTTGGTTACTTCCCTTACACTGCTTTTAAATTATGTTTAAAGAAATGCATATTTATAAAGGAAGACCAGTAAAAATATCTGCAAATGTTTTCATCTTTTTTTTTTACAAAAAAATCCATATGAAAGATTTGACACTATATTTTTATTAATTCTATTATAAAATAGATTAAGTTAGCACTGTGGTAAATTTAAATGGGTAATTATGGTTGCCAACTCCATTGGAAATTTGAATTGAGATTATGACCATATCTTGAGGGAAAGAATTTTTTTGGGGGAAAAAGGGGGGGGGGGATAAAAAGAAATTGTGGGGGGCCAATTTTTTCTCATTTCAGATTTCAGAAATTAAAAAGAATTATTCTTCAAATATTATTTTTTTTTCAAATTTCAAATATTGAAAAATTTCAAGAAGTAATCTTTAATTGCACAGTATGGCGCATTAGATTTGTAAAATCTTTGATCACATTTATTTATTTGTTATGCCGAATCTAACAGTGTATTTAGATTTTTAATTTTGGGTCCAGTTTTCAAATTGGTCTACATTAAGGTCCAAAGGGTCCAAAATTAAACTTTTTTTGATTTTAGCAAAAATTGAATATATGAGGTTCTTTGATATGCTGAATCTAAACATGTATTTAGATTTTTGATTTTTGGCCCAGTTTTCAAGTTGGTCCAAATTGGGGTCCAAAATTAAACTTTGTTTGATTACAACAAAAATTGAATATATGGGGTTCTTTGATATGCTGAATCTAACCATGTATTTAGATTTTTTATTTGTGGACCCCGTTATCTAATTGGTTCATATTGAGGTCAAAAGGGTCCAAAATTAAACTTTGTTTGATTTCATCTAAAATTGAATTATTGGGGTTCTTTGATATTCCAAATCTAACCGTGTATTTAGGTTTTTAATTTTGGGTCCTGTTTTTTAAATTGGTCTACATTGAGGTCCAAAGGGTCCAAAATTAAACTTAGTTTGATTTTAACAAAAATTGAATTCTTGGGGTTCTTTGATTTGCTGAATCTAAACATGTGTTTAGATTTTTGATTATGGGCCCAGTTTTCAAGTTGGTCCAAGATAGGGTCCAGTATTTAAACTTTGTTTGATTTCAACAAAAATTGAATATATGGGGTTCTTTGATATGCTGAATCTAAACATGTATTTAGATTTGTGATTATGGGCCCAGTTTTCAAGTTGGTCCAAATAGGGGTCCAAAATTAAACTTTGTTTGATTTCAAAAAAAATTGAATATATGAGGTTCTTTGATATGCTGAATCTAACCATGTATTTAGATTTTTTATTTGTAGGCCCCGCTATCAAATTGGTTCATATTGAGGTCAAAAGGGTCCATAATTAAACTTTGTTTGATTTCATCGAAAATTGAATTATTGGGGTTCTTTGATATGCCAAATCTAACCGTGTTTTTAGATTTTTAATTTGGGTCCCGTTTTTTAAATTGGTCTTCATTGAGGTCCAAAGGGTCCAAAATTAAACTTAGTTTGATTTTAACAAAAATTGAATTCTTGGGGTTCTTTGATATGCTGAATCTAAACATGTGTTTAGATTTTTGATTATGGGCCCAGTTTTCAAGTTGGTCCAAGTTGGGGTCCAAAATTAAACTTTTTTTGATTTCAACAAAAATTGAATATATGGGGTTCTTTGATATGCTGAATCTAACCATGAATTTAGAATTTTTATTTGTGGGCCCCGCTATCAAATTGGTTCATATTGAGGTCAAAAGGGTCCAAAATTAAACTTTGTTTGATTTCATCAAAAATTGAATTATTGGGGTTCTTTGATATTCCAAATCTAACTGTGTATTTAGATTTTTAATTTTAAGTCCCGTTTTTTAAATTGGTCTACATTAAGGTCCAAAGGGTCCAAAATTAAACTTAGTTTGATTTTAGCAAAAATTGAATTCTTGGGGTTCTTTGATATGCTGAATCTAAACATGTGTTTAGATTTTTGATTATGGGCCCAGTTTTCAAGTTTGTCCAAGTTGGGGTCCAAAATTAAACTTTGTTTGATTTTAACAAAAATTGAATATATGGGGTTCTTTGATATGCTGAATCTAACCATGTATTTTGATTTTGGACATTGGACCATAATAGGTAAATTAAAAAAATTCAAGTTCTTAGACCACATTCTTTCTGTGTCAGAAACCTATGCTGTGTCAAATATTTAATAACAATCAAAATTCAGAGCTGTATCAAGCTTGAATGTTGTGTCCATACTTGCCCCAACTGTTCAGGGTTCGACCTCTGCGGTCGTATCAAGCTGCGCCCCAGCGAAGCATTTTATTCCTCCATGGACATTTAGGTTTTCTTTCAATAAATTTTATTCAACTTCATAATTGATTTGGTCTTCCAACGGTTTTAACTGAGCCCCAATTAATTATTTTTTGAAATGCATGTCTGATGTACTGAATTGTATATGGTACTTTGTATCATTAATGACTTTTCATTCTTTTCCATATGAAATCATAACACTTTTTTTATTAAGACTTTCTGTCAAGAAGGAAGCTGTAACGGGAAGTATTAGACAGCATTTTGGACTGTGTTCATAATCTTTATTTAAGATAGCCCAGATATCTTTTTATAAATTGTACTAATTTTGAGGTATGTAATTTAGCATGACTTTCTCACATGGTCTTGGTCCCGTAAAGAGTTAATGGACAGGCAACTTTATCACTTTATATTAGATCTGTAAAGAGTTAATTAATAACCAATAATAACCAATTGTATTGGCAACTTTAGCAATTTGTGTTGGCTATGTAAAATGTTTATGGACAAGCATATTTAGCATATTGTGTTGGCCCTGTAAAGAGTTAATGGATAGGCAACTTTGGCAAATTGTGTTTGCCTTGTAAAGAGTTATTGGATAGGCAACTTTAAGTAGATAAACGATTGACATGTTATCTTATGGTGTGCAGGAGCAAATGCAGCTCAGATTTATACTTTTGTCTCTGATTTTGGTTTGTTTGACAGAATGGTAAAGATACAAAGAGCAGTTACCCTTTTCGAGGAACTAACTAACTAAAATAAAAGATGGACAGAGTGATATTATAAGTTTCCTTTTGTCTGGTTTCTGAAAAAATATGCAATTGTTTTCATTTTACCCCTACCACTTTCCTTGTAGCAATATGTGGAGGTATTATAATTTAGCATATTCATCAATATTTTGTCTGTCTAAAGGATCATAATTTCTGAACTGATCTTTGGCAAATTTTTCTCCATAGCTAGTTTTGCATTGCATTCTGTATTTATGCTTTCATAGCAGGTAAGGTATCTATCCATGAAATAATAAAAACAGCAAATTCTTCTGCTTCTGCTTGAACATTGTAACATTATGTATAGTGTTGGACTGCAAGTGGTCATTCTGAAATTTATCAATATGAAGAAAGATAAGTTATGCAGTAGTTGACCATGAGAAGAAATTTGAAGAAACTTTTATGTTTAGCATAATGTTTTAACTAGCAAGATCCATGCCTGTCCATAAAACTGTAAATTCAGAAATTATTGAATGCGTTTATAATTGCTATTTTTGAAGAATGGACAAAAATGTGAGATTATATATTGTGACTTCAGGAAAATCTGCATACAGATATATGTATTAGATATCAGAATGTGAGTTATTATTGTCTAGTCGCATTATTCCATTAATAAAAAATTTCACAATATTTTCTGAATTTACAGTAGTTATTCTGCCTCTTGAAGGAACTGTAGAACTTTAAAATCTTCTCAAACGCAAATTTAAAAAAAAATTTCATTCTAATTTTATTAAATAAGATATCAATGGTGTTGGTGGTGTTATTGGATGTCTACATTTGGTTTACTAGTATACATTCTATGGAAGAGGAATGTAACCAAATATTAGTAATGAAAAATTGTAAATTTTAAAAATTCATTGTTTATGAAATATGATATTGAGAAAATGAAGAATAACATTGTGGCATTTCTCTAAAATTATATGATGTTATGATTTTGTATTGTGAAAAAAGATTAAAAAAAAAATAGGTTTATTCATCTTAAATTGTCCCAAGCTAGGTATTTTTAATATACATATATATTTGGATGTCATATCACAATTTGCAATATATCTAACTAGATTATCAATTTTTCATAAATTTTGTATAACTATCAAATAATGACTGAATATGTGAAAATTTATTTGCAAAAGCATACAGGACATTATATATTAAACATTTATCCACTGAACAAGTTCTGTGTTAATCAATCAGTTTGATAAGAAAATTTACATAACTAGGACTAGGATTTAAACTTTTGGAGTTAGTTTTATGTTGATAGCCATTTTTAAGAAAAACTTTTTGTTTACTAGATGGACAAGACTACAGCCTAGTACAAAACCAACCGGTGGAAGCCGTGGGAATGATGTCAGCTGATGGGATAGATGATTCTGACGAGGAGTGTATATTACAACCTAGCAGATCTCGCCAAGATTGGAATGTTATTTTATGACTAGAGAAAATAGGGCAATCCAGCTAATGGAATAAAGAGTAGGAATCTTTGATTGAGTTTTCAGGTGATTTAGCACCAAAGTAGACTCAAGCACTGACTGGAAGAGAAAAGAACCTTAATAGCTCTGAAATATGTAGACACTTATTCTAGAGTAGCCATGAGATAACGGGAGAAAATGTAGTAATCCTAGATCATTGACATATGTTAAATACTATAGTATATTGTATGAGATTACTTTTCTATCCTTTCTTGATCTTCCCATTGTATCTTGCTACCTCATTTAAAAAAAGTCCAGAATTTATTTTAGTTTAGACTAGATTACTTTGTTTTAGTTATATGCACAGTAAAAAGTACAAGGGACGTAAGATATTGAAATTTGCAGCTCTGCCCAATTTTTATTATTTTTAAATTTAATTAAATCTTAATATCAAAGCCATGATGTCATTGCAAAATGTTTTATACAGCACACTATATTTATCATCTAAAAGCATGAACAAAAATGACAAAAACTGTATATTACATAATATGACTCATGGATACTATGCCCACAAAAAGATTTCTGACATATGAAATGTAAAGGAAAGTGCACGAATTAGAAAGTCATCTATATATTTAAACAGTTCCTGATTACTTTGAAATTTTAGTTTTACAGAAATAGGCAAAAAACATATTATGTTGGGCATTTTCTTAAATGATCACCTTGTTTTGCCTCTAAAACATTTTCTTTCCTGAACAATGATGTTTTAGTCTGGTGTTCTTTCTTCTGATTTGATTTTTTTTTAAAGCAAAACAATTTTTTTTCCACATTTATTGAATGTTTATGTATAGATTTTAATATATATTTTTACAAGCTAGTCTAAATGCAAAATATGTTTAATCAAAAAGATCATGTTTTATAATTAAGATTTTTTAATGTGTATGATCACTGCCAAGAAGGCGGTAAACTGAGAAATAAGTTCTTTTTTACAAATGACAGTTTTTCTATTATCTCAAGAAAATGATGACTAATTCATACAATTTTTAATTATAAGGCAGCCTCAAATACATTACCACAAGGGGTTGAAATAAAATTGAAAATGGAAAGACTGTCCTTCTGGCAAACAGGGGCATTTGTGTTGTCCCTAATGAATCTATTTTATTCATAACTTGCTCCAAATCTTTCTGACCAACAATTGTCAACTGCTGTAATATAAATCTTTCAATCTCAATTTTTTAGCAAATTTTCTCCAACCATAATATATAATAAGTTTTAAAATATTTTGGTTGATTGAGGGACTGTACTCATTATCAGTTCACTGTCATTACAATATATTTTGTGAACTTTTGTGCATCTCAGTGTGAACCATATCTAGCCATAGAGAACTACATTGTTAATATAGTAGCATATAATTAGCCTATCCTGACTAGTTATGAATATGCTGCTAATTCAGGGATATTTTTTATCTAAGAAATATGAATAATGCATTATTTATTCGTTGTTTTTTTTAAATATTAACATGAGCATTATAGTAATTTGTGAAAATCTGTATATATTTATATGCTTGTTATATGATTTTGATCTCATTGTTATGATTATGAAGATCTGACTAACTGTACTATTTACTAAAAGATCTGATAATACATCTGGTAATTTAAGGAAGTTATTTATTTTTAACTTATTTAATTATATCAATTTTAAGCTAAATTCTGATCAGAGAAGACTGTGGAATAGTTGTGAAAGTATTTAACTTTGGTTTCAGTTTGTTTCACAATAGATTCAGCCAGACCAATAAATGCTGTGTATTTTGTTGTGAAACAGCAAAATTCATAAAATTATGCCGCCTTAAAATGGTCAGGTTGCAAAAAGTCATTTTCTTTTATAAAGAATTGAGGTTGGCTATGCATATTTAAAAAAAAACTGTCTGCTTCCAAAGCATGATAGGAATTTATAACCAAATCAGTGACATTTCAGTTTTTCTGTCTTATTTGATAAACTTGTTAAACATCATGGCTAAAATGTTTTGGCAACGTTGATTTTAGTTTACAGCCCAAACCAAAGTAATCAGTTTCAGAATTTAGAAAAAAAGAAATCACCAGGTGCATAATTGTGAAAGAAAATCTCAGATGTGGGAATATGTTGTTGATACAGCAACCCAAAAACATAAAAAACCAATGGACATTTTAGTAACATTTCTGAAATCTGGATTAGAAAGAAATTGTAGGCGGTGATAAGCCAGTGTCCACACATTAAAAAAACTAAACCCAAAACTAGTGAAAAAAATCCTGTTACTGAAGACCAGACAGGTCCCTTTTGTTGTTATATAGTATTGCACAATGTAAACTTTACTTTTATATTTGGTGTAATTGCCTATGCAAACATTGTAAACTTTCATTTGCTTAGTTAGGGTTGACAATGCTGTTGAATATATTAAAATAGGAAACCTCTTTCTCAGAACTGACCATCGAGCATTATTCATGTAAGCTAGATTTCAACTATGTGCAACCTTACCAAAATAAGTATCAAGTGACTCAAATAATTTCACTTTTATAGTCACCATTCAAAAAATTCGTAAGGGTTCCACGGAACCCAGTGTCTCGCCTACTTCTGCTGTTAATCACGGGCTCAACAAAAATGAGGAAAAAAATTAATAAAAATATTCCTCTCTATACTATCTTTTGATTGTAAGTAGCTTCTGTCCAAGTTTGGTAAAAATCCAGGATAGTTTATGAATCTAATAAATGTTTTAAAATAAAAACTTAAACTGCAGACTGTTATGTAATGTTAACTGGAAGAAAAACTAAGTCCATTTATAAGTAAAATACGGAAAAATTGAACAAAATTTTAACAAAATTTACTTCTGGATACTATCTTATGATCACAAACAAGCTTCTTTCCAAGTTTGGTACAAATCCAGGATAGTTTAAGAAAGTTATTAAAATTTCAAAAACTTTAACCACAGAGTGAATGTAATGTTTCCTGGCAGAAAAACTAAGTCCATTTACAAGTAAAATACGGAAAAAATAGAATTTTTTTTTTACAAAATTTACTTCTGGATACTATCTTATGATCACAAACAAGCTTCTTTCCAAGTTTGGTACAAATCCAGGATAGTTTAAGAAAGTTATTAAAATTTCAAAAACTTTAACCACAGAGTGAATGTAATGTTTCCTGGCAGAAAAACTAAGTCCATTTATAAGTAAAATACGGAAAAAATGGAATTTTTTTTTTACAAAATTTACTTTTGAATATTATCTTATGATCATAAACAAGCTTCTGTCCAAGTTTGGTAGAAATCCAGGGTAGTTTAAGAAAGTTATTAAAATTTCAAAAACTTTAACCACAGAGTGAATATTTGTGGACGCCGCCGACGACAACGACGACGACGCCGACGGAATGTAGGATCGCTATGTCTCGCTTTTTCGACAAAAGTCGAAGGCTCGACAAAAATGTGAGCTATTGTACCACTTGTCATTAATTGTGTGTTCACTTTTCACATTTTCACCTCTGAAACTTGTGAGCCAATTTGGATCAAACTTGACTGTTATAATAAAGTTTCAATCAAATTCAACAAAAAATTTGTTATAAATTATGTAAAGGGGCAACTACCACTGAACCAGGCTAAATATGCTTTACTGGATTGAAGAGTGGCCATTCTTGATATTTGTCAGGATATATTACATTTTTTTACAAACATTGATTATTTTCTTTTACTTTTAAAAAGTAAATTATATTAACAAGTGTTGATTACATTGAAAAACGTATTAGAACTTTGAATATCAAACCTATTGGATGTGAAGTTTGTCAATGATTACATTATTATTATTAAGTGTTAACTGGTGTACTATATATATTTTTTTTTATTCTACATTGTTATATAGAATGAAATAAAACTAGTCAATCTCATGTTGGGTTTTTTTTTCCACAGAGTAGAATAAATTTAGGTAACCTTGTGTTTTATTGAGTCCTGATTATGGTGCAACAGGACCAACACAGAGAGGGAGGAGAGTTTACTGGCATTTGAAAGATTTATTTATAGTTCTATGGGAAAAGTTGTAGCAATTTACATGAATATATGCCGTTTTAACTGAGAAGTTTTAACTCAGAATTATTTTTTTTAAATTTATCACTCTTAAAGGTAAATATTGTATCTCATTTGGTTGTTCTTTGCCTGAAGGTGTGTTCCCATTTTTTACAAAAATCTTCTCTTATATAAAATAAGGAGATGTGGGATGATTGTCAATAAGACATAAGACAATTATCCAACAGAGACCGAAAGATGAAGATGGTAGCAATTATAGGGTCACCCTACTGCCTTCAACAATGAGCAAAACCCATACTGCATAGTATGGCTTCAGTGGCTGAGTGGTCCAAGTAGTTTATCTATTGTATAACTAGCCTGTCAACACTGAGGTGCTTTCATCTCTAATCTTAATTGACTTGGATTGTCAGTTTTCCAGCCAAAGGTTTTGGTTCTCTCCGGCTTCCTCAACCAATAAGTTTGACCGCCAAGATATGGTTGATAGTGCTTTAAGTGGCCTTAATCACTAATAATCAATCAGTCATACTGCATAGCAGCTATAAAAGGCTGTAAGGCCCTGACATGACAAAAACACAAATGTGATATACAAACAACAATCACTGATTAATAGGCTACATACAAAATGTGGCAAGCTAAACATGTTTGCAGGTGCCCAATCTTCTCCCTGACCTGGGACAGAAGTTTTAAAGCAAAACTTAAGATTATACTATAAAAATTTGTGTCCGCAGAATCCTGTGTCTCATCTACGATTGCTGCTGTCAGTGTAAAAGTATAATATTGACTTAAAAAGTGAGTCCATTTATCAGTAAAATACAGAATTTAAAAAAAAAACAATCTTTTTATTTAGATGCTATTTCTTGGTCTTGAAGATTAGTTTCTGTCTAAGTTTCATAACAATCCATGAAGGTTTACAAATTTATCATGTCAAAAGAATTTAATCCTAGACTCTCTGTAAATGTCCATCTATCAGAAAAATACTGAAAAAGAAAATATATTTTCAAAAGTTTGCTTCAGACATTATCACTTAATTATAAAAAAGCTTCTGCCAAAGTATCATAAAATTCTATGAAGGTTTGACAAAGTAATTCATGTGTAACAAACTTGAACCCCAGACTGTATTAACTTGTTAACTGTTAAATAAAAAATTAAGTCCATTTATCAGTAAAATATGGAAAAATTAAAATATTTAAAAAATTTTGCTCTGGATACTGTATTTTGTCCAAATTTCTAAAAATTCCATGAAGGTTTGACAAAGTTATTGATGTCTAAAAAAAACTTTAACCACAGACTGAACCTAAATGTTGCTGATGATGGAATCTAGGTTCGCTATGTCTTGCTTTTGCGACATAAATGTCACAGGCTCGACAAAAGTCAGTTGAAAATGTTTATTCATCAGATCGTTCAAAGCACAAAAACACTCAAGACAAATAGAACAGAGTCCTGGCAGTAACTGAAAGCTAGTTCGAAGCCAATAACAAATAAAACTGCTGGACCAATTATATTGCTTAAGGATACTACACTGAGATTCTCCTTTTTTTTCTTATCATGATAGCTTGAAGGGTTCCACTCATATTTGCTCAACCAAAAACAGATTTACAAATATATAACATTTTAATAACAAAATTACACAACAGATATAAAATAAACATCACAGATGAATGCATACAAATGTAAAATTTGCATAATATGTGTATGCTAACTTGTAAGCACCTTTACAAATATTGTATGGAAGTTTTTGAGAACTCTTGATTTTATTCTACAGTTTCTACATCCAGAGAAGTATTTATTATTGTATTTATAACACTTCAAATACAAAGTATTATGGAAGAGTACAAATTTATTATTAAAGTAAAATGTCATAACATTAATTAGAAAACAACAGAAACCATCCATTATTGTGTAAATGTAAAAACTTGTTAATGATAAGGACATAATACAATTAGTAATTTTGTGGGTATAAGTAGCTATGTGTTTTAATATATAACTTTAAGCTGCATACAAAAATAAAACTTTTGAATGCACAAATTCAAGAAATATATGGAAAATGGAACAAAACTTTCATTTTCACAGATTCTCTGTAAGAGATCCTACACATAAAACTGTGAGAACCTTGATATGAAATGTCACTAGGTATACCGGTATATGGATTTTCTTTTTTTCTTCCCTAAACCATTTATCCAATTACTTTTACAGCAATATGAAATTTCTGTAATATTTATATGGAGATGAAAAGGCTCCATTATACAGATGACATAAGTTCCTGTTGATCAACTGTATACATGAAAAAGAACAGCATATCTCAATGATTGTAGATGTTATTTAAAAAAAGCATTCTAATTTTTCCCAACCACATTCTGTTGTTTGTAAGTTAAAATTACCCTTCACTTCAAACAAAGCACACATACACACATCAGTTTCAAACTAACAAACTGCATTCTAACATACATGTATAAGTTTCTGATTATTATGACGATTATAAGTTGTCATGGATAAATATATATATTGTAAATAAACGGGCAATATCTAGCATAGAGATTCTAAAAGGCAGGATTTTAAAAATTATTAAAAGAATATTTTACTCAACAAGGATCTGATTTTGTTTTATATAATGAGATATATTTTCATAGATATACATAATCTAGTACCAGGGGAGGATCCAGGATTTTTGAAAGGGAGGCGTAATTCGATAAAAGTGAAGTAATATCGGCAAAAATTTTTGGATGATTTTATGCTAAAATATGATATAACTACCAATTAAAGGTAATTACTGAGTACTGATTTTCATGTTTATTAGATTTCTTTAAAATAATATCAGAACCAAATAAAATGCTCCGCAGGGCGCAGCTTGATACGACCGCAGAGGTTGAACCCTGAACAGTTGGGGCAAGTATGGACACAACATTCAAGCTTGATACAGTTTTGCATTTGGATTGTGATTAAATATTTGACACTGCATAGGTTTCTGACACAGAATGAATGTGGTCTAAGAACTTAAAAAATTTAAATTGGACATTCACCTATTATGGTCCAATATCCAAAATCTAAATACATGGTTAGATTCAGCATATCAAAGAACCCCAAGAATTCAATTTTTGATGAAATCAAACAAAGTTTAATTTTGGACCCTTTTGACCTCAATGTGGACAAAGTTGATAACGGGGCCCAAAAATCAAAAATCTAAATACATGGTTAGATTCAGCATATCAAAGAACCCCATATATTCAATTTTTGTTGAAATCAAACAAAGTTTAATTTTGGACCTCGATTTGGACCAACTTGAAAACTGGGCCCATAATCAAAAATCTAAATACATGTTTAGATTTAGCATATCAAAGAACCCTAAGAATTCAATTTTTGTTAAAATCAAACTAAGTTTAATTTTGGACCCTTTCGACCTTAATGTAGACCAATTTGAAAACGGTACCAAAAATTAAGAATCTAAATACACGGTTAGATTCGGCATATCAAAGAACCCCAATAATTCAATTTTTGATGAAATCAAACAAAGTTTAATTTTGGACCCTTTGGACCTCAATGTGGACCAATTTAAAAACGGGGCCCAAAATCCAAAAACTAAATACACGGTTAGATTCAGCATATTAAAGAACCCCAAGAATTCAAGAATAAAACCCCATTGAAATTGGTCAAGAAATAAGCAATTTATACAAAGTATCTTCTTTTGCACAACACTGTGCAATTAAATATTTCTTGCTATTGCGCAATACTGTACAATTGACAATTTCTTGCTATTGCACAATATTGTGCTATTGGATATTTCTTGCTATTGCGCAATACTGTGCAATTGAAGATTTCTTGCTATTGCGCAATACTGTGCAATTGAAGATTTCTTGCTATTGTGCAATACTGTGCAATTGAAAATTTCTTGCTATTGCACAATACTTATTATATAATAATTTACACATCCTGTTTGGTGTGTATCTCCTACCATACCATTATTATTTGCTTTTAAATATAAATCAGAAATAACCAACTTAAAATGGAAAATTTTAAAAGAAAAAAAAAAGGAAAAAAAGAAAAAAAAGGAAAAATAAAAAAATTCCCCCCCCAAATTTTTTGAACCCCTTATGATTCATCACCCCCAAACTCAATCCCAGCCTTCCCTTTGTGGTATGGTACCTTGCAGTACAATTTCAGAGAGATCCATACACTTGAACACAAGTTATTGTCTGGAAACTAGAAAAATGTGTTTTTTGGCCCCTTTTTGGCCCCAAATTCCTAAACATTTAGGGCAATTACCCCCAAACTCAAACCCAGCTTTCCCTTTGTGATATGGAACCTTGTAGTACAATTTCAGAGAGATCCATACACTTACACACAAGTTATTGTCCTGAAACTAGAAAAATGCTTGTTTTTTGCCCCTTTTTGGCCCCTAATTCCTAAAATATAGAGGCAATTACCCCCATCATCAATCCCAGCCTTCCCTTTGTGGTATGGTACCTTGCAGTACAATTTCAGAGAGATCCATACACTTGAACACAAGTTATTGTCTGGAAACTAGAAAAATGCTTATTTTTGGCCCCTTTTTGGCCCCCAATTCCTAAACATTTCGGCAATTACCCCCATACTCAATTCCAGCTTTCCCTTTGTGATATGGAATCTTGTAGTACAATTTCAGAAAGATCCATATACTTACACACAAGTTATTGTCATGAAACTAGAAAAATGCTTGTTTTTTTACCCTTTTTAGGCCCCTAATTCCTAAAATTTTGAGGCAATTACCCCCAAAATCAATCCCAGCATTCCTTTTGTGATATGAAACCTTGTGGTACAATGTCAGAGAGATCCATACACTAACACACAAGTTATGTCTGGAAGTTACAAAAATGCTTATTTTGGCCCCTTTTTGGCCCCTAATTCCTTCACTGTTGGTACCATGACCCCCAAAATCAATCCCAACCTTCCTTTTGTGGTATTGAACCTTGTGGTAAAATTTCATAGAGATCCATTCACTTAAACTAAAGTTAGAGTGCGAAAACCAATGTGTCTTCGGACGACGCCGGACGACGACGCCAACGTCATACCAATATACGACCACAAAAATTTTTTTGCGGTCGTATAAAAATGTGGTATGACTGATGAGGCAACTATTCACAAAAGACCAATATATGTTAACAAAAAGCTGCTTACATTTTAAATTTCTATAACAATATTAAAAAAAAATAACCCTAAAATGGATTTCTATACATCAAGGCTCTCTTTCAAGCATTTTTAACACAAAAAAGCTATATATATATTGAAATTTAACCAGAATTCAGGTTCTAGATTTTTTTTTAATTTTCAGCAAGTGTGTATATGATGAGAACCTTATTAGAAACTTGTCTGCAAATACACTTTTTGTTTTGTTTTAGTGTTTCATGAAAGATTTCATAGCAAGTTAAACATACAATATGATGGTTAGTTAAGAACAGAAGCCATGAACAATTGGCAGTGTTAAAAACTTTTGATCAACTAAGCTAAAAACTAAAGCACTTTGGACTGTATCAATAAATATAGTTTCTATATACATGTATTCTGTTTCATACAGTTTTGAGAAAACAGGGTATCAAATAAATGTGTTATGTGTTTCTTTTTAACATATAAAAAAAAAAACTGATTTTTAAAAAACCGTAAAGATATTGTTGACAAATTTTGTATGTGTAAAAGCATCTAAATTTTAAAAAAATAGATTCATATTTCCAAAATTGATCACTAATAACTGGCAAGTATATATAGATAGCATTTCAGCATGATTTTAAACATTTAAACTTTTATAACCACCATTGGTAGGTCAACCAAGATTAAACATGTTCAAAGGAAATGTTATTCAAGTTCTATGTTTTAAGTGAAAATACCAATTCTAATAAAACATTCATCAAATACACCTTAAAATTTTTCTAAATTTAATATATGATCAATTGCTTAATTATCTGCCATATTTTCTCGTTAGCTACAAGTCATTCAGCTCTGAATCTAAGGAACCCATCTCATCATCCAGATCAAGGTCATCCAAATCTAAATCATCGTCATCATCTGAAATTACAAAACTCCAAGTATTATTCAGCCTCATGTATCAATAAAAAACCATAAGTTCCATATAAAGATTATTAAAGTCAATGTCCCCTTGGTAACTTCCCACTTTTTTATAAGAAGGAAAAGAACATGGCATTAAATTTCCAAAATGTAATTTGCCTTAATAAATCCTAAATATCTTAATGATTAATTTTTAGATCTTTTTGGTCAATTTTATGCACTTATTGTCAATAACACTTTGAACTGCCATTATCAGACCTGGTCATACTAAAACTCTATCATATGTTCAATCTCTTATCAGCAATGTTTTTCTTTTTCTTTTTAAGGTTCCCTTACAGAAACTTGGAAAGTTTGAGGACCCTTGAATCCAATTTCCACGTTCATTTTGTTGTATTGCTATTTTTAATACAGCAATTGTAGATGTGTTATAATTTCTATATATAATTACAATTAATTTGAAGGTAAATGTTAGTAGGCAGATATATTTTTTATCTTTAAAAAAAGTGTTTGCAAGGAAACCATTTTTTTCCACATGGAAAGAACAACACATTACCACAATATGGCAACAAAACTTTTCCAGAATAAAAGATATCACTGTTAACCTTCATCTTGGTGTATACTAACCATATACATCATAACAAAAGGAACATTGTTTGTATTAATATAACATAAATCAAATTGTCAGAAACGGTGAATTGTAATAACTATTTCAAATGGTGAATTAATTAACTTAAAGACCTTGAAAAAATTCAGCACAGTATACTAGTCAGATTTTTTATCAAATAAATCTTTTATAAATTATCTTTAGTGATGTATACATAGATACTATGCACAAATTGTTTCAAGCTCCATTGAAAGTTTATCTGTTAAAAATTTCATATAAAATGAAACCTGCCCCATATAACTGAACTGATATATCATATAACAAAATTATAATACAAAGCAATAGATAGCAAATAACAGCCCATTGTTTCTGGTGACAAAAACTCACAAATACTTTGTTTTTTTAATTTATGAAAAGAGATATACCATGATGGCCCTCCTTGAAGTATTTAATCTTTTGCAAAATGTTATGGACAACAATTTACAGGTTTCATTCAAAGAATTAGACTTTGAGTAATCTAGATTTATAACATTTAGCTATTTAAATAATAACAGGATAGAAGAATAAGGGAGGCTCTAAAGTGTGTTTTTGAAGCTGTAGTTGAACAACTAAATTATTTTACAAAAAGTAAAGTGTATTGTTTATAATATCTATTGCTTTTGTAACTTAAATTACCTTTATTTTAATTAAAGTAACCTTTCTCCATTAGAATAATGAACATTTTTACCTGATATGAATCAACCTTGAAGGAAATACATGAAGTAGTATCAGGATTCTTATCATTATATCAGAGTAAAACAATTTATATAATAAACATATACACATACAAATGATCTTTACAACAAACCTTAACTAATCATTATGATAAAAGTTTCAAATTATTCCTGTTTGTTCCAATCTGTTTGTGTATCTTCTATAGTAAGGAACTCTTTTCCAGTGGTGTAAAATAAGGTAATCTAAAAATAGTCCTTTGGAGTACTAGCACACCAAGTTATCCATAATAGTATACATTGTGTTCACATGAAGTTTATGTCAATCATTTTCTTTATGTATCCTTATATTCATTATGTAATTCAAAACAAAACGTGTATGTTGAATCTACTGAAAGATGTTGATATCACATTCCCTACACCTGATTCATATTTAAAAGATGTTTTGGGTATTTTTCTAAATTGTATATATAGAGACATATTTTCAAACTCAAATTAGCTGATTTGATCGATATTGTGCTTTGTGCCATTTAATCCAAATTTTTATGTATAGATACTGTGCTATTCTAATGATTGTCTAAAAATCTTGACATAAAATTCTTACCACTGTCTAAACCTTTAATATCTTGTTTCTTTGGGTTAAATATTTCTAAATCAGAATCATCATCTGACACCAAGAAGTCATCTGAATCTTCATCATTATCTAACTTGACACTGGCCTTGTATACTGAAATAAATAATTCATCTATAAAACAAGAGTGGTTTCAATGACATGTTTCACCTTTTTAAAAACTATGACTGCATACATTTCTTCAAAGTCTGTGAGGTTAAGGTCAAACCTACAGAGGACATTTCAATCATTAAATGGAAAGTATATATATGATCTAACTAAAAAAAGTTATTTAAAAATAAATGTGGATAGTGTCCACATGTGGACACAGATGATGCCCCCCTTTGCATATCATATAGTTATAAAGGGACATAACTGAAGAACGTTAAAGTGACGCTACCCAAATTTGTACTTGATCTGAGTTTTGTGGTAATAAGCATTGTGTGTAAGTCTCATAACATTTGGTTGAGGCTAACTTAAGTAGAGAACAGAAACTAAAAATTCAGCAATTTTTCTATTTGTAAACATGCATAACTCTAGAACGGTTCTGTATAAGTTTTATAACATTTGGTTGAGACAAACTAAAGTTAGAGAACGGAAACGAAAAATTCAGCAATTTTAATGTTTATAAAGGGACATAACTCAAGAATGGTAAAAGTGTCACCACCAAATTTCATGCTTAATCTGTATTATGTAGTAATAAGCATTGTGTATAAGTTTCATAACATTTGGTTGAGGCAAACTAAAGTTTGAAAACGGAAACAAAAAATTTGTACTTGATCTTAGTTTTGTGGAAATGATTATTGTGTATAGGTTTCATAATGTTTGGTTGGGGCAAACTTAAGTTACAGAATGGAAACTAAAAATTTTGCAATCTTTCGATTTATAAAGGGGCATAACTCAATAATGGTTAAAGTGACACTACCCAAATTCAACTTGATCTGTGTTTTATCAGTGGAAGTCAAAATTAAACATTGCATTGTATAAAGCATTGATTGTAGTTGATTCAACTATAATCATGGACAAAGGGAGATAACTCCAATTTTAAAAGTAACTTGATATTTTGAAGAAAATTTTTCCATTTATAAAGGGGCATAACTCTAAAAGGGTTAAAGTGACGCCACCAAAATTCAAACTTGATCTGTGTTTTGTGGTAATAAGCATTGTGTATAAGTTTCATAACATTTGGTTGAGGCAAACTTAAGTTAGAGAACGGAAACTAAAAATTTTGCAATTTTTCCATTTATAAAGGGGCATTACTCTAGAACGGTTGAAATGACGCCACCAAAATTCAAACTTGATCTGTGTTTTGTGGTAATTAGAATTGTGTATAAGTTTCATAACATTTGGTTGAGGCAAACGCAAGTTAGAGAACGGAAACCAATTTTGGGAAATACGTACGTACGTACAGACGGACAAGGGTAATACTTAATGCCCCCACCGCTACAGCGGGGTCATAAAAAAAAATCACTTATCACAAAACTTAACATTAATCACTAAATCATGGAATTGAGGTCAAAATCATTTGTGGTCCATGTGAAGACTGACATAGTGAATGATATCCTTAACTTACTACTAATGTTTGGGATTCGGTAGACCATGAAAAAAAGTATCAAGAGGTCAAATTCTGATGTCATATGTCAAATTTTAATGAAGCATCTATGAAAGAAAACTCTTGTTTTCCACTTTCTATCATAAAAACTTATCATTGGTTGCTTTTATAACTATGGAAATATATGTAAAAAACAAGTCCCACCTTACAGAAACTTCAGGTTATAAAGTATATATATATATACACAATATGTCTTTAACCATCTGAATCATCAAGTTTTGTAGAATAAGTTACAATATTGTGGCTACCAATTCTTGCTGGAATAGCATATATGACCACAATAAGGATATTCATTGAAGGCAAATAGTCAAGAATTTCTATCAAAAATTCCTGCTTTTCCTTGGTTATACATCCAATATCTCCAAGCTATACTCAGAGCTGGACAATAAAGCTATTATCAGAACATCAAATCAATATGTGAAAATACTTTTGGTTTTTTTTTGTATGTGGGTATTGGTGTTTTAGTTGTTGCTTGACTTACTTGGTTTTTGTTTCTTTGGTGATGTTGACTGATATTTTAATGTAGATGAGTAGCCATTTGGCACTGGAGTACTATATCTGGGTGTTGTTGGACGACTATTTACAACAGCTTCCATGTTGCCAATTCTATCCCTTAATAATGAAACTGTTGACCTTCAAAGAAAAAAAAATCTTTACAGTAAAATGAGCAACAAATCAATTTATTTGTATATTTACTTCATCTATTTACTAACCTTTATATAAAAAAAAAATATTATAGGATTAAATTCTCATCACCCTGTCCCCTCTCCATTTCTTTAGATATGGCAAAGAAAATTTATGCTGTATGGAACCCTAGAACCCTACTGCCATTTGGAGCCTGGTAATCAAGTATGTAAAATTGTGACTGACCATACCTAAGTTCTGATATGTGTAGTCCTTCATTATCTGAGGTAGGACTCCAGCTTCCCTGTGATGGTCTGTATTGCTGTTTATGGTGCTGTTTGGCTAGATCATGCACATTCTACAGGAACAAAAAGAAAAAAAGTCCATTTAAACAAGCAAAGGAAAAGATTTATAACTTTATATGGCCCTTACTTAATCCCTATCTTCATATTTTAATATAGAGGGCAGGGTGCAACAAAACATATATTCAAGTCAAATAGATTATTTGTTAAAACAAACAAAATTAAAAGATCTTTTTGTTGATGCATTCCCAGTATGTTTCTGGTTCTTAAAGCAAATGCAAATTGGCATGGTTTCATTGAATTCTGTGAAAAATTGAAATTAACGCTAATTTTGTGAATAAAAATATATTATGATATGTAAATTTTCCACACAAAAAAAGACACATTTCCTATCTAGTCACTGTTTTAACAATGATCTGTAGAGATAAAAACTAGTAAAAAATAATTTGAAATATTAGCTTAAACTAAGAGCCATATTTGGGCCTTATCAAACGTAATCAATTAATGATGAAAACATATTGTGCATCAAATTAAAGACTAAAGATAAAGATAAAGTGCAGTATTGGAAGGTAAGTTGTTTAGTGTAATAGTTTCCTTACATGTATACTATACATATCCTGAACAAAAGCTAAAATTTATTGCTAGTTGTCCAATAAAAATCAAAATTTTAATATATACTGGAAATATTTTTTATTTTACCCGATCTAGGAGATCTTGTTTTCTCTGTAAATCTTTTCCATTATTAAAGGCAGATGCTACATCCAACTCCATTTTAACTGTAATTAATAAAACATTGTTGTAAATATATAAACACATATAACTCATCTGTTATATAAAGAAGTAAAGCTTTTTTAAGACTTGTTTTAGTCATGATTATTGTTAAATTGTTAGTGATTCTTTTGAAGAATTTTATTGCAGAACATTTTTCAATTTAAAGAAGAGAAATGAACTAAATAAAACTACATGAATTTTGTAGCTAAATGAAAATATATTTTTTAATAAAGCAATTCAGCTATTTATATCCCTTGTCCTTTACACATTTTACTTCTCTGTTGTACTTAATATATTTACAAAAGTCTCCATATAAGTCAACTAGTGTTATGAATATGAAAGAGTATTAGTTCATTAATTATTGTTTCAATAATATTGGTGTGGCCTAATTGATTGTGATTTCACACGGCCTATGACTTCTGTTCAATAAGGATGATGAGATCAAATTTGGAATAGTTGGGTAACAGAATCAATATTCACAATTCATTTTAGATAAGATGTAAAGGTAACATTTTGTTCAATTTCTCTGCCAATATAATAAACTTGGCTATATACAATGGCTTGTTTCCAAGCTGAAACATTTTCACATATATGTATGTGATTAAATTTTAAGGGTAAAAAGTGCAATTAAATTTTCCACAAATTTTTAAACCATGAAAAGCTTTTTGTGATGCAGTTTTTGAGATAAAAAATCCCCTTTTTCACACAAAAAGTTCTTTGGAAATTCAGTTTTTTGCATACATTTAATATATAGCTCCATAGTTTTTACACCTTTCTTCTTTGGTCCTCTGCTCTTCAAATCAGCCCAAATGGTTAAGCTCAGTCATTTGATATGCAAATTAATTTTATGTTGTTTAAAAAATTTGATTTATAAAATTTCATTATCTTTGTGATGCATTCTACAATGATGTTACAATGTATAAAATGGAAAATAAGAGAAAAACTTACACAATCTAGATTTGACAGTATCTATATCTCTTTTTATAGTTCCTATGTCATCTTTTAAACTCTGCTTTCTAAAATATAAGAGTGTTGATTTTAAATCACAATACTAATTAAGAACAACAATTCCTATAATTCAGTGAAATAATTAGAGGTATAAAACATGATTTTTTTGTTTGATGCTTCTGACTGTCCTTACAGATAATTTTCTGGAATGTTCTAAATATATTCAAGTTAAGAAAGCTTAATATTTCATGAAAATTTTTTAAAATGCAACAGATACAGATTTTTAAAACATGATGGTCAAAATTTTCAAGGGAGCATCTTTTCGTCTTTGGAGGGTTAAAACTCATCGTGTTTTCGTAAGCAATTACAAAATTTTGTGTTTTAATTATTTTTTGGCACAGTCTATAAACAGAAACACATAAATCAAGACACTAAAATATTCTGGATTATTCATACTAATTTGAAAGTAGCATTTTACCATGTCTTTATATCATGTTACTTCTCTTACAAAATATATAAAAAACAATTACACACAACTAAAAAAGAGTTTACAACCACCAACAAGCTTGGACTTAGTATATAAGTAAATGTTGATGAAACAACTACCAAAAACAAATACATGTATAAATAGAAGACCATCTAGTGCAAAAGCTCACATACCCATGCTCCCCAGAAACCAATTAAAAGGGGAATAGCTTATAGTGGCATATGATGGCATAATTTGTTTATTTAATAAAAGTATTCTTTTTTGTTATGATTTAAGACAGTAATATTGTCTTGAACAATCTGTTTTAGTAACTTTGACATTTATGTTAGACAAAATGACTTCAAAAAAATAAGTAGATTCCTCTTATTAAAAATTAACACATTTCCAAGTAAGGTTGAAGTCCCATTTGTAGTATCTGATATAGCTTCCTTAGACCACTTTTCTACACAAATTTCAGACTTTTGACCTTAAACTTAGACATACATGTAGAAAAATCAACATAAATAGGGATCATTCACTCATTATATATGACCTGTAGTGATTCAACATCAATAGGGATCATTCTCTCATTATATATGACCTGTAGTGATTCAACATCAATAGGGATCATTCTCTCGTTATATATGACCTGTAGTGATTCAACATCAATAGGGATCATTCTCTCATTATATATGACCTGTAGTGATTCAACATCAATTGGGATCATTCTCTCATTATATATGACCTGTAGTGATTCAACATCAATAGGGAACATTCTCTCATTATATATGACCTGTAGTAATTCAACATCAATAGGGATCATTCACTCATTATATATGACCTGTAGTAATTCAACATCAATAGGGATCATTCTCTCAATATATATGACCTGTAGTGATTCAACATCAATAGGGATCATTCTCTCGTTATATATGACCTGTAGTGATTCAACATCAATAGGGATCATTCTCTCATTATATATGACCTGTAATGATTCAACATCAATAGGGATCATTCTCTCATTATATATGACCTGTAGTGATTCAACATCAATAGGGATCATTCTCTCATTATATATGACCTGTAGTGATTCAACATCAATAGGGATCATTCTCTCATTATATATGACCTGTAGTGATTCAACATCAATAGGGATCATTCTCTCATTATATATGACCTGTAGTGATTCAACATCAATAAGGATCATTCTCTCGTTATATATGACCTGTAGTGATTCAACATCAATAGGGATCATTCTCTCATTATATATGACCTGTAGTGATTCAACATCAATAGGGATCATTCTCTCGTTATATATGACCTGTAATGATTCAACATCAATAGGGATCATTCTCTCGTTATATATGACCTGTAGTGATTCAACATCAATTGGGATCATTCTCTCATTATATATGACCTGTAGTGATTCAACATCAATTGGGATCATTCTCTCATTATTTATGACCTGTAGTGATTCAACATCAATAGGGATCATTCTCTCATTATATATGACCTGACTTTATATTCAAGTATATGTCTGATACTTCCTGTTTACTCCAGACCTGCACAGATGTAACTTACACTTCTTGTACATCTTTACTGAGTGAGTAGAACTGATTTTCTGACATTCTATTACTTCCTGTGCTGCGTAAAATTTGAAGTTCACTGTTTAACAGTTGAATATCTCCATTGAGATCATGACAAACTTTGTTTAGTTTGCGGTCAATGTTGGGACTTTCGCTGCCACTCATTTTATATACTTCATCTACAATTATTACAACAGGAATAATGTGATTTATTGTGTTTTATGACAGACTGTTTCAATAAACTTGAACAATACAAGTTAAATAGAATTCAGGGTTTAATTAGTTATTTTCAGCTAATATTTCAAAAGCTTCATATTACAATTCTATTACTAATAGAACTCAAAACAACAATTCAAAATGAATAAAATGCTCCGCTGGGCGCAGCTTGATACGACCCCAGAGGTCGAACCCTGAACAGTTGGGGCACGTATGGACACAATATTCAAGCTTGATACAGCTCTGAATTTGGATTGTGATTAAATATTTGACACAGCATAGGTTTCTGACACAGAATGAATGTGGTGTAAGAACTTAAAGATTTTTAATTTACCTATTATGGTCCAATATCCAAAATCTAAATACATACACGGTTAGATTCAGCATATCAAAGAACCCCAAGAATTCAATTTCTGTTAAAATCAAACTCAGTTTAATTTTGGACCCTTTGGACCTTAATGTAGACCAATTTGAAAAAGGGACCAAAAATTAAGAATCTAAATACACGGTTAGATTCAGCATATCAAAGAAAATCAATATTTCAATTTTTGATGAAATCACACCATATCATTATTATTTGCTTTTTTTTATAAATCAAAAATAACCAACTTAAAATGGAAAATTTTAAAGAAAAAAAAAGGAAAAAAAGGGGGGGAAAAAAAAGGAAAAAAAATCCCCCCCCCCCAATTTTTTGAACCCCCTTATGATTCATCACCCCCAAACTCAATCCCAGCCTTCCCTTTGTTGTATGGTACCTTGCAGTACAATTTCAGAGAGATCCATACACTTGAACACAAGTTATTTTCTGGAAACTGTAAAAAATGCTTGTTTTTTGGCCCCAAATTCCTAAACATTTAGGGCAATTACCCCCAAACTCAAACCCAGCTTTCCCTTTCTGATATGGAACCTTGTAGTACAATTTCATAAAGATCCATACACTTGCACACAAGTTATTGTCCTGAAACCAGAAACAAGCTTGTTTTTTTCGCCTTTTTGGCACCTAATTCCTAAAATTTTGAGGCAATTACCCCCCAAAATCAATCCAAGCCTTCCCTTTGTGGTATGGTACCTTGCAGTACAATTTCAGAGAGATCCATACACTAACACACAAGTTATTGTCTGGAAGTTACAAAAATGCTTATTTTTGGCCCCTTTTTGGCCCCTAATTCCTAAACGTTTTGGGCAATTACCCCCAAACTCAATTCCAGCTTTCCCTTTGTGATATGGAACCTTGTAGTACAATTTCAGAAAGATCCATACACTTACACACAAGTTATTGTCATGAAACTAGAAAAAATGCTTGTTTTTTTACCCTTTTTTGGCCCCTAATTCCTAAAATTTTGAGACAATTACCCCCAAAATCAATACCAGCATTCCCTTTGTGATATGGAACCTTGTGGTACAATGTCAGAGAGATCCATACACTAACACACAAGTTATTGTCTGGAAGTTACAAAAATGCTTATTTTTGGCCTCTTTTTGGCCCCTAATTCCTTAACTGTTGTGACCATAACCCCCATAATCAATCCCAACCTTCCTTTTGTGGTATTAAACCTTATGGTAAAATTTCATAGAGATCCATTCACTTAAACTAAAGTTATTGTGCGAAAACCAATGTGTCTTCGGACGACAATGACAACGCCAACGTCATACCAATATATGACATCAAAATTTTTTTGCGGTCGTGTAAAAATTATAATGGTAAAATCTGTTTTATCCAAAATTAAAATTTAAAATATTCATGGAATGGGTTTTACTCATTGTTGAAGCCATTCAAGGGTATATAGTTTGTATTTTGAGGACAGATGTCTAATTAACACAATAAATCATCAGATACTTCATCAAAATTTCTTAAAATTCCATTGAAACAAACATCAGTTATATATATTGTGCTACAGGCTCTTCCATAACTGTCATATGACTTATATTTCTATATTTATGACTCTGGAAAGACACATGTAAAAATCTTCCAAATGAAAATGGGTCTTGCTGACTTACAATTACACCTGCTTGAAATCATCTTGTTTTTAAAAGAATAAAGTCCAATAACTCTGGACAACAAATTTTAATATCTTCCAAATTAAGGAAGTTTGTCTTTAAGGAACAAAACAGTGTGTACAATATTTGCAAAAATTGGATAAAGAAAACATTATAATAATGTTTAGACACTCATATTTTTTAATTTTCTAATAAATGAAAGGAAATGGGTTGTTGATTTAACCACATACTCTTTCATCTTGATAATTGACTTACTTTTAAGTTCTCTAATCTGTTCATTATAGTTACTTCTATCAGTCTCTAACCTATTTACCATCTGTCTTAACTGGTCAATCAACTGAAACAGCAATACTAAATATTTATACATGTATAATAATACTTTATTCCAAAATCAGTACAGCTTATAGGATATCTATCATTTTATTTAGTCAGGATTTTTGGAGGGGTCAAAGGGACTTCGAAAAACAGAGTCATTTCATTTTCCTCCAAGTTCACTCTGAGATTTTAGTTTTATATGATTGCAAACATGTCATGCATATTGAGAATAAAAATTTTCAACAACAAACTTAATTCATATAAACAACACACAATTGCTATTTCAACAAGAATTCATCTCAAAAGCAATTTTTTTCTTATAATGTTTGACTGAGAAGATGTCTATCTTTATTTATTTTGAAATAGGGAAACTATCAAAAATAAATTTGAGAAGGAATATTAGTACCCAACATGGGCTTACTTTTTAAGTTATGAATCACTCAACTTTTTATATAGATATGTGTTAAAGATAATAAGCATGTGTGTGCTATATTTGTGCATGAGATGATTTGATAAAAACATATTTCTTGCATTTTGATTAGATGTTAATTTTTGGACTTCATTTACCCTATTTTGCTCTTCCAGCCTATCACTAAGTGCTTGTACCAGTCCTGAACTGGTTCCTGTTGGCTCTGTTGTATAAGGATTGTAAACACTACTGTTTAAATCTGTTCTAGGAAATTCTAACAGTGAAGACGTTCTCCTCATTGGTAGTGATACAGAAACTATAAATCAAATGAAAAATAAAACAATTTAAACTTACAAACTAAATGTAGAAACATGAAAACTTGGGTTTTTATAAGGCTATAAGTATAAAAGCTTTTTCAATATGCATTCATATTCATGTACAGTAACACATACCGGTATTAATTTATTTTATTTTTTTAAGCACTTTGTAAATGACAATCATTCAAATGTGTATATTTTCAGTTGAATATATTAATTTTCTCAGCATAATTAGCAAACACCCAAAGTCTGCCAAAAAACAATGATTACTTCCCCCTATAGTAACTTTTCTGCATGTCATTTGTGCCTTTATTGGACTTAAATGAAATTATTCAAAGCTGCAGGTTATCTTTTCCTTAGTGCAATATATATGGAATATAAGTTAAGGCTACAGAGAATAAAATGACAGAAATTGTAGTTTTATGTCGCAACATCATACATTATTGACCATACTATATATATGCAATACATGTATATACAAATTTTTTCTACAACATTGACTAGATTAAGACATAGCTTTTCCAATTTCCTTTCCTTCGATTAAATTTTCCATATCTTATATTTCCTCTCCATAAAATACATCTAAACAATATCTTAGCCTACTAAGAAAACTTTACATATGATCTTTTACATGTAATTGTTAATATTTGCTTTATTGCATCTGCATGACCAATTTGGGTATAACATCTTACTTGTTGAAATTAATGTATCCTTACTTCTTTATGGCTAATATATTAATTGAACTAAAATAATTCGAAACTGTAAAATAGTTTTCTTTTTCTTAATAATATGAACATAATTCTAGTAATTAAAATCATTCCTTTAACATTTTGTAAGGTTAAGTTTGACAATGTCAATGTAAATATTATACGTTTTGTAAATTAAGTTTAAATCTTTTATTTAACAGAAATAAGTTTTTAAAATTCTATACTATATCTTTCGTGAAGTATTTGAGAAATAAAAAATAAATACATTGTATACACATGTATCACTTACAATTTCTATCATTATATCTTGTGAAGTTTATCTTTCGCTGAAAAAGACAATAATACAATTTTATTTAAGCACCAATCAAATTTCTTGAAACAGTCTTTTACTGTCTAAATACATGTACATGTAGTATTAATTGACAATAAGTAACCTCACAGGAGTCACATGTGGACATGCAAAGTATTACCCTATATGTCTATGTTATTGGTCTACCAACTACAGATTTCTTATCTTTTCTAAATGATTATTGTATTATGACTCCTTTTCCCTCTGTCATTTCTTCTGGCATTGACTGGTTGACATGTCAATAGTCTTTATTTGAAAATAGAATGCTATAAAAAGGTCTATCACAGTTAAGTTATTTTGAGTTTATTTTGTAATACCATTACAAGACATAAAATTAGATTTAATTTTTATGTTATGAAAAGCTCTTGTTGAAATCCATTACAAAGTTTAGTAATTTGGGATGTGTTGTTTCTTGGTATATCTATATCTTTGATGCAATAGAAAGACAACAGTGGATTACCACACTGTTGGCCATCATTACAATATATGTACCTTACCATATACATGTACAATGTAAGTACCACAAAAAATGTTGGTTTACAAACCTATCAAATTGCACCATGTGAAAGGTGAGGCCTTACAGATATCTTAGCTTTTTACATTAAGCGTTAACAAGGTCAACATTGAAAAAATATTACAGCTTAATATAATCATTAGTGTAACCCTGTTTGTTAATTATTATTAATGTCTGTATAATTTTAGCAGTTTAGACAGTACTTCCATTTTGAAACACAGACAGTGAAATTCTCTTTAAAACAGTCATTTTTAGCTCTCATTTAGCCTGATTGAGATAGTGATACAATGTGAATGTAAACACAAGAGTGCACACACTGAAATGTCTCGCCTTCTTTACTAATCATTGATATTATGTTGATAGTCCTAAATATAAAGCTTTATTTCAACTGTCACATAAACTTAACATTAACCAAGTAAACTAAACATTGACCAATGAACCATGAAAATGAGGTCAAGGTCAGATGAACCATGCTAGGCAGGCATGTACAGCTAACAATTCTTCCATACAACAAATATAGTTGACCTATTGCTTATAGTTTAAGAAAAACAGACCAAAACACAAAAACTTAACACTGAGCAATGAACCTTGAAAATGAGGTCAAGGTCAAATAAAACCTGCGTGACTGACATATAGATCAAAGAATATTTCCATACACCAAATACAGTTGACTTATTGCATATAGTATAAGAAAAAAGACCAAAACTCAAAAACTTAACTTTGACCACTGAACCATGAAAATGAGGTCAAAGTCAGATGACACCTGCCAGTTGGACATGTACACCTTACAATCATTCCATACACCAAATATAGAAGACCTATTGCATAAAGTATAAGAAAAACGGACCAAAACACAAATACTAAACTATAACCACTAAACCATGAAAATGAGGTCAAGGTCAGATGACACCTGCCAGCTAGACATGTACACCTTACAATCATTCCATACACCAAATATAGTAGACCTTTTGCATACAGTATAAGAAAAACAGACCAAAACACAAAAACTTTACTATAACCACTGAACCATGAAAATGAGGTCAAGGTCAGATGACACCTGCCAGTTGGACATGTACACCTTACAGTCCTTCCATACACCGAATATACTAGGCCTATTGCTTATAGTATCTGAGATATGGACTTGACCACCAAAACTTAACCTTGTTCACTGATCCATGAAATGAGGTCGAGGTCAAGTGAAAACTGTCTGACAGGCATGAGGACCTTGCAAGGTAGGCACATACAAAATATAGTTATCCTATTACTTATAATAAGAGAGAATTTAACATTACAAAAAATCTTAACTTTTTTTTCAAGTAGTCACTGAACCATGAAAATGAGGTCAAGGACATTGGACATGTGACTGACGGAAACTTCGTAACATGAGGCATCCATATACAAAGTATGAAGCATCCAGGTCTTCCACCTTCTAAAATATAAAGCTTTTAAGAAGTTAGCTTACGCCGCTGCCGCCACCGGATCACTATCCCTATGTCGAGCTTTCTGCAACAAAAGTCGCAGGCTCGACAAAAACCACTCTCTACCTGGTCAATTACTTTTAGTAATGAAATAATGAAAGTGTTAAAGTCATTTTAAATGTTCTCATTTCTATCTTTATTGTAAAAACAGTGATTTACAATGATTTATTAGTACATAAGATAAAAATGTTTCGTCCCTGGCATGGAAACTCATCAGGTGGCTTTTGCACTGACTATAGCATTGCAATCATTACATTTTGCACTGGTTTTGTTGTCTTATATTGTATAGAAGTTCCAATTGGCAAATAGGGTCTTCAGGTTTCAGTTTGGTGCTTAAGGTCAAGATGGTTGTACTATGTGTATGTAAATCATGTAAATATTGATTATGAATATGTAAAGGTAAAATTTATACATTATATATTTTTTGGTTTAAAACATAAATTACAGTTCAGCCATAAGAGTAAAGGTCCTTCATACCTTCCATTTCCTGCATAAAGATGATTTTTGTCTCACATTTAATAGACAGGAAATATTTTATTGTTTAAGTGAGTCTTCAAATATCACTTTTAATTACTTTCAACCATGTTTTGTCATCATTTATTGGGGGCTGTTGTTTTTATAGTAATTAAATTTTCACACCTAGCAATGCCAGGTGATAGGTAATAAGACACCTTTAACTTCATTTACCTGTAGTTTTATGTACCTGTAAAAATTATGCATTTTCAATAAAAAATTTGGGGGCCCTTTATAGCTTGCTGTTCAGTGTCAGCCAAGGCTGTACTTCGACCTATAATGGTTTACTTTTTACAAAATTGTGACTTGGATGAAGAGTTGTCTCATTGGCACTCATACCACATCTTCTTATATCTACTTATTACAGTTGAAAAACAAATACACTAGTGAGAAATCTTTTCTGTTTTCTCTTTTTCCCATCCATGCAAGACGTTTTGGCCGTACTGCCAGTTCAGCAATACTTTGTAAAGTTGTTTCAGCCATGGGAATATAACTGTTTTAGAAACAGACATGGAAAAATACATTTTAATCATAGATTAATATTCATTGATAAACGTGTGTAAAATGAAGTTCTTTAATGTTATACTAATATATGTCTCTGATACACTGAACAAGATATGACATTATTTAAAAAGTGAAGACGATTGTTAATCTAATAATAATCATCCACTCGATTATTTGAATGGTGTAGCTTCCAATGAGTTAGTGGACAAATGTTTTACCAAGAAGAAAAAAGAAGGATAAAGAGAGATAAAATGTATATGTATTCCATAGCATAGTGTGAAGACAGGCTCAACCTTTTGACTTCTTCACAGTTTACACACATATTCCTCATCATCAACTTAGAGACTGAGTTAAAGGCCTAGTCAATCTTTGCCGGTTTCAAGAAAATGACTGACGCATATATACAAATATCTTGTTTTAAGGAACATACATATTTTGTAAGTCTGAAAAAGATCTGTTTCAAACAACCGGTTTGAACTGAGAAACTGATATGATGCTTGACTTTTTTATTTTGTATCGAAAACACATTTGTTACATTTGATAAGTAATATTCAAATTTCTGCCAAAACAATTAATGCATAACTAAAAACAATATAAAAGTGTGGCTGAATCGACTATGGCCGAACTGGTTGTGTCTCGAAAAGCTTTCCCACATCTGAATTAAGTAACCTTGAGGATTTTCAATTTAATGTTGGTTAAATCCATCTCCTTCCTTGCAATGCTTACAAATTTCAACCTACTGTAACCTTTACCAAGTCTGCGTCCACAAGTCATACTTATACCAATTTGTACCATTTTTCAGATTATAAAGGAGTGAACACTTTCCTACAAATTTCAGGAAAACCTCTGGTTGCACTTCCATCATGAAACTAGGGACACAGTGATGCTGTAGAAATTATAATCTATGGTTTTATCCTGCACCAACCACATTTTATCTTGTACAAATGTACATAGAATTTTTCATTTTTTTTTCTTTGATTACACTTAGTACAGCACCTGCACTTGATGACACAGCATCAGCGTGATGGAATTTTCCTTAGTTTTGGCTTGGATGATTAATGAAAGAAGAAGAAGTATACATTTGTATCTAATAATCATTACCAAAATGTCTCATGCAAATGATACCAAGTTCGCCCTCTTTCACAGGTTATACCTGCTACATATTAAATATTCATTCATCTAATTAGGGTGTGACACACTGATGATCTATACTTTGAGCAATGCCAATGAATAAATCATGAACTGGCAATATTCAACAAGCTGTTAGCATGAATTAAGGATTGTGTGTTTTTCAAATACATGCCATTTCATAACATATTGACATTTTTAACTTGCACCTACTCTTGTTTTAGATAAATTTGAGTCTGCTTCACGTAAAATTGACGCAAACTTATTTTCCCAGTCCATTTCTACTTCTCCCTTTCGTTGTCAGGATGCTCGTTGTTTACAGAGGGCGCTTTTCAACCGGAAACGAAGTAATTTTAAAAAAGATACGGTGGTGGATCCGAACATTTTTATGTGTATTACGATAAACCCAAAAGTGTAGCTAGTAGTCAGCCGAAAACCAAATCAAATCAAAAACTTTATTTAAAGTCGGCATGTCACAAAAAAATAAACATAAGCTCTTTGAGCTTTTATAAATTTACACAATAAATATACACAATACAAAAAAAAACAAAACCAAACTGCCCAAATTTATTTTCTCCGAAGCTTAATTACCAAGTCAGAACCGAAAATGATTTTAATTGCTCAGAAAGCCAAAAGGTGTTTATATTCGTTGGGACTATTTTTCTATATATTATGTCACAGGTATTCCTCAGTATATAAAGATGCTTATACTATAAATGCATACGGATATTCTTAATCATCTTTTAAGCATTTGGTTTTCGCCAATCACGAAGGAAAATCTTTTAAGTTCAAGAGCAAGTTTATATATGGTTTATAGCAATTCTTGAAATGCTTGGGATTTTTCAAGCAACTCAAGGATTCATTTTATTTTAAATACGCCTTTTAGCCAAGTAACTTGCTGAATAATAGTTTCCATTATGTATATTTGGTTGTCTTTATATAAGCTTTCAACGGCGCTGCTTCAATACAGACAATACATTTTAAAATTTTGGTAATTATAATTTGCTTCAAATACTGACTCTTTTAGTTTAAACAGTATTTTATTCAAATAAATTGAATTGGATTGGGCAACAGGCATAGCCTATGTAAGCCCTCTCCATAAAACAAGGTACAATTATATTACATTCAAACAAAGCAACACATACACAAACATAATGGCAACACAGAATTAATTTTTCAAAAATACCTCATATCTGACTGGAATGATGCTTCAAATAGTTAACTCAGACAAAAAGTATGAATATTCTAAGAATGCTTCAAATACATGTAGTTAACTCAGAGAAAGAAAAAAAAAAGAAAAAAAATATTAATATTCTAGGTAATAAACTCCAACATTGATGTATTTAGAGGCCTTACATTAAAATAAACAGTCTCCAGTCAGCTGTCCAATATTATAATTTTAATAACTCATTTTTCAAAACAACATGTTTGATATCATGTACTTATTTTTACTAACTTATCGCACCCGAAGAATAACGACAGTGACTCGTAACCATATTGATACATTAAAGAATCATAACAATATAAAAAAGAATTTAGAATGTTAATAAGAAAAAAAAAGATAAGAAAAAAAAAGATAAGAAAAAAATAGATTTAAGAAACTTAAGATATACAAAAGATGGTTTGAATGATTTAGAAAAATATTGACTCTTTCACTGTCATTCTACATGTTCTACCATCTCAGCCAACTTGATAATCAGGACGAAAGAAATATAAATGGCGGTTTCCCCCCTGTGGTCGGTAAAAAAGGTTATTTTCTGGCATAAAATCGTTAAAAAAATGTTCGCATCGCTACGCTCGACACCATTTAAAAATAAATGTATACATATCACCAGTACGCATAATTACGTCCCTTTTCCTCGAACCCTGGGTCCACTACTGAATCATGAAAAAGACAAGTTTAACTTTGACCTAAAACATGAAAATTAACAATTGGAGCGTGAGTAACATTAATATCCAAAATCAAGAAAAGAACAATCATAAAACTGTAAGATGCATATCAGATCTATGTAAAGTCAATGTTTGACGCGTTCTCCACAGGGACGCTTTCATTATTATAGGCCCCTACGTTCGCAAGACATCGGCCTTTCAAATAAAGAGCTCTGAAAGAAACAAAAAACCCTAATGAACATATATAAATATTACAAATGAAGAACAGCAGAATATCAGAGTTAATAATTGTAGTAGTGGGTTATCTAAAATTCCCCTTCTGGTATCCTTTTTTATTTTGTTCACCTATCAATATCTATGCCGTCTTCTAGTCAAATGTCTACACAGCAATACTTTGGTTAATGTGACCATGGGACTCTTATTTTTCTAAAGTAACGTTTCTTTGTTTGATTTTTTTTTCGCTTTTGTTTGTTTTGTATCGTTTGTGTGTGTGTGTTTGTTTTTTTTTTTTTGGCAAGGGTTGGAGGAGGTATTTATAAAATGGGACAGTTCACCTTACAATAAATTATTGAGAAGGAAATAAACTTTTCTCTAGAATCAGTTGGTGTTGATCAAGGTATCCAAATTTTAGCACGGTAAACTGTCCCATTGAATAAATACACAAGAGTGCACACGCTGAAATGTCTCGCCTTCTTTACTAACCATTGATTTTATGTTGATAGTCCTAAATACAAAGATTTACTACAAGTAACACATAAACTTAACATGTTCCAAGAAAATGAGGTCAAGGTAAGATAAATCAAACGAGAAATACATGTACACCTTACAATCATTCAATAAACCAAACATAGTTGACCTATTGCTTATTGTTTCTAAGAAACAGTCTTAAACGAGAAAACTTAACATTGACCAATGAACCATGAAAATGAGGTCAAGGTCAGATGAACCATGCCAGACAGACATGTACACCTTACAATCAATTTAGGCATTAAATATAGTTGACATATTGCTTATAGTATCTAAGAAACAAACTTAACCATGAAAACTTAACATTGACCAATGAACCATGAAAATGAGGTCAAGGTCAGATGATACCTGCCAGACAGACATATACACCTTACAATTCTTCCATTCAACAAATATAGTTGATCTATTGCTTATAGTTGAAGAAAAACAGACCAAAACACAAAAACTTAACACTGAGAAATGAACCGTAAAAATGAGGTCAAGGTCAAATAAAACCTGTGAGACTGACATGTACATCATAAAATATTTCCATACACCAAATATAGTTGACCTATTGCATATAGTATTAGAAAAAAAGACCAAAACTCAAAAACTTAACTTTGACCACTGAACCATGAAAATGAGGTCAAGGTCAGATGACACCTACCAGTTGGACATGTACACCTTACAATCATTCCATATACCAAATATAGTAGGCCTACTGCTTATAGTATCTGATATATGGACTTGACCACGAAAACTTATCCCGGTTCACTGATCCATGAAATGAGGTCGAGGTCAAATGAAAATTGTCTGACGGGCATGAGGACCTTGCAAGGTACGCACATACTGAATATAGTTATCCTATTACACATAATAAGAAAAATATAGTTATCCTATTACACATAATAAGAAAAATATAGTTATCCTATTACACATAATAAGAAAGAAATTAACATTACAAAAAATGTTGACTTTTTTTTCAAGTAGTCACTGAACCATGAAAATGAGGTCAAGGACAATGAACATATGACAGACGGAAACTTCGTAGCATAAGGCATCTATATACAAAGTATGTAGCATCCAGGTCTTCTAGCTTCTAAAATATAAAGCTTTTAAGAAGTTAGCTAACGCCGCCACCGCCACCGCCGCCGGATCACTTTCCCTATGTCGAGCTTTCTGCGACAAAAGTCGCAGGCTCGACAAAAATAGCATGTGATTTTTTATTTATGCAATATCAACTAATTTATTATAGCCCCGCTCCAAAGGAGGGAGTATATTTTTTTACCCATGTCCGTTCGTCCGTCCGTCCGTATGTTTGTCCGTCCGTCCAGTATAAAACTTCCGTTACATTTTTCTTGGGATCTTCAAATCAGAGCTTCCCATTTACCTGGACCTAAATTCGAATATATAGTTCGTTTGAAGTGACCTTTTGTCAAAAGAATCAGACTTAAGTCAGAACATTTTCACAGCAGATCATATTTTAGGGCAACAAATCAGATTTAAAACATTTACTTTTTTCCCCAACTTCAATACTCTTATAGTGTCGACTTCATAACTTTTCCAACGAGTTAAATTCTATCCTCATAAATTCAAGATAAACATGTTTCCATTTGTATATTTTAGGAGCTTATTTTGAAGAAAATATTTCGTACGAGAAACCTTTATGCAATGGACTTTATGACTTGATGATCCTTTGTTCAGTATATATATATCTGTTTGGAAAATAGATTGGAAAAAATAAACATTCTTATTCTTTTTTCTATTGTTTTTTTTTAAGAGAAAAAATACGAAGCCTGCTCGATCCTGTAATTTCATCGTTTGTTTTGGATCTTTCGTGCATTCCATTGAGTTGGAACACAACTTTTATCACAAATACTATATATAATATGTGCTTCTTATCTTGTCCTACACATGCAAATTAGAAATGGCAGCCTATTGAAAAAGGAACTTGAATCCATACTATATAACTTCAAATGTTTCGGTGTAGAAATTTCAAGTATATACAGCAGTGTCTCGGACTATAGTATATTACGATATTCCATGCAAAGCCAATGATCCCTTTCAAGATATTCTTGATAGGGGATGAAGCCAGTTCTTAAGGCTGAAAAGTGGAAAAATCAATGGCTGCAATCCTTACTTCTTGAACCGTTCCATAATATCAGTGTTACAAATGAAAATCGCTCCGTTCATCGAACTTAGTTAAGACTTAATGGGATGGGGATATTTTGCCCTTTTTTGTTGTTGTTATGTCTAAGCTAGACCAGACGCTAGGCTTACTATGTTAGCGATAATTTAGTCCTGGTTAAATATTTCTAGGCGGATACAAATGGCTATAGTATGAATTGTCCATGGTTGCATAGTTTTACTAGTATTGTGAGTCCGATGTCAATTAAAATCGTCCACCTATTTATTTTCCTAGGTAAAAAATCTCATTGTCCTCAATTTTACTAGGAACATTCCTTGTTCTGAATAATCATTCAGCTTTAAACAATGGAAGTTTTCATATATTTTTTTAGCGTAGTACTACATGAACCTCTCATTATTTCCGTAAAGTGTGTTTATGTTTTGATGATGATATAGAAAAATTAAAATTTTGAATTTGAGAACGTGGATGTTATGATGAAACAGGATTTGAATGATTTATGAAATAATGAAAAAATACAAACTTTAATTTTCATTATACGAATCTGTCATAATAAAGTGGACTGTAAAGGAAATTAAGATGTAACATCACCTTATTTTCATGGCAAAATTTATTACACAAACTTTAAACAAACTTCTATTAGTCAAATATTCATAATACGAATCTGAAATCAAAATAGAGGACTGTTAAAGAAAATGAAATGCTATACCGTTTTATTTTCCTAATAAAATTTATAACATGTAACGTACGTGATTCTTCGTTTTTCAATAATTTTTATAATTCTTCATTTTCAAAAGAATTCCCGAAAGAAATCCGTGTTCTAAATTTTACCAGAAAAAAGTATATGAAAATTTTTCAGAGGAAAATGAATCACGATCAGTCATTTTTTACGTTGGACTTATTTCATAGGGAAATCATTCCGGACAATAAATATTTTAGTCAATAAATCCTGAATACATAAGTATAATAGTCCCATGTTACATACATGTACAACATTCAACATGAACTGTTAACACAGAGATATGTCTCGCCTTTTTGTACTTTTGATAATGTAAATGTTGAAATTAAAATAGCAATACTTTAATATGTAAGTTATCCAAATATTCAAAGTCAATGAACCATGATTGAAGGTACATGGCAAAACAATCTCTATGAAAATGAGATTTGCCAATGATAATACAACTGCATACCAAATAACATAGACTTATCCTAAGTCGATGAACCTTGATGAGGGGGTGGGGCTATATAATCTCCACGGAAACGAGACTTGCAAATGTCAATACATTTGCATACCAAATATCGTTGACTTAACATTAGCGGTTCATCTTATACTGATCTAATCACAAACTAATACGTGTAAACTAAGCAAAAGTTTCAAAGTCAATAGACCATGACTGAGGGGGGCGGGACCAAATATTCTCCATGGAAATGAGATGTGCTAATGCTTATACAATTGCATACCAATTAACATTGGCCTACCACTAATGGGTCCCCATGAACTAACCTAATCACAAACTAATACATGTAAACTAAGCAAAAGTTTCAAAGTCAATAGACCATGACTGCGGGGGCGGGACCAAATATTATCCATGGAAATGAGATATGCCAATGCTAATACAACTGCATACCAAATATCACTGACTTACCACTAGTGGTTCCCCTTGAACTGACCTAATCACAAACTAATACATGTAAACTAAGCAAAAGTTTTAAAGTCAATAGACCATGACTGAGGGGGCAGAGCCAAATAATCTCCATGGAAATGAGATATGCCAATGCTTATACAACTGCATGCCAAATATCATTGACTTACTACTAGTGGTTTCCCACAAACTGACCTAATCACAAACTAATACATGTAAACTAAGCAAAAGTTTCAAAGTCAATAAACCATGACTGAGGGAGCAGGGCCAAAAATCTCCATGGAAATGAGATGTGCCAGTGCTAATACAACTGCATACCAAATATCATTGACCAACCACTAGTGGTTCACCTTAAACTCGACCTAATCACAAACGAATACATTGTTGACGCCGCCGCCGCCGCCGCCGACGCCGGAAACAGCATACCTCTGTCTCACTTTTTGACTCCGTCAAGGCGAGACAAAAATTTGAGATTGAACACAAAAGCAAATAATAAGGTAATATATTGATACAAGGATTCGTCGTCGTCGTCGATTTTAAACGTTATTTTATTTCTCTGATTTCTTTTCACCGACCATTTTGATTACTATAGTAAACGACATGGACAACTTCGAAAAGGAAAGTTCTTCATTACCCTTTACATTATAAGTAAGAACTGAATGCTTTATTTCGTTGTTTAATTGAAGTGTTTAGCGCTTACAATACTTTTATTTCCAAAAACCAATAACCCAAAGGAACAGAGAAAGACATGCAACAATATATTCAAATAATTCATAGTGAAAGGTAGAGATGACATTAGTGTAGTATAGAGATACAAACCCAAACATTATATAAACGCAGAAGCGTTGTTCATACTAAACATATCATAAAATTACAAAAATGATTCAATTCTTAAAGTTGACACAGGGAAATTATGAGATGAACAATCAGCTCGTCTGTTTTGTTTTACATATTCCTACCCACTGATGTACCGTTGTTATGGTGAGTACGTATATACTAGTTATGGATGTTGCGTTCTGTTTGGGTTTAAAGCATCTGATACAAATGTAATGTAATTATTTTTGGAAAAGGGTCCAAAATTCAATTTAATTATTGTCTTCCCTTTGCATTTTCTTGTCACCTGTACTTAAATATTTGACAATCGTTAGTATTTTCACAAGTTAAAAAACAATTAGTCCCAGGAACAGATTCTTACTTTTAACAACGAAAAAATGTTGGGAAATTTTGTGTAAAATACCAGTTTTGTTCTGATCTTTAGATACCCCCTAAGTTCTGTTTGGTGTTGCCCACCTGCCTTAATCATAAGGAGTCGTATAAGGCATACATTTCAATCCGATAAATGTGTGCCTAGTCAATGCTATCCTTGTCTGGTGTTGCCCACCTGCCTTAATCACAAGGAGTCGTATAAGGCATACATTTCAATCCGTCAAATGTGTGCCTAGTCAATGCTATCCTTGTCTGGTGTTGCCCACCTGCCTTAATCACAAGGAGTCGTATAAGGCATACATTTCAATCCGATAACTGTGTGCCTAGTCAATGCTATCCTGGTCTGGTGTTGCCCACCTGCCTCAATCACAAGGAGTCGTATAAGGCATACATTTCAATCCGATAAATGTGTGCCTAGTCAATGCTATCCTTGTCTGGTGTTGCCCACCTGCCTCAATCACAAGGAGTCGTATAAGGCATACACTTCAATCCGATAAATGTGTGCCTAGTCAATGCTATCCTTGTCTGGTGTTGCCCACCTGCCTTAAGCACAAGGAGTCGTATAAGGCATATATTTCAATCCGATAAATGTGTGCCTAGTCAATGCTATCCTTGTCTGGTGTTGCCCACCTGCCTTAATCACAAGGAGTCGTATAAGGCATACACTTCAATCCGATAAATGTGTGCCTAGTCAATGCTATCCTTGTCTGGTGTTGCCCACCTGCCTTAATCACAAGGAGTCGTATAAGGCATACATTTCAATCCGATAAATGTGTGCCTAGCCAATGCTATCTTTGTCTGAGTGTTCTTCGTCAAAACAATCGGTTAAAAAGGCAATGTTTGGAAATTAACAATTTAGATTTGAGGCTACAAAAATATTGTTACATGCATATACAACAGAAACAATCTAACTGAACAAACCATATATTCTACAAGTAATGGAATTTTATATGTCATTTTAAAACCTGAATGTTGCGGTTAGGTTATCAAAAAAGTTGTTGTTGTTCTCAGCGGGAACTATCTGGAAATAAAGCCTGTATATATCTGATGGAAACTAGTCCTCAGTTTACATAAAACTGAAGATATACTAACTAAGGTCTTATAAAACGATCTTTAATATATTCATATTTATTTTTCAGTTCACCTACCATGATTTTCTTTTTTCAAAAACTACATAACAAAGTCAGATATCCCGCAGAGTTGAACAGTCTATTGTGTAAAAAGATTAGAATGTGTTATAGTTTTAAAGGCTCGTTTCTTTGTCTATTAAATATGATCTTTTAAAACATTTTGTTAAAAACATGTCATAACCGTCCTATGAGGTTACTGAAGTTTAAATGAGTGCATATTTGTTGTTAAGAAGAGCTGAAATTGAAAAAAAACATTATCTGTTCAAAAGGCGTAGAATAAGACGATCACAACTGCTACCGAAATTCCAGTACATATATAAATAAGGATATAGATCCAATATAGCATAGCTTCTTTTTATCCAACTTTAAATGACCGAAGATTTGTTCTGAAAAATAATGTGAATAAAAGATAAATGTTACATATGATGTGAAGTATACACTGTGCTGCTTAATTTCTTGCAAATGAATTAAAAATGGACTGTCCGAGTCCCTTATCTGGCAAAAATATGCCATATTGACACTTACGTAGAAATATAAAACCTAGAGCTATCCGCATAGCGAGACTAATACCTACGTACATGCATTTTAGTTGCTGATGTGAAATTCAGTAAAGAAACGGTGACATTTTGAACTGTTTTGCTTTTGGGTTCAATGGTCAAGGTAAAGATCAGAGAGATCAGATTTTGGTATTTAACATATCCCGATCCCATGGTGCTTCTGTATATAGAGTTTTGACAATCTAAATGCTTCCGTACAAACTAAATGCACCGTACACAAATCAGACAATGTTTTATCATTATAGGACAAGGTTTTTTTTTCTCTTATAGGGGTCAAATGTCAAATTCAGGGTCAGAGTGACATGACTTTAGTTAATGACATACACACAGCCCAAGATGCAACTGCAAATCAAGTTTGTTTAACCTGTTTTACGATACAAAAGTTATGAATCGATCACAAATATGACAAGGATTTACTTTAAAAGGAATCAAAGGTCAAATTCAAGGTTAGAGTGACCTGACTTTGGTATATGACAGCCCATGATACATATGTATACCAAGTTTGATCAATCCATGTTCAAAGGTACAAAATTTATGCACTAGACACAAAACGGGACAGACGGACAGACAGACATGGTGATTTCTATACATATAGGGGAATAACAAGTATTTACAAAAGATTTTAAGGCGAATGAGCTCTCTTTTTAATGACTGTATACAACTTAGGTTGTAGTAAAAGAGTCTCAAAGACCTGAGTTTTGTGAGTTGTTTGTCGTCTTTATGCTTGGTTTATGATCATGCCAAGAGCATGTGAAGTTCACTGATGTACATACAAAATACACAAAATTCAAATATAATTTTATTATGCTCAATATTTTTCATTAATATTATGCTGTAATTCTTAAAAAAATATATTAATGTATCTGCAACAAAAAAACTTAAAAAAAATCATAATTGTATGAACACAACCAAAAATATAATAATTATAAAATAGTGGAGTACCGTTGTATTTTCTTCACCATTTTACAGCCTTACTCGAAATGCGAAATTTTTGCAAAATGGTAAATTCTCATGATGTGGTTCTATAAAACATCTTAAGAAGATATTCAATATTGAATGCTTTATTTAACTTCTGACTTTTCTGTAATTTACATGATCGATACAGGGTATTCAGGATGACATTGTAATGTAACATGGTACAAGGTATAAAACGAGAAAACAATGTAAAGTTACGTGGTACAGGGTATAAAACGAGAGAACATTGTTACGGTAATGTGTAACATGGTACAAGATACAAAACGAGAAAAAATTGTAACGTTACGTGGTACAGGGTATAAAACGAGAAGACATTGTAACGATACATGGTACAGGGTATAAAAGAACTTTTTTCATAATGTAACATGATGAAAGGTATAAAAGGAGAAGACTTTTCGTTATGTAAAACGATACAAGGTATAAAAGGAGAACACTTTGTAAAATACATGATACAGTGTATAAAAGGAGCTGATGTAAAGCATATTCTGCTCAGTATAAATCACATAACTGGACATGAACAACAAATGATAAAATGTGTACTTTAAAATATAACTGGCAATTACTTCAACCGTGATTTGGAAAAAAAAACAATTCTGATACAGTATGAAAAAATGAATTAAGTATCAGGTGAAATCAAATCGCTCTTCCGTGTATTTAATTACAGTACAATGAACAATACCCGACTGCATCAATGACAGTATCACATTATGTTTCAACAAACAATCGAATTCATTAACATAAACATGTAGTCCATAGAACATTTATACTTTCATTTGATGAAGTCCGGATAAAAGGGTTAAAACCTGAAAAGGAAACCCGTTACTCACGAATCATAGTGAATTTTTGGCCCCATGAGCTTGTACCGTATGACATTTAAAAAAATATGAGATACTCCCTGTTGTCGCTCGAACTTTGCCTGATAATTTGACACTAAAATTAAGTTAACAAATAACACAAGATAGCAATGATTTGAATCAATATGTATCACTCGGTATAATTGTAATTATGAAGCCCCCCTTTTCCATATAAATAAATCATCAATCTCGAAGCAAAAGAGTGCATACAAACTTAGTCATGGCTGATATGCCGGATTTTGGCTGAAAAAGTTGTTATATCCTAATAAATCTGATAAATGATATTAAATTTGCACCGAATGTCCGGACCTATCACAGATGAAACATTTCGGAACAAATAACAAACAAATTAAACGAAGAGGGAAGAGATTCATTGATGTCATATTTTAGCTCATCCTATAATCACCTACATGTCGTTTAAAACGCCATGTCAACTTTTCCCACAAAGTACCTGACTTTTTGTCTCGTACATTTTTTGGTTGCATTTGATAAAACATTTGTTCTTGTGCAAGTAAATCATCACCAGGATCTAGACCACTGTCGCCACTACTATTACTCTCTAAACTTCCATCCTCTTTGTGTCTCATTCTTAAAAATTCTTCATATCCACCAGCTCCTGTATCTCCATCAACAATCATAGTCCGTTCTTTCCCGCGCTTTATATAACGCCCTCCAGCGGACGTACTTTTAACACTTCGTATAGTCCTATCATCTATGCCCATTTTACAATCGGCATAGGTTATATCTCGTAAAGTTTGTCTTTTCATACTACCATGTTGCGTCTCAGCGTGTTTTGGCTTTTTAACAGGCTTCAGTTTAGGGGCACTCATCATTGAACGTTCCGAGTACTTTGATTTTTGAATCGGTGGTTGTTTAGTTTTAGCATTAGGTCTCCTTGCATGTTTAATGTTTTTCCTCCATGTAAAAGGCTGTTCATGGAATCCATCGTCGTCTTCCATATATTTAGAGAAATCCTCTCCATCATATTCTTCGACTACCTTACGATTACGGTGGCGCCGTGGCGGTGCAATCGGTTGATCGTTGTTTTCGACATAATCAAAATTCATCGTCCTCTCGTGTTCTTCGTAATCAGGTTCTGGAATATAAGGATATTCGTCGTCTGAGGCATGCGAAGATTGTGAATTGTTGCGTCGTCGACTCACATATGATGAAGTCGGAACACCAGGTGCCCGCCTCTTCTTGTAATGTCTCGGTGTTTCGTTTTCTGTTTCATTATGTGAATGATGGTCTTCTTGTTTACCGTGTTCTTCGAATAAAGGATTAACCACCACCTCACCGACATTTACTATTGTGTCATGATCCGCAAATAATTTGTCCTCTTCAGATTCGTTACTGGGTGAAACATTAGAATTCGTTTCTGCTACTGGCGAATTTTCGTTATCTTCATTATCATCTGCTCCAAAGTAAGTATCCAGAACAAGTGGGACATCTTTGTCCCCAATTATCATCACTTTCTTTCCCTCATTTTCTATCTTATTTTCTTCATAATCAGGTTTTATATCAATTGTATGATAAATATCTTCTTCTGGATTTGTATTGCACTCTGATTTTGATTTCGTCTTAAAAGATTCAGCAGTCGACAATTTTCTGTCTGCCGTTTGCTCAAATGAATATTGTTTGTTATAAAGTTTATTTTCACTAGGTGGAAAATCTGGTATCTGTGCATCTTCATACGGTGACTTTGGAGCAGATGCTTTACTGCTATTTCTCGATAACAATATTTTTGGTGTATAATTTCCAATTTTTGGCAAAAAAACTTGGGTTCCTGGAGGAGGCGGAGCAGGTCGGTTTTTGTTAAAGTTTAACCTAGATTTTTGCTCATATTGTTCAATCTTTTCATGAACGTTGATGAATTGAGACGACGATGATTCTATTTCTTTTAACGGCTCTGCGAAAATTTTATCTACACTCCTCTCGTGTCTCTGCTTCCAGTCAATCGTTGAAAGTGGCTTCCGCGCCATTATGTTAATCTAAAAAAAAAAGAGAATTTAATACAGTTATTTTGGGTAACAAAATTATTTGCTGCCTCACAAATATTAAAACAATTTTTGTGTGTGTGCTAATGTTCTATATGATTGTCATACAAGTGAAAGCTTTAGCTAGCTATAAAACCATTTTTTACATCAGGAAATGCTTGTACCAAGACCGGAATATGATAGTTATTTTCCATTCGTTTGATGTGTTTGAGCTTTTGATTTTACCATTTGATAAAGGACTTTCCGTTTTGGATTTTCCTTGGAGTTCGGTATCTTTGTTATTTTACTTTTTAAACGTCCAACCTCTTAACAGATATGTGAATAGTTATGGGTTCAACAATTAGCAAAAACCATGCCGTATATATAGTAAGCTACAAAAGGCCGCGTTGTGACAAAATTCGAAACCATTCAAGAAGAAAATAAATGGCTGCTTTATACTTCAACAAAGAACGAAAATGATATGGTAGACAGCAACCCTCAACAACCACTGGATTACAAGTTCAAGTGTCTTTTCGCAATAACAACCAGTACCAAGTAAAGAACAGATTTTCACCTGGTGTTATGTTTTACCTTGTTCTGTGACAACTCTAAGTTGCCGTTTCTTTGTAAAATAATAATCACAGTTTCTATAAATATGCTGTTTTTATTCTATTATTTCCGAACTTGATTTAGAAATAGAAATTAGAATTGGGCAATATTATTTAATTATTTAATGATATTAATAACATAATAACCAGCAGTTGAGATCTGCAGTTTTGAACATTTATCTGGTGAACATTGAGAAGCTTACAGAAAAATTAAACTAATGCCTGCTATTCGTTGAGAAAAGAAAGCTGAACTAAAGTATTGATTACTAAAAGGTTAGTGTTTACTGTCATAATCAAATTGGTGTATACTGGAAATAAAATTGTTCCTTTGGCGCATAGAAAATGCCCGCATAAAAGTACGTTTATCTAGATTTGTTACAAGTCTTTGTATGAGTTGAAAAATAGAAAGATGGTACTCATAGAATTGTTAACGTATTTATTAGTCGATCTCATAAAACAAGGAATCAAAGTGCTTGTGAGCGTTGAGGGGAAGGGGAACTTTATATATGCACTGTAAACTTAAAATCAATCATTGCATTTTATAAAGCAAAACACATATTTTGACAATATAAATACATAAAATCAATCATTGCATTTTATTAAGCAAAAAACATATTTTGACAATATAAATACATAAAATCAATCATTGCATTTTATTAAGCAAAAAACATATTTTGACAATATAAATTGAGTTATTTTTTCCTTTGTCCCTTAAAGTATGGTTATAAATCAACGTCCCTTGTATATTGTATATCTGAGTATGTAATATAAAAAAAAGATTGATATGGCCGTGGATAGAATCTTTCGCTACACTGTTATGAGTACAACAAAACACAGATAGAGAAGAGTTTGAAATAAGCTAACCCGCCAGTGGTAATTGGGATTCGATTCGACGGTATAAATCAAACGATTGTTCGGCGCAGAACATTGCTTAGCCTTAGACAATTTTGATACAACATACCGGTACCTAGTTTTGTTGAATTTTGAGTCAAAGGACTACCGTGACCATAATACGTACCGTGACCATAATAAGTACCGTGACCATAATAAGTACCGTGACCATAATAAGTACCGTGACCATAATAAGTTAATTTGTATCTGAACGACATTATTTTATTTTTTTTTGGCTATAGAAATTTGTTAAGAATTTCCTTCATATTCATTTCTTTTGACAAATACTCAAAATCTGCCCAAATCTATCAAATTTTTAGTTTTCAGCAATCCTGATGCATTTATAATTTGGTTCAGAAATAATTCATAAATGTTACTAGAACATCAAAGTACATAAATGAAGCTTTAATACTGTGACTGTAAGTAAAAATTGAAACCCTTCTTTTAAAATGGTCCTGATGTGAAATAAATTCATGGATATTTACCCTACCTATTACATTATAATATTATCTGGCAAATGTCTTATAAAAAGTCACGAAACTTAAGCAGATGCGACGGTATTTACAAACGTAATAATTTCGCTATTCGTTGTAAATGAAGGCAATTCCAATGTTCAGTGATTGCTCTATTTTCTCCTTTCCTAAAACAGGCTAAAGATCACATTTATTTTCAGTAATCAGTGACGAGGCAGATACAATTACGTATGCATTCCAAAATATGTTGATACTTCTGTAATAATAATCCACTAGGAAATCCACAAAAATCTCTCTATACACATTCACTCTTTAGTATCAAAACTATATATTCGGCTTAACAATAACAATCCCTAATATATTATGCGTCCGTATATCGCTTACAATTCTGAATACGACACTTTATCTGTATTTTATCCCATCTTTTGTTGGTCTCATATGGTGTGAAATAATTATATTTTATATTTACTGTATAAATATCTTTCTTTTATTGGAGCATGACAGAAAGGGGTTTGTCTGGATTGTGTCTTCGCTGTCTTTATGTTTTGTCCTTTAATTGGGGATTTAAATGGGAAATACTAAATTAAGCACTGGAAAGAATCAAAACCACCCCTTGCACTATTAACCAAATAATTTCGATTCAGTACTAGTTGATGAAAATAGTTTACGTAATAGCAGTTACGGACAGATATCAAATAGTGTGCAAACCGACAAATATCTTACTATATCCCTTCCAAATCGTATTTACGTTGCAAGGGGATACAAAATTGATAAAATGGTTCATTTCTCGCCTTTATAATTTTTTCTTAAAGATTTGACAATACTTTTAACTACTGGAGTTAAAACGACTTGAAAATATAAAGCCATAAACAATTTTTGGCGGAATCAACGGTTCGTGAAATCTTCATGTAAACATATGATTTACCAGACTCTTGAAGATCAATGTATACAGCAATCGGGTTCGCCTTTGAAACCTATTTGTTTAGATTTCTATGAGCAAGTCGAATTTGGGCAAAATTTAAAACTTGTGATGTAATAAATCCAATGGAAACCAGTAGATTGTAAAATATTCCATCTGCACACTTTACAAAACAGATATATAGCACAATACTTTTACTTATTTAAAAACAAATTCGGACGAAGATACCACATGTCGACGAAGATACCACATGTCGACAAAAAGACAAAAAAAAAAGACCAACAGAAAAAACAAAGGTACATGAAATACTACCAAACTGAAGATTCCGCAACACAAACCCAACCAAAACCGACTGTGAACTCGTGCACTCCAATGAAGGGTAAGCAGTTCTTGTTCTACTAGTTGTACCTGTCGTTTTGCTTATTGCAGTAAAATCCGACGACAATTGTTATTTCTGATGTCACAATCGAGAAAATTTGCAGTGACACATGGAACATATCCATGGTCATCTATGACATAGATATTCCATAACGGTCAACCAAATAAGGTCACAAATCCAGATATCCAGGAATTACAACTAACGTAATATTCCAACTGATTTCACAACGAATCTATCCACAAGAACATATACTGTCTCTATGTCTTTAACATTTAATTGATGCATATAATCTTGTCATTTTCATCATCAAATTGTCATTTTGTTGTGACAATGTTCTAATTATAAATTGTTGCTACACTTGGTACTCATAGCTCTACTTGGTACCTATTCATGTATTTTGAACTTTTCCCATTTGGTATATGGGTCATTTTCAAAAAATGTCGAATTTTGAAATTGCATAATTGATTTAAAGTTATTAATTCAAACAACCCTTGTCTTCAGCAAATCAAAACAAACAGTACTTATAGAACAAGATATAAAAAGATGCAATCTTGATAATGTCATACAAGAATATATTGAAACATTTTTTGATAGGTGGTGCAATATTTTGTCTCTCCTCTTACCATGTTCAAAAGAAATTTCTGGTTATTTAGAAGAAGTTTAGATAAAATTTTAAGCTTATTTTTCGTAGCCAATAAGATGGTTTTCAAGAGTAAAAACTTCTATATATATTCATTCTGTGAAATGGTAGATTATTTGTCAATTTTTCATGCTGTACTGAAAAATGCCTCTAAAAATTATTTTTTAAAGGTTATAGAAATAACCATCGGTAATGCAAGTCTAAGATAACAATTCATAATGTTCAGCATTTTTTCTTTCTTTCGAATAAACCCAACAGCAAGTAATTCCCCTTGCATGTTGGTTTACTTTTGTCTTTATTTTGTTGGTAACAGGAACGTACGTTAATGATATATCACCATATTAAGTTCTATCCTGTTACCTTTTTGTCTATCCTGTTACCGATAGCAGTATTGCATCTGCAAATGCTAAATTGCGAAGATTAAGACTTTATAATCTTTAGGCGAGTTCAAACAACGAAACATTCCATTATGTGTAAAACTATATGTTATTATAAAATTTTTAAAAACGTTTCTGTCTACTATTGTCTTTCCTGTTACTGTAACCATAGCAACCATAGTAACAGGATAGACAAATTTCTTCATTTTTGAATGTTGTTGTGAAATAACTCCTCCTTTTGATGAAGTGATAATGTTTTTTCTGTTGTGATTTTGGTTTCCAACACGTTATTGCACTTTTTACAAATATACTATTGGTATAATTAGTAAATATGTTGGTAACAGCATAGACATGACAAAAAAATACCCACTATTTTTTTTTCACTAAATGTGTTGAATTTTTTTTTCTGTAAACTGTTATACAAGAAACGTGCTGTGTTAAATGTTTAGGCTTTTGAAATAAACACTGACTAGTTCGATATTCATAGGGAGAACAATTTAACGGTCGATTTAAGTAGCGGTAGCAGGATGGACATAACTTCATGTACGCTGATTAAATTTAGTTTGTAGAAAAAATGTTACATATAATAATAAATAAGCTGCGATTTTTCGTTAGAGTTATTATTAACATTTAAAAAAATCCCTTTTGCAGATATCAAGGCAATCAGAAAATAGGAGAAAAAAAAATATTTGAAATGTGTTACCCTGACACTGTACGCACCAAAATTACGCAAAAATCGGACTTAAATATATTTTAATCTTATCAAAATATATCTAAATCGTGTTTATTATTAATGTCCTGACTCATAAATACTACAAACTTTCATTTAAACACTTACAACTGCATTTTCCATTAGAAATAAAAAAATTAGCATAGGTGTACTAAAAATTCGACATTATTTTTTAAATGACCCATATACATCAATTGATTGCACTATCAGCATGTATTCTTGAAACCATCAAATGACTCAATTGCATATATCGTAACAACTAAGAAGGACAAGTCCAAGGGCATATGATACAGTTTTGATCCCACGGTGAATTCTTGGCAAAACTTTACATACAGGCTATTTTTCACATAGTGAATACAAATATGTAATAAAAAATATACCTTCATGTGCTACTTTTAGAGATAAATGGGGTCGAAATTTTAGACATTTACTCAAAATTTCAGTTTTTTGGACATATCTATCCTTTGAACAAACATACCTAACTTGTTTGTTTCAAAAGATAAACACAAGCGGATTATTGTAAACACAATTTGAATATCGTCTTGACAAAAATAAGATCTACATTTGTGTAACAAACCTTTGGAAATAATTCATTTTTATTAAACATGATTGTAGAAAAAAACGTAACTTTTAGCTGTATATCTATCTAATTCAAAAGAAATTAATCGGTGATTTATTCATAAAAATTTGTTCAAAGAATTTTCTTACAGAATCAATCGAAATATCATTTTTAAAAAGAGGGGTCGGTGTACTCGTCTTCGAGCTAATGATTAAAATTAGACGAAAAGTGCATCTTTTACCAATATTTCACAGTTTGAGGTCGCGAAAAGTAACAGTTTACGTTAGCGACGTCATTAACCCCCCCCCCCCTTTGTAACTGTATCGTAAGCCCTTATTTCCTTTTAACCCAAGCGAAACTTGAGGTTGGATCTTCCTCTCTATTTTACAAAGGGGATGCATTGATCTGTATTGTACTATGAGTTTATATCTGACCTGACATCTTCCTGGAGTAACATATTGATTAACCAACAGTTATTAAGTGTTTTTGTTATCTGATTTTTCTGACAACAATTGTGAATGGTCAACTACAAATTTACTGGAGGTGATAATGTCTCAATTAATATACATACTACGCACATAGACCTCGAATAAAGATAAAACGATCAATAAGTTTCGTAAAAATATAACAACTATACATATAGTCTTATAAAAGTACATTCATACAGCTGTATTTAACAAAAGTGTTATAAAATGTGTTTTCGGATTCGAAACAGTCATCATGTTTACAACAACTGAGTCTTATAAAGCGATAGTTCACTGGTAACTTTCAATTGTTACCTTATTTGCAACATTATTTATATGACTCGAACCTATACAAATAAATATCATATTGATAATAAACCACAAATAAAATAAAATAAGAATTATACACTGTTAATTCTACAGACAATATACATATAAAACTATACATATAAAAACAGGCTGAGGGGAGTCGGGCAGGTTCTCAAAACTTTTAAAATTCGTTATAGGAACTATATATATATACACCGTGGCATCCTTAGCCCTAAACAGAAACCTCAGATCGCTTATGGTGTTATTTTAGTAACTTTTAATTTCTTTTAAATTTTAACTTATTTTCACTTATTTATGTGTTCTTGTTCTTATCCATACGATCTCACAATAACAGTATAGCTTATATGTGCTCTCCCTTTGTTCTTAATTTCCACTGTAAGGAAAGAAAACAGGGGGTCCATTTCCCAAGTGCATGGTCGTAGTTTAGATAGGATATTCTGAACAATTAGATCGGGTGCTTTTGTAGTATGGGGCACATATATGATACATGTGTTCGAATTTTCTCACATAAGTAGGTAAGAAGAAATCGAATTAGCCAAATAAATCACATGTAATGGACAAAACTGTGAGAAGTAACACATAACGTACAAGGAAATTTTTTTGTTAATCTTTAATGTACATGTCAAAATCTAGACCTTGACTGCAGACGTGTATTTAACATCGTGATATCATCTTAATGGGTGGAGTATTTAAATTCATATAAATTATGTGACGTTATACTGAACTTTTTGTTCATTTAAAGTAAATATTTTAAACCAACGAACTACTGAACCGTGAATTTTCTAAATAGAATTGATGAAAAATCCGAAGAAAAAGGCAAACGTTATCTGAAGAAAAATGAAATAGCTCTCTTTCGCCGGTCAATATGTCAGTCCAATGTCAGTCCTGTGTCAGACTAAAATCTTTACCATGTGATATCATAGACGAAAATGGCAACAAAACTTTTTACAAGATTATTCGCTGTATATATATAGGAAGTAACAGTCGGTTACTACTCTAAGAAACTTTATCCTGACTCAGTTGTTGAAAGTTTTTACAAGTTTATTCGCTGTATATATAGGAAGTAACAGTCGGTTATTTCTCTAGAAAACTTTAACCTGACTCAGTTGTTGAAAGTTTCTGACATTTGATTACACATGTTTTTAATTCAGATACAGAGAGTTGTGCGGGGGAGGACAGCCAAGTGGAATTATGTTAAAGAACTTTTACAAGTGTTGGGCGTATAGAAAATGCACTTTGAACAGGTTATGCATATAAAACGACAAAGAAACGAATAATTTATAAATGTGGTTACCAAAATATGGAACCGTACCCAAATGTTAGCCTGGTATCCCTTGAGCGTTAATAAATGCAAAACTTATCATATAAAAATAAGAAGATGTGGTATGATTGTCAATGAGACAATTCTCCACCAGAGACCAAATGATATAGACATTAACAATTATAGGTCCTGCACCGTAAGGCTGTCCACAATGGGTAAACCCATACCACACTGTACGCTATAAAAGGCACCAAAATGACAAATGTAAAACAATTCAAGCGAGAAAACTAACGGCCTGATTCATGTACAAAACAATACACGAAAAACAAATATGATATGCATTAACAAACGACAACCACTGAATTACACGCTCCTTACTTGGGACAGGTACACACAGAATGAAAACACAGTCTACACATTCGTGACTTCAAGATGAAGAACAGCAATAAAAGCGCTGCTCCTTTGCTTTTTGTGTTTTTTAATGTACACATACTGATTTTGTGTCTATCATGATGGATAACCTTTCTTTTCTATTATGTAAAGAGAAAGCGAAAACAATAATATGATTATAAGACGATAGAGTGTCCATTCGCGCACAGTGACTGCAATGTCTTGTATTTTATTATAAGTCGATTTGATAATTAAGCAAACAAGTAGACATAAAATTTTGCACAGATTGAATTATCATTAATTGACTTTCTCCGTTTTAAATGGTACATTACTGAGAACATCATTGGGAACGCCAGTCTAAATGGAATATAATATCATTTGGGGATAAAATAAATCTGTGAAGAGTATAACTCAATATATCATGTCCAAGAATAGACCAACTGGAAAATAAATTTTGATAAGTTTGATATTTAGTGATAATATGTGTATTCATCTAGTTCAATACAGCACCTTTTGATTGACAAATTTTCCAGAAAATTAATTGTTTATAGTATTGTTTCCTATTAAAATCTCCAAAATCTTTCATATTTGAATAAATCAGACTCATAAACGTCATACCCAGAATAACTACAAAACAAAAATTTACCCTATAAACTAATTGCATTTTTTTTACATTTTACCTTAAATTCCTTGCATTTTTTTCTCTGTTAATTTGTAAATTTCCGTCTCATTTGGTATACAAATTATATCTTAAACAGAATATTATGTATTAGATTCCAAACAGATTCTTATATCATTTCTTAGAGAGATCAATCATGAGGAAGTTCCATACTAATATTATCTTGGTAACAGCTTCGTCAAAAGTCTACTAGGTACAGATGTAAGGCATCGAAAGCATGTTGATGTCAAAGTTTCAAACGAGGAATCTTATGAAATTTCCACACCTGACGGTCCACACATGTACAACTATCTTTTCCGTACAAGATTTTATTGTGTTTTAAAACCCATGTTTGCTATGTTAATTCCTATGATCAGTAAATTAACCCGAATTTTAACACGAAACATTCCCAGCTAACATTATAATAAAGGTAAACATGTATATCTTCAGATGTAATCAAATACCATAGCGACAAACTAAGGTATTACAAGAATTTATTTATTTTTCTTTTAGGATATAAAATATTTAAGACGTACCTGAATATGTGTTATAACTTCAAAGAATTCCAAATTTCAGGAGAGAGAAGAGAGCCGCCATTTTAGCCAGGTTTTCGTGTTTACGAAGAAGCATTTTTACCTATGCTGATTAACAAATTCGATCCAATTCATTGATCCATAGTTTCTATTGAAATCAGCTCAGCCGTAACCAATACCACAGGGTAGATTTCTATTGGCGTGTATTTAAATCCATTCATGAACTAGCCCATGTCATTTTTTTAAAGTTCATTATTCAGGAATTCATATACGAAAATTAATACATAAATCTTGTAGTTTTTTAAATACCATGCAAACGTAAGATACAAAATATTTTTAATAGCGATAATTACATACAACAAAGACGAGAAATATATACTGACTGTTAACTTCGTCGAAAGTATATATATTTTTGTTCAAATGATTCGTAGTCGATGTAACTCAACTCATCAACCATTGAAATATCAAACATGTTTGTCATGATAGTCTAAGCAACCAACAAACAAGTCTTGGTTTCAAATACACAACTTACTTATTTACTTACCTACTTGTTTTATGAAATATTTAGACTCTTTCGGAAAAGACTAGAAGTCGTCGTAAAATACCTGGAGATTGGTTGTTTCAAAGAGAAAAACGGGAGAACAGACACAGACTTTATAACGTACTGTGATCATTGGACAATGTAAAAGATACGGAATATTGACTGTTTTAGGTGTCCGACCACCAATTCACCCACTCCAACATTACAAATTAACTTAAATAAAACCAAGATAATGATTTTTAGCAAAGGCAAAAAAGATTATTCAAAATGTAATTTTGAAATTGTGGAAAGATACAAATATTTAGGCATTGTATTTTATTTCAATGATAATCTTAAACATGCCGCAGATGATCTCTATAATAAAGCTCTAAAAACCTTTTTCTCTGTTAAAAGTAAATTTAATAACTTCCAAGAGGTACCATTGAAAACCTGTCTTAAACTTTTTGATAGTCTTATTAAAACTATTTTGACATATGGTAGTGAAATATGGTTTTCATGATTTTTATTAGTTGTTACTGGCTTTGAACTAGCTGTCAGTACTTGCAAGTACTCTCAGATCTGTACTTAGTGTCTTTTTGTTGTGGGGATGTATAACTACCCTGCCAAATTCACACTGTTTTTTTGTAAGATGTGTTTCTATTTGTATCCATCTGATGTGTTAAGCATTTTTCAACTGATTTTTATAGTTTTTTCTTATGTTGTACTGTTAGGTTTGGTGAGGGTTGTGAGGCCGATAACATGTTTAACCCCGACACGTTCTGCATGTGCCTGTCCCAAGTCAGGAGCCTACTTAAATGAGACTACTTAAAATGAATAGAGATAGAATATTATATATAGTACATTTACTGCAGATCAAGAATTATCTCAAGAAAACTCAAAATGCTGGTTTCTCTACCCTAAATGAAATATTTAAAGTACTTAAACTTGATACAAAAGGTTTGACAGATAAAAGTGTTTTTGAAAATAGTCTAATAAGATATTATAATCAGCAATCTGACTCACAACTGAAAAAAAACAAACCATCTGGAGATGTAGACAGTAAACCGATGCTTTTTAGTAATAGTTTCGTCCCAAATTTTGTTCCCTTTTATCTTGAAACTAATCTTACCAAACATATAAAAAGTAAAATTACACAACTATGTATCAGTGCTCATTGTTTAAATATAGAGCGAAGTCGACTATGATAAACCCCAAATTTCATGAGAAGAACGTTTTTGCATATTCTGCACTGAAGTAGAAAAACATTTTTTGATATATTGTCATAAATATAAATTTATAAGGTAAACTTTTTTCCAATCTTATTGTTTAGATTTGAAAGATTCAGATAATCATTATTTTTCAATTTCTAAACTTTTAAATCCATAAAATATTATTGAATGTAATTTTCTCTAAACTAGTATACATTTTTGTTTAGGGGCAAGCTAAAGCCCGCCTCCGGGTGCGAGATTTTCTCGCTGTGTTGAAGACCCATTGGTGGCCTTGAGCTGTGTTCTGCTCTTTGTTCGGGTTGTTGTCTCTTTGCCACATTCCCTTTTTACATTCTTAATTCTATTTATACAAATTTATTAGAGATCCATGCATTAGAGATAAAAAACAATTCTTAAAATTACGTTACAATTGTATTATTATATACAACATGTAAAACTTTGAAAGGTTGTTTTGTATATTACAGTCATATGATTTATAATGGAGAACACTAGTGTAACATTACTGAGTTATCTTTAATAAAGAATCTGAATCTGAATGTAAAAGTAGCCCTTCCTTGACAAAAAAATAGTGCTTTTGATTTCATTGCTTACTTAAACTAACCAACAAATTTGCAGAAACGAAACTGTTGATGAAAGAGAAATATATTTAGACCACATGTTTAGAGCCAAAATTTACTTATCCATGAGTTTTCATTAAAAATTGAGGATTAATGCGCTCCATACTATACTTATTTGAGATTCCAGAAAACCTGGGGTTATTTTTAGTAGTAGTTACCTTCGGAACGTTGGTATTTTACTACAAGACTTTAAACATTGGTTGCAAATTGGCATGTAGAAAGGTGATACGTGTACAATTCAGGATATACCTGGTTTCTATGAAGTTAAACTTAAGGTAAAATATTTAGAAAGCTGTGAAGATTGAAAAATTTGGTTGAATAGATAAGGATATTGAATTGGTGGTTTGTGTAATATCTCTATGTAATAAGCACCCGCATTTTGCTGAAATGGGAGATAAGTCGATTTGGGTCTGTATAGTAAAATCGTTAAAGTATATACTTTGCAAAATAAGAAATGCACAATGCACAAAAAAAAATATTCCGTGTACTTCAGATCGATATTTGTCTGCAAAGTTTTGGTATATTGAGGTAAAGTTATATTTTGAGACTGTGAGGACGCTGCATTTTCAAGTATAAACTTCATTTTTTCAAAGATTTTCCAATTTTGCCAGTTTGTCCAGTTCGTCATGACATGATAATTATGACCGTCTAAGGAAATTGTTAAAAATAGTACAGCATCGTCCGCAAACAGAGGTAGTGCAGGTCTTGTGGTAGGTCGTTGATGTAATAAAGAAATAGACTTGGTCTTAACACTGACCATTGTTTTACCGACCAGATTCTTTTTTTACTCTGTCGGATGTTTTGCCTTCGACAACTACAACTTGTGTTCTTTTTCTTTTTGTAGGCTCGGTCTCCTAGTCTCGTAATGTTTTGTTATTTGCTGTGTTATGCATTGGTTTCTTCCTTAGTATTGCATAAACTAAACGGTATATGTTGGTTTGTGTTGTTTTCCCGGCCTTCCTTAAACATATTCCAGAGTGTATTTATGTTTGTTTTTTTCTTCTTCAGACTTTCTTGTTTAAATTGATTTAAAACAAATTCCTTTCTTTCAAGTCATATGTCTCTGATATATTGTATTCCATTTTGCTCATTTATATACAGGTTTATTTGTTGTTTGGTTGTTTGTTATTGGATTGGTGTTCATTTCCGTATACATCTATACTACTCATGAAAGGAAGAGACCGATTTCATTTAGCCGCAACTCCTCTGAAACCACAGAAAACGCCAATTTTTGAGGAAATTTCCAAATTCGGAGACCGTTATTGATCCGTGTCTTATACGCTTTCGTGCATGCTCAGTCGACGTACTACCCAACAACTCGGTCCACGGCCAACTCGCACCACTCAAACATTCTCACTAATTATTACAACTTGCATAATTTTATCAAACTCGCACCACTCAAAAAAAAAAAAAGAAATATATCAAACTCGAAAAAATGTGTTTAATCATTAGATTGTTTTCTTCTTCTCTTAGTAAATTCCTCCCTTTTCGTAGCACCCGTGTCACACAGAGACAGAACTCGCACCACTCGAAAAAAAATACTACAAACTTGCACCGCTAAAGAAATGTTATAAATCATCAGAGAGTAGATTGTCTTCTTCTTCTCTGAGTTATTTCCTCCGTTCTTGGAGCACCCGTATCACCCAGAGTCAGAACTTGACTTGCACCTTTCGAAAAAAAAAGAAAAGAAAGAAATACTACAAACTAGACGAGTGACATTAACCATAAAATTTCATTTTTATTGCACCCACCTAACATACGGCTAAATCATACACCATTCGAAAGCACATCATCTGTACTATCTTTTTTGCCCGGTCGTCAAATATTCGTATGGTGCAGTTTCCGTCAAATAACGATGAAAGGTCAAGGACAGACAATTTCTAATTTTACAAGATGACAGCATTTTCATTTTTGCATATTGTGTCTTTTGAATAATAATATTTTGTATGGAAATTTGAAAATCTGTTAGAACAGATGTTAATAGTTACTAATCAAAAGCACTTCGAAATATTAGTGTATGATTTTTAATAAATGACGCCGTTTTCCAGAAATTCCAGTGAAAATTATAAAAATACGTGAAAACCTACTTTTTTGTCTGTGATTCAATTGTTATTCACCATAAAACCAATTAATATATTTTATTTAGTGCTAAATTAAGGATGTTTTTGACATCATCAAATTACTGCAATTACGCTTCTTATTAATTACACAGCCAATAATAACAACCCTTGCAGTTGCCCAAAATACAGCCATCTGCAAAAAGATAGCCTTTTTAGCTGTTCTATGTTAAAACAAATTGTATGCAGTTAATATTTATATAGGTTGAAAAAAACACAAATCTTAAAAGTGCAACAAGGTTAAAGGATATACTACACAATAAATTCATGCTTTTTGGGGGAAAGTTTGGGAGCGAAACTTTGATATTTCAATCTTTATATGTTTTCTTGGTTGCTTATACTGCATCTTGCATTGAC